GCGAGACCGGGGGACCAGCCAAGCTATTCTTCAAATTGACATACTGATGTGAGGCCCGAAAAAGCAACTATACAGATGAGTAATGCACACACTCTTACACACAACACACTAACTGCTAACGGCAACGAAGACGCGCTTGCTACTGATTCAGGAGTTAGAGGACGGTGACAGGCCCAAAACAGGGACCTACTTAGCTTATGAAAATGAAGCTTACAGGAAAATGCCAACTATTGTTTGTGAAATTGAGGGTAAACCGATCACTTTTTTAGTCGACTCTGGTGCAACCCACAGTGTGATTCAGACAAAGGAGCTCTCAATCAAATTAAGTGGCAGAAGTGTTTTTTCCACAAGTGCGAGTGGACAAACGGTACCGGAATCTTTCTCTGTTCCGATCAAATGCACTTGGGCAAACGAGCGTAACCCAGCAACAGCAAAACATTCATTTTTGATGTCGGACCTTTGTCCTGTAAACTTGTTAGGCCGTGACCTCATGATAAAATGGGAAGTTGTGATCATATCGACAGCAGAAGGCCTTAAAATAGACAGAGGTGCGTGCGCGACTAATTTTGTCAAAGTAAACACAAACTGTCCTATGTCTGTATATCAGTGGTGGGCACACCCCGCCAGCGCCAGTTATTTGATGGAGACTACATCTCCATTTCTTAATCCAAAATCTGACATATTGAAAGCTGAGGACCTGCATTGTGTGTGTCATTTACACCATAGCCCTGATTGTGAATTTGAAGAAACGTTTAAACTGGGCTCAAATGACTGCTTGATTATTGCTGACGTGTACTTTGATGATTTCAAATGTGCTGTTTCAGTAGAGTTAAGCCAGTCACAAAAACAATGCTATCGTCTTAAAAATTAAAGTCCTCATATTTCAATAGCAAAAGCAAAGACTGACACATGGCAAACCTTAGGCCTTTTTGTGCGCAGATGCACTTTGGCAGAGGACTGGGAGGCGTGTGAACGTGGAGAAAATGTGTTTTATTCACAATCCGTTTGCGCGTATAAAATGTCTCATACAAAAACAGTTGATGTGCTAAATTCAGTGCTTTTGACGTCTTCATATAATGACAATGACGGACCAAATTTGACTCTGACTTCTTTGACTTCTCCGCTTGAGATTTCACCTTTGTTATCACAAGTACCGGACAGTCTGTGGGCAAAAAGTAAACATGATGTTGGTTTGATCAAAAACTGTCCACCTGTTCGTATTGAAGCTAAATCCGATTACAGACCAAGACAGCGTCAGTATCCTTTGAGACAGGAGGCCATAGAAGGAATTACACCTGTTTTTGAATCATTTCTTGAGGCTGGCATTATTGTCCTATGTGAGGATTCACCGGTGCAAACTCCTATCTTTCCAGTAAAGAAAATTAGACCAGCAGATAAACCCACAGAGTCAATTCTGCGATCATTTCTCCTGTCCCTAATGTCCCAAATCCGCACACTCTTTTGAGTCAGATCCCAGCAGATGCAGAGTGGTTTTCTGTGGTTGACCTGTCAAATGCTTTCTTCTCTGTGCCTGTGGACAGGGATTCACAATTTTGGTTTGCCTTCTGTTTTAATGGAAAAAGATATACTTTTACCAGACTTTGTCAATGCTTGAACTCAAGTCCCTCGTTGTTTTGTGAGGCTCTGAACCACAGTCTAGCGTCTCTTGTGTTGACAGACAGGACTGTTTTGATTAATTATGTGGATGATTTGATGATTGCTAGCCCCACAAAAGAACAATGTGAAGAGGACACAATTAAGCTCCTCCGACACCTGGCTGATGAGGGTCACAAGGCTTCTGTTTCAAAGTTGCAATTTGTCAAACAAAATGTTGTGTTTTTGGGTCACATTATAACCCCTGAGGGTAAAACCTTGTCACAAAAGCCTGTGACGGCAATAGTTGATGCTCCGAAGCCCTCAAACAAAAAGGAACTTCTTTCATTTTTGGGAATGTGCTCATATTTACGTGATATGACTGTGGGAAGGAACATGTGTGCGTCCTCTCCCCTCGTGTGGACTCCAGAGGCAGAGCAGGCCTTTACAGACTTGAAAATTGCTTTGCAATCGACTCCAACTCTGGGAATCCCAGACCCAAATAAACCTTTTGTTCAGTTTGTGGACGAGAGATGTGGATGCATGACATCAGTACTTTTGCAAAAACATGGAGATCTACTAAAACCTGTCGGTTATTTTTCAAAACTTCTTGATCCTGTGGCGAGAGGTCTCCCTGCTTGTTTAAGAGCCATAGCTGCGTGTGAAACAGCAGTATTGGCTTCACGTGACTTTGTTGGATTCTGCCAGCTTTTCTTGTTTGTTCCACATTCTGTTGCTTTGATACTACAGGAGCAGAAATCTTCACATCTTTCTGCATCTCGGTGGCTTCGATATCATACAACGCTCTTGGGATTGCCACATGTGACTGTCCATAAATGTTCTACACTTAATCCTGCCACATTGTTACCCCTCCCGAGGGCACACCACACTCATGCATGGCAGAGCTGAATCAGATCTGTACTCCAAGACCAGATCTTTCTGATACACCATTGACTAACCCTGATTTAATTCTCTATGTAGATGGATCAGCATATCGAGACCCGGACACCGGAAGGTTGCATGCTGGATACGCTGTGGTGGATGACCACTCAGTCGTGATTTCTTCCTCTCTTCCTTCGATGTACTCGGCACAAGTAGCAAAAGCCATTTTGACTGAAATTCTTGTAAAATGGGGAATTCCTCAGAAATTGTCCAGCGATAATGGGTCGCATTTTGTTAATGAAGTGATAAAACAACTGTCTGATTATTTGAAATTTGATTTGAAAACTCACTGCAGCTATCACCCACAATCTGGGGGAGCTGTGGAGAGAGAAAATTTCACAATAAAATCAAAACTGGCCAAATGCTGTCAGGAAACAAAACTTAGCTGGCCAAAATGCTTGCCAATTGTCCTGATGTACATGCGAATGAGAGTGCGCACGCGTAACAACCTGTCCCCATTTGAGATTTTGTTTGCAGCTCCCCCCAACGTAGGAATGGGACCTGCAGGACCTCAACCAGATGCCATCCTGTGCGAGGATGGCATGATAAGGTATTGTATAACCCTAACAAAGTCTCTTTCTGATATCAGAAGACAGGTGTCATCGGCCCTTCCCCAGCATGCGGACCATCCACTTCACAACATCCAACCCGGTGACTTTGTCCTGATAAGGAACTTCAAGCCGAAGAGCTGGAATCACCATCGCTGGCTTGGCCCATTCCAAGTTCTCCTCGTCACTCACACCGCTGTGAAAGTCCAGGAGAGGCAGACCTGGGTCCACGCATCGCACTGCAAACAAGTCCCAGCTCTTCTTGTGGAGCGTACAACGGAAGCGTAAGGAGGGGCACATCTTACCCCCCTCCCAACGCGAAAGGAGGGTCACACACACACTACCCCCTCCCAACGTAAAACATTGTTAGAAATACATTGTTAGCTGCATCAGGAGAAAAGTGCTGGTAACTACACTCCTAGGTCATAGATGAGCAGAAGATAGGTAACACGAGAAGATCAACAAGTGACAATCCAAGTCCATGATGCGCCACGGCAGGGTGGACGGTCCCTGGCATCCATTCAGGCAGCAGGGCCTTTGCGGGATGAGAAAGACTTTGTGTGTGCTCATGTTCATTTCCTTCCTCATTGTGTTTCCACTGTTATGGTTTGAAGGTTGGGAGAATAAAAAGAACAATCAAACACAGGTCGTTGTCAATTCTAACACCTCTTCATTTACATCGAAACGTGTGAAGAGGGAAGATGTGGCCGAAATGGATTTTGCGTGGTCACGTGTTTTGGCTTAGTCAATGAATCACACCAGTGTATACACACTTAATTTGTGGTATCAATATGCAAAATTCTTAGCAGAGTCACAAAATCGCTCAAATTGTTACATTTGTACTCATATGCCTATTGCGTCATCAAACCCACACATCACACCTCTACCAATAGTTGATGCATTTACACATTTTCCAAAGATTCTGTACTCAACTGTCTGTTCATTTTTTCAATCAGACTGTCGCAAGGCGCACAGGTAAATGTCTCCCTCCACTCAAACCGGCTAATGATTCTGATCTCTTCAATTATTGGTTTAATGATGTAGAGGGTCCGATTTTTGGTCCGGTACATATCAGACCTGGTACTAAATTTGTATGTTACACCTTATCCTTGACCATCACAGATTCTCCTATACAGATGGGATGGATCCCAATGTCATTTTGTTTAAATGTGTCTAATCCGTGTACTTCTTTTCATGGTAATTCAAGTTTAAACACTTCTCAGGCCGCTCCAGGTAGTACATGTGCCCCATACTTCACGGTTCCTGACTCAACAGGAACTCTTCCTCTGAAGGGTGTTTTGTGGCTGTGTGGCTTCAATGTCTATGTGAAGCTACCATTTAATTGGATAGGTCGTTGTGCTCTGATGACAGCTTCAGATCACTCTTACATCATCTCTACCATTCCTAGATCGCGAGGTAAGCGCGATTTTGCTGCTCATGATGCAGTTTGGGGAACGGATGTTCCAGATGATCACAAACTGTGGACTAAGCCAACAAAAGTACTTCTCTCCTTGTTCCCCCAGTTCGGTGTAGGGAAGGTTATGCTTATGTGACATAACGAGGGTTAAAAGTACAGGTTAAAAATGTTGCTATTGTCAACAACGCCACCTAGGATAGGCCTAGGACCCTGTACAAGGCAGACACAGGTTCGCTTCCCTTTTTAAAGTGATGGGGGCAGAGACAAAACCAAAACCTGACTACAAAAGTACAACATTTATTTTCATTAAAACATTTTTAAGTTAGGAACATTTGATTAATAATGGTAATTGCCAAAAGCCAAACACAAAAAAAACACATGCACACACACACACACACATGCAAAGGACAAAGAAAAAAAAAAAAGATTAAACAATCCTAAACTCAATTACAGTTAAAATGTACAAATTTACAGTTTGGGTGTCCAGGTGCTCTGTGAGCCTAATATTGATGATCAGTGTCCACAACTGGAGCGACTCTGGCCTGTGGGGTCAATCCAGAGCAGTGGAGGCAGGAGGAGCTGCGCCGGTGGAAACGGGGCTCAGAATTTGTGTACTTGTGATGATTGGCAGTCTCCAAACTGCCGCGGGAGGTGCAGCTCGGTCCCGCTGAAGTGCAGGGAAGCTGGGGTTAGACCACTAAAGATTAGAATTTGAGTATACATCAGGCAATAACGGCAACTCACCAATCAGAGAAAGCACCGGTCCCCCAGACCCCGAACGGAGGCGCGCTCTCAACCTCCGCTGTGCGTAATTTAGCACCAACTAAATTAAAATGAGCTTTTAGGGTGACTGGGGACAGCCAAATGGGTCAGAGGGAAGATGGCACCATGCTTACCCACAAGTAACGTCCAGGGCTGGACTGGGACAAAAAAACGGCCCGGGCATTTTTTCCTTCTTACCGGCCCAGGCATGTTTTTGTCACGTTTTTTACAGTTTGTTTATACCAGGGATCGGCAACTCAAAAGGTTCAAAGAGCCAATTTGACAAAAAAAAAATAAAAACATCTGTCTGGAGCCGCAAAAAAATAACAGCCTTGTATAAAGCTTATATGAAGGTTACACAAAGTAGCTACATTAGCCTATTATCTAAATGACCAAGTAAAGGCTACAAATACATGGTTAGCATTCATGATTATCAAATGTGTGTTTTCACTGCAGCGTGTCCTGGAGAGAATGACGCACCACGTGATGACTCTGCTTTAACTTTGACTTCCATTTTTTTGCCTTCATGCAACTGTAGAAATACAGTAAATAAATCTGCTTTTTGGCTCAAAGGTCACACACCTGCACTGTCCGCTCATATCGATTACGTCACAGGCTGAAGTTTGCTGGAGCTGAATGTCCTTAATGGCCTTTTCTTTCACAGTCTTTGCGGAGGTTTTTGAAGTCTGAAAAAGGTGCTCCGGATTTTGTATGAAAGAATCCTTCACATAATCCCTGTGAACGGTATTTAGTGCTTCATTGTTCCTCGTGTTGCAACAAAACTTCCTATTACATCGCAAACATGAAGCAGTCTTTCCTCATTGACTGAACGCAAATGTTCAGTCTTGTTCTTAGTCCAGTCTTATTATCAACTCGTTCTTTTTATCTTTGGGATCCGTGTGCACACGCCGGTTTGTTTACAGCAGCAGCCGCCCGGCGCGGGGCTGCGCCACAGGATATGACTCACTACGTTGACAAATGTTGAAATTGAATATTACTTATACACATTTTTACAGCATTGAAATACGTTAGGAATCTTTTTCCTCCTACAGAAACCATATTCAAACTTGGAATAAAATATAGCCCTCCCACTCCATTTTCAGACATTTTTGAAAAGGCTCCAGGAGCCACTGGAGGAGCACTAAAGGTTGCCGACCCCTGGTTTATACAGTATGGAAGCATACTGTAGAGGATCAGGATGTCTGCAGTTTCAACAAAAAAATAAAGTGCAATAGTCTACATTACAAGAGAGTAATAAACATGTCTCAGAGTGAGGGAGGTGGACACAGACAACACTATTGTTTGTTACAGGGATGAGAATTGGTCAAAAAAGACTGAAATGCATATTGTCAGCCATTGGCTGGCTCTAAATCTGTTTAATTTTTTCACAACATTTTACTTTTGGGCTCAAACATGAACTTTTAATGCAATGGAAAATTTAGGCACCCGAGCTTTAATTTAGTCGCACTTCGAGAGGAGAGGGGAGACGCGGACTGTTTCCTGCAGCGGTGTATTTATTGGGTGCACAAATTACGCAAAGACACGCATGGTCCTGTGCGCGTTTATGGTCTTGGGTATATGGTCACGTTGCGGCTACGCGCTCACCGTGTTGTGTTGTGAGCGGTTCCCGCGTCCAGCTCAGAGCCGCTGGATGCGGGAACACTGCGGCCGCTGAGGTGGTGGAATCCCATTCAAGTACATACAGCAGGTGCCCCGCGGACACGCGCACTCCCTCGAACAGTTCAACGGATTTACACTTTTCACAAACATCTTTTTTGTATGAGGCAAACAGACCGGCCCAAATATGGGCATCGGCCCTTCTGGCATTGCCCAGTACGCCCGATGGCCAGTCCAGCCCTGGTAACGTCTGAGAAGCACAACGGGCTCGCACAGGCCCTTCACTAAGGTTTGCCACACTGGAGGAGCTGGCCACACTGGAACAGGAGGAAAGCGCATGAGTGCCAAATGCGCGCAAGTGGAAGTGTAGGATAAATGATGCACACTCACCAAAACGAGCAGAAGGCGTTTCCCAGGGCAGCGCTCACGCCGCACAAGCCCACATACGTGCCAACAGGGCCACCAACCACTGTGTGAGGCTCCCCACCAGCACAACTCCACGGACCCAAAGAGACTGCTGCTTCCCGCAGAAGTGGCAAAAGAGTGAGCGCCCTCAGGCTCAGGCTTAAAAAAACAACCCACAGGTCCTGCCCCTGCAATGAGTGGCAGGCAGGTGCGTGAGGTGGTGTTTCAATGAAACAGGTAAGGGGAGGGCAGACGCACTCCACACTGCTACACTTAGAATGGAAACTTTGAATTATCGGTTTTCAAGTTTTGTGAATCCAACTGTAACTATTCTAGAGGCCAACAGAGTAGAAGTAAATGCGTTGCGTGCCGTTGCTTTACAAAACAGGATTGTTTTGGACCATTTGGTTGCCTCAAGTGGAGGTGTTTGTGTCTTACTTAATCAGACCGCTTGTTGTACTTATATTCCTGATAACAGTGCCGATGATGGGATCATTGCACAGGGTATTCGAAATCTATACTTTGCGCGATGCGGTTAACCGTGATTTTGTTCTAGATGCTTCATGGTTTTCAGACTGGCGAGCATGGTTGATTCAAATAGGTACTGGACTTGGAGTAATATTAGTACTGCTGATAGTGCTGTCATGTTGTGTCATTCCTTTGATCCGTTCATTGATCCGACGTATGATCTCGTCGACACTCGTTCAACACATTTCTCTTAACCTGCATGTTGACTGTCCTGATGGGGACAGTGATCCATTTAGTGAGATGTTACTTGATGATTTTGAGTAAATTGGTTTGTATGTTTAACCCATTTTATGACGGATTTTCTTAAACCTACTAGGTGTGAAAATTTTGATGTTCCAGGGTTTGTGTTATATTTTACTTATATTTTTGGTACTCAATAGCATGTGTGTGATTGATTTAAGATAATCAATAGGATGGATTGTCATGGCCAGATTCCTACCATCAGGAGATTGTGTGATTATGTTGTGTAGCTGACAGATACATTTTACAGTTTCCCGATACTGCAGATTGTATTCCCATAACTCGCTTTTGATTACACAAAGACTCTATTGTCTTCAAACACAAGGGGACATTCTGCCATAAGATTCCGTGTGCTTTCTGTTCCAATCCGCAGGTGGGCTAATCTCAAAAGTTCTCGCTGTACCTAATGTATCTTTCTTTCTTCCCGTCTCTCTATCTCGAAGGTCCTCGCTGTACCTAATGTATCGGTGTCTGCCCATCTACCTTATCTTTCTTATCTGCAGCTGTCTACGACTCATCCCATTTTGCCCCATCCGTGACGTGTGCTCATTGTTCTCTGATTCTTGTCCAAGTATATTATCAAATGTGTGGAATGAGGAGCGGCAGAGAGAAACGGTACACGCAATCGCATGAACCGCTTCTGTCTGACATTTTGTATTGTTACTCATCACCTCTGTAAATAAACTGCACAAAGACAAGCTGTTGCTCCTTTGGATTCATTCATTCGAGGCATTAGAATTTCACACCAAACATGTGGAAGAAGGTGCTCTGGTCAGATGAAACCAAAATCAAACTTTTTGGCCACAATGCAAAACGATATGTTTGGCGTAAAAGCAACACAGCTCATCACCCTGAACACACCATCCCCACTGTCAAACATGGTGGTGGCAGCATCATGCTTTGGGCCTGCTTTTCTTCAGCAGGGACCGGGAAGATGGCTAAAATTGATGGGAAGATGGATGGAGCCAAATACAGGACCATTCTGGAAGAAAACCTGTTGGAGTCTGCAAAAGACCTGCATGGGACGGAGATTTATCTTCCAACAGGACAATGATCCAAAACATAAAGCCAAATCTACAATGGAATGGTTTACAAATAGATGTATCCAGGTGTTAGAATGGCCAAGTCAAAGTCCAGACCTGAATCCAATCGAGAATCTGTGGAAAGAGCTGAAGAAAACGCTCTCCATTCAACCTCACTGAGCTCGAGCTGTTTTGCAAGGAAGAATGGGAAAGAATCAGTCTCTCGATGTGCAAAACTGATAGAGACATACCCCAAGCGACTTGCAGCTGTAATTGCAGCAAAAGGTGGCGCTACAAAGTATTTACTTATTTACAGATGAATTACATAAAACAGGAAGATTTTCTTCTTACTGGTGGATCATCTACTATTGGTCCTCTTTTGTCAGTTATTCTGGTGATAAGTTATAGAAGGTGTTCCTTTCCTAAAATTTGCATCTTCTTTAAGTACATACATAACACTAACATCCTACCTTCAAGAACATACATAACACCGATCTCACAGAGGGAAACCACGTCTCGAGACAGAAGACTTTCGCTCCCCCTAGTGGACAAAGATGTATATTAAAATCATTATAGACAAATATTTGTAAAACTATTATTTGAATCAATAAACATACAGGCAATATAATTTGACTTATTAAATATTAGTATTTGATATCAATTGGCTTTGTTCTTTGGAATTTTATTGTTATATAATGATGAAGGTCCAGTTGGTGCTAAGACAGGATAAGAGAACCCATATTATTCGCCCCACAGTAGGGATATTGGTGTTGCAGCACGCACACAGATTGATTCCCTGCTTGATTATGTGCATTGTATACTGAACATTACCAAAGATGCTTCCTCTGCTAAAATAAAAGTGTGAATGTTGCTGTGTATGGCAGATAATAAACTGACACTTGGCTGAATAGATTTAATAAAGTTAGATATGTGCCGATGGCTTTAATCGTGTGACACAGGACAGACAAGAAGACACCAACATTCTGCAACAACAAAATCCCTGATCAAATCACAAAATACAAACCACTAATCACCAAACCTGTAGTGAAAAGGTGTACCCAGTGTTTCTTGAAAAACGCAGCAGGACATTTCACAAAAGCCAATAGTGTACGAGTTATGAAAACAGAACATTAGAGTTTATCTTTAACTATTATAACATAAATATGGCAAAACTATGCATGTAAACATGAGCACATCTTCGGAACATTCTGAAATATTTCATCATTGTACTCTACAAAGTCAGGAGTTTACAATCACAATAGTTAATATGAAATAACACAATAATGTGAGGAATCCCATGGCTTTGCAGGATTCTAATCAGTTTAGCTGACAAAATTTGACTGAATTGGAGGAACTAGTTGTGGAATTTTGGCCTAGATCTCAAACACATGGCCTTCTTTTTTGACAATGTATACATTTCCTATAGGAAAATCAAGAGACTCAAATATCAAATAGTCAAATAGAGACACCATGGGACGGTCCAGCCATCACACTGCTTAACGAAAGAAAAGATTAACGTGTTTTTGTCTGATTTGTTTTGAATATACATATTCAAAACAAATCAGACAAAAACATGCATATATGCATTTTTGTGCATATGAACGCTATTATTGGGTAGTTAAAGTAAAACAAACCCTAAATAAATAAGGCTCATACATTTATTTCAAAAGTTTAATTAAGAAAATGTTTGCAACTATACCCGCACAGAGAATAACCAACATGACAAATAGTACAAGTCCACGCCGAAATATGAGCTGTGATGTGGACAACACTTCACATCCTGCAGCGGGGCTGGATTCAGGCTGGTCTTGCAGACAGTTGTCTGGAGTTTCACAGACCGGTTCAGCAGAAGTGGCCTCTTTGGAGTCTGAAAGTTCACCCAAAATGTTAACATTGTCATGGTGTGGACATTTTGACCTGGTTTTATTTTTCTATATATTATGTAGTTTGAGTTTTCTTCCTGCCTGTCCTGTTGATTGTTGCCCCGCCCTAAAGTGATTCACCTGTGTGTCCCTGTGTACATATACCCTGTGCCTTTCCTCACTTGTTGTCCGTCCATTGTCTCTACCACGTTTGTCCTGTCTTCAGTTCTGGTGTTTTTTGTGGTTTTTACGTTACCTTGGATTTATTTTATTAAATTACTTTGATTTTCAGTCCTGCATTTTGGGTTCCCTTTTTCTTCATTCACCCACGTGACAAACATAGCTTATTCAACAATTCACCCTTTATTCATATGAACAATGGGCCTCATTCACCAATATCCTCTCAAGAATCTTCTTAAATTTCTTCGTTCTTAAGAAGATTTGTAAAGAAAACCCTATGTGGGATTTATCAATGCGTTCTTAAACCGCTGAACTGTTTGCAGCTGTTCTCTCAAATCGATGAATGCCAGGTGAGTCATTAGCATAGGTACTTAGCATAGGTAACCGCCCATTAATGGCCATAAAAGGGACTGCAGGGCCGTGTGCAGACGCCATTTAGGAAAGAGCAACATGCCTAAAGCAAAGAGTTACGACGGAGCATAAGAGTCACCCTTTTTTCTTCTTTTGCCAGACTGAGATTAAAGTCAAAATACTATGAGAATAAAGTCGGACTAGCAAAATTATTGGATTAATCTAAAAAATATCGGACCTTGCTTGGGAGGAGATCCAGCGCTTAAGTGGACCAGAGGAGAGACCATAGACTGGAGAGACCAGTGAGGACCCGGGGAGAGACCAGCGTGGATCCGGGGAGAGACCAGCGTGGACCCGGGGAGAGACCAGCGTGGACCCCGCAACCTCCTGCAGCAGCAGTTTACTGTATATGCCATTGTTTTGTGGCCCATGGATGGAGAAAATCCCCCTATGAATAGGGTGGGAGCACTAATTGACGGCATGATTTCCAATTTATTTGATAAAGTATTGGCACATTTAGTTTAAAAATTAAAAAATTGGCTAAATTACCACAAAAAATGAAATGAATAAATACATACATCAATATGACAGACATATGTAATGATGTATTTTATTGATCTTAACAAAAGAAGACAACACCAGAATGCCAACATGTCGGCACTGAAATGTGCTTAACAGTTTGTGAATGAGGCCCAATGTTTGGCCAGATCAGGCGATAAATAAAACATTAGTTTTGTTTGGAGTTTTTTTTTGTACATAATGCTGCATTCATGTTATCCTGGAAAATCAGCGATATCTATATCTATATAATCCTCCGACTTCCTATAATCCAAAATCAGAGTGTTTGGTTGGAGCTGGTGGACACAAATGCAGCAACAACAACAATGGAATTATGTGAGTGCAATTAAATATGTCGTTTGTCTTTAACTTACCTATGTGGTTGATCTGTACTCCAGCATTGACCAGGCCCCAAGATCTCTTCTGAGCCTATAGGAGGACATTTCGGTGGGTGGCAATTTTAACTCATCATTTTAGAGAATACTGCAGTTATGAACTCACTTCAACTGCTGCTTCATGCCAATTTAGTTTGGATAAATATGTTGCAAAAACAGCGGTTTGTGTGAAAGAACTTATAAGAAGACCAATCCAAAGCCCTAGGGAAGTCCACACATTGAACAAGCATATATTTCAATCAAAATATTATTTAAATTACCTTTGATGCCCATCTTTGCAGGAAACATTAATGATACACCGATAGGGAGGCCGATAGCGTAATATCCTACTAGGTTAAACAGAGCACCAGCAGATTGTTTTCCAGCTCCTCTGACCACACCTCCATTGATACCCTTTGAAAAAACACATCTTGTTTATGAAAAGATTTATTTTTAATGTTAAAATAGAAAACAATCTTACCGCAGCTGCATCACCGATATGTGTGAAAGAGTAAACAATCACCACCTCGCTCACTCGCTCTATAATTTCCCTACAATAAACACATATAGGATTTAAAACTAAGTGAAATGGACAACAAGAAGAGCCCTGAGACTATAAAAGAGAGAGAGGAAGAGAAAAATCAATAACAGAAATTAGGAAAAGAAAAATGTATAAGAATATTTTAGAAAAAGTTTGTGGGACATATGAGGTTTAAGGTTGCTGTATAGAAAGTGTCCGGAAACAAGTATGACATCCCAGCAGGAGAAGGAGTGGACTCTCAGACTGTCAAACTTAGACAGCATACCATCGGCAGGATTTTGGAGCCAAATTTGGTGATGGCCATAGCAATTGTTCCCACGTGTGCTAGCTATATTTTGAGAACAGAAGGAACCTGATTGTCCTTTTCATGGGCCCCTCCTGCGGACTGCCCTGCCCGACCTGCCTCATGGGCTGCACCCCCTCCCTGGGAGTTTCTTCAGTCCTGCACCGCACCTGTCCTCTTTCTACAACCTGAGTCCTGCCCCAAGTGGCCCTGATCGCGACCACAAGAGTGTGAAGACGGCCCGTGGTCTGAAGGGTTTTATTTTTTCAACTGTGCCACCCTAAATGCGGTGTAGTACAACGCTCGGTCCAGGTGCAAGGGAGAATGTGAAAGTCTTCATGTGCACAGCAGGAGGATGTAATGTGACACACAATATCATGTCCCCACCACACCTCGCCCCCCACATCAACCCCCCTTTACAACCATGCTCAGGCCCACCACTTTCAACCGTGCCCAAGCCCAGTTGCCGCAGTCACACGGCACCTAAATCCAGGATCTAATCCCTATCTGGGTCTAGGCCCACTTTAACGGGGCTTTAGGTTGTGCTTGGGACCGCAGCCTTAGACTGTAAGTGGGTCTAACTAAAAGGACTGTGGTGATGATCCTGGACAATCAACATTCTACAAAATGTACAGTATGGACATTTATCAACACTCATGGACATTGGTCAACTCCCTATGGACCAATGCCTATGTGTTCTATAATTTTTTGCGTTTGAACTGTTTGATTCTCTTATCTGTGTTGGCAATTTCAACCGTTTTGTTAAGTCATGTCAATGTCAATGTCAATTTTATTTGTATAGCATATATACAACAACACCAGCTGCTCAAAGTGCTTCACAGTGCACGAAAGATAAAAAAAAGAAAACAGAATGAAATACACACATACATGTAAAAATAAAATGGTAAAACTCAATTGGTGTTAAAAGCCAAGGTGTAAAAATTTGTCTTTAAACTAGATTTAAAAACTTCCAATGAAGGAGCTGCTCTAATGTACAGAGGTAGACTGTTCCACGGTTTGGGGGCAGCAACAGAAAAGGCTCGGTCTCCACGAGTTTTGAGACGAGATCGAGGCACGTTCAACAGAAGCTGGTTTTCAGACCTCACTGATCTGACAGGAGCATACAGAGATAACAGCTCTGACAGGTACACATGGGCCAAACCATTCAAACACTTAAAAACAAGCATCAGAATCTTAAATCAACCCTGAATGTAACAGGGAGCCAGTGAAGTGAGGCCAGCACGGGGGTGATGTGCTCTCTCTTACGTGTCCCCGTGAATAAGCGAGCAGCAGCATTCTGCACCTGCTGAAGGCGCTTTAATGAGCCGAGGTCCAGACCACAGTACAACAAGTTGCAGTAATCTAATCTAGATGAATTAAAAAGGTGGATAACTCGCTCAAAGTCGGTGGGTGGGATGTAAGCCTTCACTTTGCTCAAGACCTGGAGCTGATAAAAGCTGACTTTGATGACCGAGTTAATTTGCTTGTCCATCCTAAAGGTGCGATCAAAAATAACTCCTACGTTTCTAGCAGAGGAATGGACATGAGCAGAGAGTGCACCAAGTGCATCAGTGAGCTCCACAGGGATGCTGGAGCTAAAAACAACAATCTAAATTTTACTCTCATTGAGAATTAAAAAATGTTGGGCCAGCCAAGTTTTTACTTCCTGGAGACAATCAAGCAGTGTTGAAATTGACACTGAGATGTGATTTAAAGGCAGGTAGATCTGCAGGTCATCAGCATAGGCATGAAAGGAGACATTGTGTTTCTTTAGAATATTCCCAAGTGGCAGCATAAACGAAAAGAGGGCAGGGCCTAAAATGGAGCCATGTGGAACACCACAATTGAGGGCTGCCAGACCAGACTTGTAGGGCCCAAAGTGGACAGAAAAACACCTGTCACCAAGATAGGATCTGAACCAGTTTAATGCAGTGCCTTTAAAACCAGCATAGTGCTCCAAACGTGAAATTAAAAGGTTGTGATCCAGTGTCAAAAGCAGCTGTCAAATCTAAGAGAACTAAAATGGCAGGAGAACCCGAGTCAGCCGTTAAAAGCACATCATCAAAAACTCTGAGCTTTAAAACCTGATTGAAATGTGTCAAAGATGCAATTTGTGTCCAGATGCTGTTGGAATTGATTAAGAACTGTTTTCATCTGAGATAACTACTGTTGTGATTTAGGGCTTTACAAGAATAAAAAGAATTGAAATGTATGATGACAATATCGAAACAATAAAACCCAGGATCATAAATAGCTTGAAACTATTGATTTTAAACCCAAAACAACAAAGAGTTACAGGCTAAGAGGAGTTTACCTTTGTGAAGGGAGCCAAAAGTGAGTTTCAGCATAACATCATCTAGGCTTCATAGAGCTCACGTCTGCATTGTCCATTCAACATTTGATGTTGTCAAATCGTCAAGAAGATAGCCCTTATTTTGAAAGAGCTGGTTCTTTTGTTACATTAGTCTGTGTGCCTGAAGTCTCCCTTTCTTTTGTCAAATGAATAGAGTTAGAGAAAGTCATTCTGATTTATCTCCAGGTAACAAGTATTTTTTACCGTGTTGGTTAACATCTGGTTTCCACTGTAGACCAACCTCAATTAGGTGCACAGGGTCTTACCGTTCTGTAGTGAAGATATAAGCAATGTAATCTTTGGCACACAAGATCAATGCTGCAACAACACAGGCCATACAAACTAAACACAAAAAAGAAAGAGTTAACCATACCCTCATGTAGGCAGTTGAATCCAACATTTACATACACTGTAATAATACATATTATATATATAAAAATATATTTATATTTGTGCAATACCATGGGTTTCTCACAAGTTCACATACTAAAAGATTCCTTTTTATGTCTTTAACAATGTAGGAATGCCCCCACGTAGTCTTCCAAGATTGTGTGGAAATGTCCAGCCATCATGTCACTCAGGGGAGAGACAAGTGCGAAATTATTTTGTTCTAAAAATGTACAGAACAAAAACTAAAGAAGTCAGTATCCAAAAAAAAAAGAAAAACAAAAAGAGTCCTGAACGACCACTCAAGAAGGAAAACTGTGTCACCACACTGGTTCACCTCCAAGATCATCTCAGATCACCTAATGCAACTATCGGTTTGCAAAAGCCATGCATTTCTGCACAAACAGCCAAAAGGGGAACTTGTGCAGATCACGGCCAGCATGGTCTCAACTTGGAGTCTTGGAGAGGTGTTCTCTTCACTGAGTCTAGGTTTTCTCTGTTCAGGGAAGATGGCTGACAGCACAAGTGGTGCCATGTGATTGAGCAATTTCATGATGTGGGGTTAAGGAATGGCAGGGAATGGCATTTTTAATGTACAGAGATACTGTGATTCATGCAGTGGGGGGCTCAAAAGAGGATGTGCGCTGACATGCTTGCAATACCACCCCGGGCCGATGGGGGTGGACCCGGAATAAGAATTAGCCAATGCTAACATATACTGTAGCATTGGCAGACCTCTCGAAAACAAAACAATACTCGCTGTGAATTTTTGAAGTCACTCGTTCAAATGAATGGGACTCTCGTTGGCTGACGCATGCGCAGATGCGTTTTTTCACAATTTTCTTATGGGCGGGACCAATCACGGCCATTTTAGATAGCTCCAGTAGAGCAGAATTTTTGGCCCATTAGTTTGAACGGCGGAGATAGGCGTGACTACGGCCGTTAATATATACAGTCTTTGGATCCATGCTGAGATCCTGTGGCCCATTGTAGTGCCATTTATCCACAACCTGCACCTCATGCTGCAGCATGATGGTGCATGGCCCCATTTTGCAACCTTTTTTACTGAATTCCTGGCAGATGAAAAAAACCCAGGTCTCGCACATCATACATGATGGACATGTTACCCTAAGCATACCCTAAAACAGTTTTACATGACACCCAAAGGTCGACCTCTGGAGTGTCACAGGGGTTGATCCTAGGACCTCTTCTGTTCAATATCTACATGTTGTCGTTAGGTCAGTTAATACGCAGAAACAAAGTGTCCTATCATAACTATGCAGACGACACTCAGATCTATGTCTCACTGACTGCAGGAGAACATGGACCAGTGGACTCACTCCTTCACTGTATCCAACAGATCAGTGAGTGGATGCAAAACAACTTGATCGGCAGACATGATTGGCTTCCACTCTTCCAGGGAGATTGGTCCTGATCAAAGAGATTGGCCAGGACTTCAGGACAGACCTGTGCTTCCATAGCTCCATCTCGACCTGGTGGGTCGGATTGAGGACCCACCAGGTCCATACATGCATAAATTATGCCTATGATTTACTGTATGAACACATTGCTTTTTTGTCGGGGGTGGTTTCTGTAGGAGGATAAACTTGATCTAAAATGTGCTTAATTCACTTTAGTGGGTTCTTTTATTGTAAAAAAGGAATATTAAACATTCAGTGTGTCTGTAAACGAAGATTTGGGAAACATGTGATGTGAACACGCAGTGCTGTTAGCAGGTATGTGCACTGAATCTGATTTCTACTGTATTTCTACAATTTCATCAACAAAACAAAACGAAAATTAAACTTGAAGAACCCAATATGGAATAGCAGACGAGTCACATGGTTTGTCTCCAGGATGCGCTGCAAGGAAATTGCAATCATGAATGCTCATTATGTATTTGTAGCTAATATAGCTAATATACACTCCATGCCTTCTTATAAGCCTTATATAAGGGTTTTGTTTTTTGGCGGGTCCACACCAAATTGTTTTTTGTTTTGTCATCTTACATCCACAAACCACTGGAACTTTTGCAGCCAGCTTCGCCGCCTCAACTTTTCCTGCTCCAAGTGCTTGTCCGACACGAACACTGGCTGCACATGAAAGTCCAAGAGGGAGCTTCAAAAACAAGAACAATTTTTAAAAATACAATTAAACATGATGTGTCGCATCTTGATATTACACTGTCAAAAAGGAACAAAAATGGCCATTCATAACCCTAACCCTAATAACAAATCTTAAAGAGTTTAAAGACGTTGACTAACATTCTATAGATTTTAGAACAAAAACATTTAAACTAAAATGTTTAAACATTATGTCTTGTGTCCTCTAATGCCCCACATAGCGGATTCTGATCAAAGGTAAAAGTTAAGATTTACTTTATTGTCAGGGTACTGAAATTTGTCTTTCTGTATTTAACAGATCTTTAAAGGACACAAGGACCTCTGTCGCCACCTCGTGCTCCGTAGAACAAGAAACACTTATTTTCTGAAACTATTGAAGGCTGCAGTATCTATCTTCATGTTCTGTTCAGATTAACAAACCCATTATTTCTGGGGCTACCAAAAATGGTCCAGCAAGCCACAGTGTGACACAGCTGAGCTCATTAATACCCAAGAGTGGCTCGAATAACAAATATGAACCCAGTGTTTTGTGTTTTACTGTACCATATAAGCAATAACACAGAGCTCATAGATCACACTCTGTGCACCAAGTTCAGTCTCACTGATGATCCCAGCGAGAAACGCCCCGATTTCAAGAATCCACCACTCCAGACACAGCATCAGCATGCTGGGGATGGCCAGCTTTATGAAGGGCCCCCACTCCTGCAGACAGTCAAGTGACCAGCCTGTGGAAATACCAACACATTAAAAATGTCATGCAAAATCTGTTATTTTGAACACTGCTCAGACAAGTTGTAGCTAGATACAACTTGTATCAAGCTACAGTTGTATGTAAGTATAATAGAACACATACAGTATCTATCAACAAATAAAAAAAATAAAATAAAAAAAATGCAGCAGGGATCAGCATGTTTCAATTAAGGAGACATCACCTCTCTGCAAGACATGGCTTATTCTCACAAGTGGTGAGTATTGTGTGTTGTATCACTCACATTATTATCACACATGTGCTTAGGGTGGACAGTGAAAATTGAAGAAGAGCATTATACGGGATCTTTAAGAAGCATTAGTTCTTATTCTAAGTAAACAAAGTAGTAGCCTAATTGTGTTGATTGTATAAAGGGTCCACTTAAGTTTGGTCGGGCAATCTTAAGATGTCCTGTTTATGAACATTTTGGCTGAAAAAAAAAACCCTCTGGACACTTCCCAAGCATATCAAGTGAATCAAAAACACATTTGTTTGAGAAAAAATTAAAAGAAAATTGTCAGCCTGAAATTGAAATGTATGTCATTTCAATTTTAATGTGTATATATATTTGTTGCTCATCTACTTTAACTTTCCAAGTTCAAAGAAGAGAAGTGCTCAGAGGAGCTAATGTTATTGGTTGTCTTGTATTTGTAGTGTGCTTTCAATGACATAATAAACTCTTGAAAACGTTTCTATTTTCTACTCTACTATTCATATATTACTCGTAGTGCAAGTATTTATACAAATATTGATTTCTCTACAAACCTCCCCATGTCTTTTTGTGGAGGCCTCTTGCATAAATATATACGAATAGAATAAATGCCAGCAAAAATTGAGTAACGCTGTTGGCTGCTGCTGACCCCCTGAAAAAAAAGTAGTTAATTGAGAAGATATTGTATATGAAACCTGTGAAAGTAGGGCACACACACACACACACACACACACACACACACACACACACACACACACACACACACACACACACACCCACACACACACACACACACACACACACACACACACACACACACACACACACACACACACACACACACACACACACACACACACACACACACAATAGAGCCGGGATATATAGATATATATATCTGTATAGATATATACTGTATATATATATATATATATAAATATATAAACATATATTTATGTGTGTGTGTGTAATCGATTAATCTTAACACATTAAAGTCCCGACCAAATATATATTTACACAATTATGTGTGTGTTTGTACAGTACCTAGCGAAAGTATTCGGCCCCCTTGAACCTTTCAACATTTCGCCACATTTCAGGCTTCAAACATAAAGATATAAAATTTTATTTTTTTGTCATGAATCAACAACAAGTGGGACACAATCGTGAAGTGGAACAAAATTTATTGGATAATTTAAACTTTTTTAACAAATAAAAAACTGAATAGTGGGGCGTGCAATATTATTCGGCCCCTTTACTTTCAGTGCAGCAAACTCAGTCCAGAAGTTCAGTGAGGATCTTTGAATGATCCAATGTTGTCCTAAATGACTGATGATGATAAATAGAATGCACCTGTGTGTAATCAAGTCTCTGTATAAATGCACCTGCTCTTTGATAGTCTCAGGGTTCTGTTTAAAGCGCAGAGAGAACCATGAAGACAAAGGAACACACCAGGCAGGTCCGAGATACTGTTGTGGAGAAGTTTAAAGCCGGATTTGGATACAAAAAGATTTCCCAAGCTTTAAACATCTCAAGGAGCACTGTGCAAGCAATTATATTAAAATGGAAGGAGTATCAGACCACTGCAAATCTACCAAGACCCGGCCGTCCCTCCAAACTTTCATCTCAAACAAGGAGAAGACTGATCAGAGATGCAGCCAAGAGGCTCATGATCACTCTGGATGAACTGCAGATAACTACAGCTGAGGTGGGAGAGTCTGTCCATAGGACAACAACCAGTCGTGCACTGCACAAATCTGGCCTTTATGGAAGAGTGGCAAGAAAAAAGCCATTTCTCAACAATATCCATAAAAAGTCTCGTTTAAAGTTTGCCACAAGCCACCTGGGAGACACACCAAACATGTGGAAGAAGGTGCTCTGGTCAGATGAAACCGAAATCAAACTTTTTGGCCACAATGCAAAACGATATGTTTGGCGTAAAAGCAACACAGCTCATCACCCTGAACACACCATCCCCACTGTCAAACATGGTGGTGGCAGCATCATGGTTTGGGCCTGCTTTTCTTCAGCAGGGACAGGGAAGATGGCTAAAAGTGATGGGAAGATGGATGGAGCCAAATACAGGACCATTCTGGAAGAAAACCTGTTGGAGTCTGCAAAAGACCTGAGACTGGGACGGAGATTTATCTTCCAACAGGACAATGATCCAGTCAAAGTCCAGACCTGAATCCAATCGAGAATCTGTGGAAAGAGCTGAAGACAGCTGTTCACAAACGCTCTCCATCCAACCTCACTGAGCTCGAGCTGTTTTGCAAGGAAGAATGGGCAAGAATCAGTATCTTGATGTGCAAAACTGATAGAGACATACCCCAAGCGACTTGCAGCTGTAATTGCAGCAAAAGGTGGCGCTACAAAGTATTAGCGCAAGGGGGCCGAATAATATTGCACCCCCCACTTTTCAGTTTTTTTATTAGTTAAAAAAGTTTAAATTATCCAATACATTTCATTCCACTTCACGATTGTGTCCCACTTGTTGTTGATTCTTGACAAAACATTTCATTTTTATATCTTTATGTTTGAAGCCTGAAATGTGGCAAAATGTTGAAAGGTTCAAGGGGGCCGAATACTTTCGCAAGGCACTGTATATGTGTGTATGTGGGTGTGCGTGTGTGCGTGTGTAAATACTCACTCAATTCCAAGGTCCAGCAGGTATATGAGTACATAATTAATGACTGCATTTAGGATGTTGCCAATTACTCCAGTTATAACTTGAGGCCAGATGATAGACTGTAAAAAACTCACATTTGATTTTTTCTTCTTTACTTTGGATAGAGGTGACTTCCACAGGATGTTCCAGCCTTACCTGGTTTTGAAGATATCTCGCTTGAAGCTGATACATAAACGCTGCCTGTGAATGTATATGAAAAATAAGAAAGCATCATGGTAAAACAATTATATAAAATGGAAGTTCAGTACCGGTAATGAAGGCATGAAGATGTTGACATAAAGTTGAGATAGTCTGTTGACCAAAACATGTTATCATGATTTACATTTAACTGGTAAGATGAAGCTTTACAACAACACAATCTTAATTTAAACAATGAAGCATTTATTACAGCTGTCACTATTTCCTTTTTTCTATTTGTAAGTGCAATAAACAGACGATAGACACATTATGTGGCAGACCGGGGGCGGGGGTGGAAAGTCCCTCTCTAAAACAAGGGGGACCAGAGGGAATATTCCAGTTGACGTGGGATCACACTCCTCAGCCTCCCCAGTAAGGTCTACTCCTAGGTACTGGAGAGGAGACTTCGACCGATGGTCATTGGATACTCAAGGGATCATGGGAGTTCGCCTAACCTGTCCACATGTACTTTGTGGATTTGGAGAAGGCGTTCGACCGTGTTCCCTGGGGTGTCCTTTGGGAGTACGGGGTCCGGGGTCCTCTGCTGAGGGCCGTCCGGCTCCTATAGGACCAGAGTCATCGCCGGCAGTAAGTCAGACCTGTTCCCGGTGCATGTTGGCCTCCGTCAAGGCTGCCCTTGGTCACAAGTTCTGTTCACTGAGTTTATGGACAGAATTTCTAGGCGCAGCGGACGATGTCGTCCTGTTGGCTCCAACGAAACAGGACCTGCAACATGCACTGGGACGGTTTGCAGCCGAGTGTGAAGCGGCTGGGATGAGAATCAGCACCTCCAAATCTGAGGACATGGTGCTCAAAAAGGTGCCTTGCCCTCTCCAGGTGGGTGGAGAGGTCCTTCGTCAAGTGGAGGATCGGTGCAATGTGCACAGTGATGCGGTCGCTGTATTGGACCGTTGTGGGCAAAAGGGAGCTGTGCCGAAAGGCAATCTTTGTTCCCTCGCTCACTGAGAGGAGACCCCGGGAAGACCCAGAACACGCTGGAGGGACTATGTGTCTCAGCTGGCCTGGGAACGCCTTGGGGTCCCCCCGGATGAGCTGGAGGAAGTGTGTGTGGATAGGGAAGTCTGGGCATCCCTGCTTAGACTGCTGCCTCAGCGACCCCGGCAATGGATGAAGCGGAAGAAAATGAATGGATGGATCAAATTCAATTCAATATGTAAAAAGTACTTAACATAATCATTCCCTGATGGAGGAAGATGTTGTCCATCCATCCATCCATTTTCTTCCCCTTAATCCATTTCTTGGTCGGGGGGGTGGCAGTCAGAGCTGTACCACGTACACAGAGTACCGGCCCCTCACTGATCCTCCTGCAAGTGGTGAGTCCACGGGAGCTGAGATCTCTCAGTGGGGGCTTCAGGCAAAGTGGGGTTAAGTGTCTTGCCCAAGGACACAAGGACAGCAGTTATCAGTGGGAGTTGGCCAAGGCTCTACCAACTGAGCCACTGTCGCCCAAGGAAGATTTTGTACCAATGCAAAATATATTTTTAAATTATTAAAATCTATCCAATTCAGTCACAAAACAAGGTAATGTTGCTAAACTAAATTAGAAAACCTGTAAAAAAAAATGTACTTTGTATGGATTTTTTCCCAGTATTAAGTAATTTCTGTAGTTGTTTGGTCGTATTTGCACAAATCTTGAATTCATGAAAATGCATTATTACTATTATTTTCTATTTGATCATCTGTTAATACACATGCAAGAGATTAAATTGCAAGAGTGGTATAACTATTGACAAGGAGTAAACTAAGAACATGATGCCTAAAAGCAGAAGGAGGAAGTTCCAAACTAATAGGATGAATTAAACCCATTACCTTAAATTAAATCTCTTATTTCTTAGAAGGAAACCTATTTGCGCAACCAAGATTCCGTTAAATTTTTTGTGTGCTGCTCTGGACATGTCATAGTTTAGTGTGAATGACTTAAACATTGTGACTCACAGACCTGGCCACAGCAGGGCTCTGTTTGACGAGGAGCAGCAGCACTTCTGTGTTCAGCAGGATGGCCCAACAGGGAAAACAGGCCAGTAACAGGATCAGAACCCCCCTCTGTAGAATCACTCCGACTCTCTTCAAGTTACCACTCCCATAAGTCTAAACAGTACAAGAAACAAAAGCTTTCAAGTACAACACTTACAGTAGGTTTTTTGCAGTTCTGTCATTAACTTGATCCAAATTATACAAAAATCTCCCACTCACTCCATACACAATGCAAGACTCTAATAGTCTGTAATAAATATTTCATACTGTGTAATCTGTGTTTTTATAGTGATCTATGTACATGTGGTCTATTTTTATGCTTTAGGGACCAGGTCTGCAAATTAGCTGTTAGCTTCATGGCCTTACATGGTTTGTGTTCCGTTCCTATCAAATAAAGATATAATAAAAAAAAAAAAATACATAAAATAATAATAATCCACAGTGGTGATAAACTGCTATTGTAACCACAGCAGCCCTGGGGCACACTGACAGAAGCGAGGCAACCAGTATGTGCCATCAGCGCCTACAACCACCAGCAACCATTCATTCACACACCATACACATTCTGGGCAATGTGTCTTGCCTAAGGACACAGCGACATACTGGCACTTTACAGCCGCAGTACTGCCTGGTGGTCTCCGAGGTCTCATCACACCACTAACAAGGCTCTGCCCTGCTTAGCTTCAGAGGTCTGATGGGACCTTTGAAGCTGCAGGTATGGCCACGGATGTAATATGACTGTAATGGCTGAACAACTAAAGGCTGTGCATACAACTGGAAGTAAAATTAGCAATAAAACCGTGACATGAATGTGGCGGTTTGCACAGTGAGAGTGAGTTTGGTGTTTGTCTATTTTAAAGAACACAAAACTCAAACAAGAGGCACTCTATGGGAGCGTCAAACTTGAACTGCTGTGGTGTGTCTTCTTTTAAAACAAATAAGATCTACAGGAGGAGGTCTAGGCAGAGACAAACAGGTTATGCAGAAAGTCCTCGGGCTGCTTTACCTGTGATATTAGAGTGTCACAGGTTAAAGATAAACCTGTGCCAATGGAAAGGCCTGTGACGTTGATGACCTGCACAAAAACACAAGTAAATACAACAATTACCAACCGCTATGCTTGCTCCAGTGATCCTGTTTTTATTTACCCCAATTGACAAGGCCACACTTGCAAGTTCTGTTTCTCCCAGATGTCCAGCGAATACAAGGCTAATGAAACTCGTCATGAAGAACATAGCTTGGGAGATGAACTGAGCACAAAACAAAAATGTGTTACACAGACCGAGTAAGTACTCTTTATTTATATACTGCCTTTCACAGACCAGAGTCACAAAGCGGTTTACAATTGTTATTTTTGGGCATTTGTCTCTCACTCCACACAGAGATGGGAGCGGGGGCGCCAGTACAGGAGGCGCATGCACAGTCCTATGGTACATGTTTTTTAGTGGTAGGAGAAACCAGAGTACCCGGAAGAAACCTACGCAGACACGGGGAGAACATGCAAACTCCACACAGAAAGGCCCTGGTCCGACCAGGATTCGAACCCAGGACCTTCTTGCTGAGAGGCGAGAGTGCTATCGCTCAGCCACCGAGTCACCCAATGCACTTTACAATGTTCAGAGTTCAGATATTGTATAATTCTCTCCGCACACGATGCGGGAAGCGAGACGCCAAACACACTGGTGCATCAAAGCCTCTGACCAAACACCATCCATTCACTCACTCATTACATTCAGACCTATTGTACATGTTTTTAGTAGTAGGGGAAACCGGAGCACCCGGAGGAAACCCACGCAAACCCTCTTTATCCTTCTCCCTACTTAAGTTTCAAAGTGTCAAAGCAATGACACCTATGTTTCACGCCACAACAAATAACTATTACAATTAACTATGTAGTTATTATAGTAATTATATATAAATGATCATTTTATCTATATTAGATTTGACATGCATGAAGATTATTGCCTCTGAGATCAACCAAGCAGCTTGTCTCAGACCAAACTGACAAATAGTGACTTTTTTTCTTAAGAATAAGAGAGCATGTTGAGGTCTAATTTATTTACATAATCTTACTTATTCGGTCAACAACTTTATTTTGTATCCATAGAATAAAGATCAGCTCAAACTGGTGTTTTTTCTGTTTTGTTCTTTCCTTAAGATGAACAAGACTGCATCACTCACCACTGGTCCCGCCAGTTTGAACAGCTCCACAACTTCAGTCCTGTAAACAGCAGGGATAAGATTCTTCGCATGTTTTAGACACGATCCTTGGTCCACTGCCTCTTCATCGTCAGCTTCTGTCAACACGGGACTTTTGGACGTGTCGTTCATGGTGTTTACAAGGACGAGCTACTGCTACCATGAGGCGAGGGAGTTTAAAGAAAAGGGATTCATTGTAAACTCCAAAGGGGCGGAAATGCCCTTAAGACTAGATACACAACAGCCAACCGCTCCGTTGGCTCTCATCAGACACAAGCCTCAATAACCCTCTGTCGCTCTGTTCTAGAGTGAAAAAAAAAATTACATTTTGTTGTAGATACAGTGGTTTCACTTACATAAGCTGAAGTCTTTAGTGTTATTGTTTACATTAGTGCTAACTTTTTAGGTAAATTGTTAGATTATATGTCTAATCTTCTTCCCATTGATCAATTCCGGGATGGGGGTACGGCAGTTAGAGCTGCACCCAATTCACAGAGCAGCAGCAGGTGAGGAGGGTTGTAACTGTTCTTAAAGCGTTATACCATGTTATGCCAAAGGCTGTTTGCTCACTTGATGTTAAGTTCAATACATTTTCTGCTTAACCTGTTAGGGATGACCGCCCACTGAAGTATGTGTAATATAATATATATATATATATATTTAACTGTTCTCCTCCTGAAAATCACACTGGTCACAGTTCTGCCAAGGGCAAAGACTATTTAGAAGTCTGTTGAAAAATTCTTCAATGACACTTTTGTTGTTTGAAAATATCTTAATATATTTCAGTCAAAAGAATAAAAACAGACACTAGCATTTCCAAAGTGACCCACTTTTTTTGTACTAGTAAAAAAGTCCAACAATTGTGTGATTAGATAAATACACTAAAATCAAGTCTATATGTTGTGTGACTGTCTCTATCATGCTTTGTTCAGCACTTCCAGTTGCCTTTTGTATGAGTTGTGCTATACAAATAAACTTGCCTTTCCTATTATGGCATGAGATCAACAAACAGAACAGCCTCAGTTGAATAAAGTCATTAGCAGTTTGCTCGTAGTGATGCCAGAGATCAGGATGACGATCATGAGAATCAGCGTGAGTGATCGTCGTAAAAGCAGGGCCCTCGTTGGCAGGACGTCCCCCACTGTGTTCGTGGTGGTGAATGTCTCCTCTGTCTCCTGCCCATCTACACTGAGAGCAGTGCCCACCTCCGCATGGATCTGACGGGGGGCTGTCAGTAAAGGACAAAGCAGGTTAAATCTGGTTAAAAACATACTTTAGGTTGTATGACAATCATTACCGTCTGAGGTTGATTCTTCTCGTTTGACCTGGATGCCAGATCTTTCAAACGCCTGCACAAAATAATAGTTAAATCACATTTACACAGCGAAGATATAGGCCATGAAACTTGTATATGAATGGAGATGTTATTGATGCCTGGAAAGTATGAATGAATACAGTCAACAAACATGATAGAGATTGTTTTCATCTGTTTCAATAATTAAAATCAAGTCATGGCAGTTATCTACAGCTTTTTAACGGTAGATTAGAGGCATCCGAAGCAAAAAGTTAAATTACATCAGCGGCCTTTAACAGCTGCTGGGACAAATAAAGCTTCTATCTATCTGTCTATCTATCTTTAAGTACAATAGTAGTCTAACAATAAATGCACTTTCATGCACGATGGCCACTTGCACATGCACACACTTTGGAATTTCATACTTGTTACTCAAATAAGTTTTAGTTTAAAACCACGTTTCCACTGCAAGAACTTCGGGTTCGTGTCTCCACTGCAGGAACCTTTCCCATAGGGCCATTTACAGGAACTTTTAGATAAGATAAGCATGTTTGTTCTTTTTTTAAATTCCTTTGGGCCTTGAACAGCTCCTGGTGGGGCTTGAGGTTAACCTGGTGCTGATTAGCTAAAGCTAACGCAGGCTCTGACGCCAGCAGAAAGCAGCAAAACAACCAGCATTTTAAAAATTCAGAAACTTTAGCCCAGCAGCATTAGCCTTGCAGACACCACTGGAAACAGCAAACAACAGCACAGTATTGATTCAGACGGGGTTTGACGGGGCCTCGCGGTGAAATGAAAAGATCTATTAAGACATATCAGCTTCACCTTGAAGAACTGGGGATTCATCACACTCTAAAACAAGCCGTGAAAAGTTTTAATAAAATGAAGCAGGACTATAAAAACAAAAAAATAATCAAAGACCACAAACATATAAGGTAATCAAGTTGTAAAATTTTCCTTTCACGTTGTCCTATTAAAATCCAGATTACTTTTGTTACTAAAACACTGAACAAAAAGTTAACTTGAAACTTGCACACCTCTTTAGCAACTTTTGTCCAATCAAGATTGTATAGAAACAGGATGAAAACGGAGCACTGCAGGCAGACGCAGATGGACAGGCCAGTCCAAAGCCCTGTTACATTTACAAGAAAAACACACAGATAAGAAAACCCGAGATAAATGAGATTCTAAAGAGCAACAATGACATCCATATCTTCAGTCAAAGAGAAATATTATGCATTATGGCCCTGAATATAGACTGTATATAGATGGACATGGCAAATCTTCCAGCTCAATGAATCCCAATAGGGAAGTGCTCACGGACGAAGTTTTGATCCAGCTCTCTCTGACTCCTATTGACTTACATTGGAAAGTAAGTCTAGCGCAAACACTGTTTTTGTCACACTCTCCATTTTGATTTGATTTTGATTTAGAAAAAATCTATTTAGCGCCCATGTGTATAGTGTATGTATACATGTGTTTACAAATGACATACAAACCGAGGGAGGAATTGAACTTATTTTAAAATTCAACTGGGCCATGTTATAGCAAAGAATGTAATTTCACTGAGAAACGCTGTTCTGGTACAATGACATCATACAAGACTGAGACAGGAGCCTTTAGACAGAGCTATTATTAGACAGAGGTTCCTGATATTAGCCAGTCTGGAGCAAAAATCAACTCTGGGTCTGTTTTTGATGAGAGAAAATTTTGAATCTTACCTACAATACCCATCTTGGCTGCAAACATTAAAGACACGCCGATGGGAAAGCCAATCAAATACAATCCCACCAGGTTACACAGAGCACCTATCCACTGCTTCCCCGCTCCTCTCAGCACGCCCGCCGCTACACCCTGGAAATGATCATACAAATATACTTTTACAGATGCTGATTTTCATTTAAAAAAAGGACAAACATGCAGAATCAAAATGACACATGAAAAAATAGACCACTATAGTTTTCTCCTTTTTCATCAAGATACACTCAAAAGGTTTTAGAGCGATTTATGTTTGAATCATTTATAATTTCTTACACACGAGATTCAGTGTCCATTGATTTCTAACTTCATCTGCAGTATAATCCAAGCCAACAGGGCCTGACCATGTTTCAGCTGACCAATCAGATGCCTTCAATTTCAGGGTAAACTTTAGCGTCTCTTAGCAACCATCGTAGCAACACGTCTATGGATCTTTTATGGCACTTTTGATGGAACTATGTTCATTTAAGATTTTCTACCTCTCAACCTCCGCATCTTTTATCATTTTCTTCACATCTGCCCCTGTTAGGGTGTGAAGTTAGCGCCATCAGAACTAATGCCCATATAAGGGAATTGGCTCAGGTCGCAAAGCAATACAGTGGAACTGAATGGATTTTTGATGACAACTATTTAGAGCAATAGTTAGAATATATTTGAATATATAGAATAATGAATTATTGGTGCCATAGATCATCACTTTAAAGCAGGCAAAGAATCAATGTCCTCTTTAATAACAGAAAGCTATTAGAAATGTATTACCATTATAAATAATATTTATTTATTTATTTATTCAGCCATGACATTATTACAATCATAATGAAAATAATAAGAACACAAATAGTTCAATTCCATTACATGTTGCTGAATAGGAGCATGTGGAAGACAAAGTCTTATGTTTCATGCCCCTTGACACAGTATTTAGTTGACAGATTGAAAAATGGAAAAAAATGGGATGGCACGCCTTTATATGTTTATTATCATTATTATTATTTTATTATTATATTATTTTATATTTTTTCTTTACACATAACAATCTTACACTTTACTGTAGTTATTGTTGATTTTATTGTGTTTACCTCTATTCTGTTGGATTTTTAAACAACCAATCATTTACCATAATTTGCAAGTACTTTTTTTTAATACATTTTCTTCAACTGTACAATGGTGTTACAGGAATAGTAGCAAGAAGTGACAAATATTTACATAATTTCTTACCGCTGTGGCATCCCCAATGTGCAGGAATCCAAATAAAACCATGACTTCAGAAACCCTCAGAATGATGTCACTGGGAAATAAAAGCAAACGTGAAAACCATAAAAAACATTGCATTTAACAGGGTGCTTGCCAAATTAATATTCCAGACTTTTTAAAAACTGAACTAATGCAGTATGTGACCAGTTAGTAAAATTATAGTTTTATAGTCTACCCTCCTATTTCTCATTTCACAATGCCTCTAAGCATCCATCCATCCATCCATTTTCTTCCGCTTTATCCGTTGCCGGGTCGCGGGGGCAGCAGTCTAAGCAGAGACGCCCAGACTTCCCTATCCACACACACTTCCTCCAGCTCGTCCGGGGGGACCCCAAGGCGTTTCCAGGCCAGCTGAGAGACATAGTCCCTCCAGCATGTCCTAGGTCTTCCGCGGGGCCTCCTCCCGTTGGGACGTGCCCGGAACACCTCCCCTAGGGAGGCGTCCAGGAGGCATCCGGAACAGATGCCCGAGCCACCTCAACTGGTTCCTCTCGACGTGGAGAAGCAGCGGCTCTACTCCGAGCTCCTCCCGTGTGACTGAGCTCCTCACCCTATCTCTAAGGGAGCGCCCAGCCACTCTGCGGAGGAAGCTCATTTCGACCGCTTGTAACCGCGATCTCGTTCTTTCGGTCAGTACCCAAAGCTCATGACCATAGGTGAGGGAGGGAACGAAGATTGACCGGTAAATCGAGAGCTTTGCCTTTCGGCTCAGCTCCCTCTTTACCACAACGGTCCGATACAGCGACCGCATCACTGCGCACGCTGCACCGATCCGCCTGTCAATCTCACGCTCCATTCTTCCCTCACTCGTGAACAAGACCCCGAGATACTTGAACTCCTCCACTTGAGGGAGGACCACTCCACCCACCTGCAGAGGGCAAGGCACCTTTTTCCGGTCGAGCACCATGGCCTCGGATTTGGAGGTGCTGATTCTCATCCCAGCCGCTTCACACTCGGCTGCAAACCGCCCCAGTGCATGCTGCAGGTCCTGGTTCGTTGGAGCCAACAGGACAACATCGTCCGCAAACAGCAGAGATGAAATCCTGTGGTCTCCGAACCGGACCCCCTCCGACCCCTGGCTGCGCCTAGATATTCTGTCCATAAATACAGTGAACAGAACCTGTGACAAAGGGCAGCCCTGTCGGAGGCCAACATTCACCGGGAACAGGTCTGACTTACTGCCGGCAATGCGAACACAGCTCTGGCTCCGGTCATACAGGGATCGGATGGCCCTCAGCAGAGGACCTCCGACCCCGTACTCCCGGAGAACCCCGCAAAGGACACCCCGGGGAACACAGTCGAACGCCTTCTCCAGATCCACAAAGCCAGGTTGGGCGAACTCCCATAAACCCTCGAGTATCCGATGGAGAGTATAGAGCTGGTCCAGTGTTCCGCGACCGGGACGAAAACCACACTGCCCCTCCTGGATCCGAGATTCGACCATCGGCCGTAGCCTCCTCTCCAGTACCTTGGAGTAGACCTTACCGGGGAGGCTGAGGAGTGTGATCCCACGATAATTGGAACACACCCCCCGGTCCCCCTTCTTGTAGAGAGGGACCACCACCCCGGTCTGCCACTCCATTGGCACTGCCCCCGATCGCCACGCGATGTTGCAGAGACGTGTCAGCCAAGACAGCCCCACAACATCCAGAGACTTTAGATAATCAGGGCGGATCTCATCCACACCCGGAGCCTTGCCACCATGGAGGCTACCAACCAACTTGGTGACCTCAGCCAGGGAGATGGAAGTATCCGCCCCAACATCCTCAGCCTCTGCCTCTGTAACAGAGGACGTGACGGGGGGATTGAGGAGAACCTCAAAGTATTCCTTCCACCGCCCGACAATATCCCCAGTTGAGGTCAGCAGCTCTCCACCCGCACCGTACATGGTGTTGGCAAAGAACTGCTTCCCCCTCCTGAGGCGCCGGATGGTTTGCCAGAATCTCTTCGAGGCCGACCGATAGTCATGCTCCATGGACTCTCCAAACTCCTCCCAGTCCCGGGTTTTTGCCTCTGCAACAGCCCGGGCCGCGGCACGCTTGGCCTGCCGGTACTGGACAGCTGCCTCAGGAGTCCCCCGAACCATCATGGCTCGATAGGACTCCTTCTTCAGCCTGACAGCATCCCTTACTGCCGGTGTCCACCACCGGGTTCGGGGGTTGCCGCCGGGACCAGCACCAGAGACCTTGCGACCACAGCTACGAGCCGCCGCATCGGCGATTGAGGCAGAGAACATGGTCCACTCGGACTCCATGTCCCCCTCCTCCGCCGGGACCTGGGAGAAACTCTCCCGGAGGTGTGAGTTGAAAGTCCGTCTGACAGGGGGCTCAGCGAGACGTTCCCAGCAGACCCTCACTATACGCTTGGGTCTGCCAGGTCTGACCGGCTTCTTCCCCTGCCAGCGGATCCAACTCACGACCAGGTGATGATCGGTTGACAGCTCCCGCCCCTCTCTTTACCCGAGTGTCCGAGACACGCGGTCGAAGGTCAGATGATACGACAACAAAGTCGATCATCGACCTCCGGCCTAGGGTGTCCTGGTGCCACGTGCACTGGTGGACACCCTTGTGCTCGAACATGGTGTTCGTGATGGACAAACTGTGACTGGCACAGAAGTCCAACAACTGAACACCGCTCGGGTTCAGATCAGGGGGGCCGTTCTTCCCGATCACCCCTCTCCGAGTGTCACTGGCGTCTCCCACATGGGCGTTGAAGTCCCCCAGGAGAATAACGGAGTCCCCGGGCGGTGCACCGTCCAATACCCCTCCCAAGGACTCCAAGAAGGCCGGGTACTCTGCACTGCCGTTAGGCCCGTAGGCCGTCACAACAATGAGAGACTTGTCCCCCACCCGGAGGCGGAGGGACGCAACCCTCTCATTCACCGGGGAAAACTCCAACACGTGGCGGCTGAGATGGGGGGCAATGAGAATGGCCACCCCAGCTTGCCGCCTCTCCCCGCGGGAAACTCCAGAAAAGTGGAGCGTCCAACCCCTCTCAAGGAGTTGGGTTCCAGAGCCCAAGCTGTGTGTGGAGGTGAGGCCGACTATCTCTAGTCGGTATCGCTCAACCTCCCCCACAAGCTCGGGCTCCTTCCCCCCCAGTGAGGTGACGTTCCACGTCCCAAGAGCCAGCTGTTGTGTGTGCGGACTGGGTTGCCGAGGTCTCCGCCTTTGACCGCTACCCAGTACTCTCTGCACCGCTTCGCCACCACGGACCCCTCTGCGGGTGGTGGGCCCACAGGAGGGACTGCCCACGTTGTCCATTCGGGCTGAGCCCGGCCGGGCCCCGTGGGCTAAGGCCCGGCCACCAGGCGCTCGCATACGAGCCCCGACCCCAGGCCTGGCTCCAGGGTGGGGCCCCGGCTGCGCCATGCCGGGCGACGTCACAGATTTCATGTTTGTGCTGTCCATGGTGTCTTCTGGACTGCTCTTTGTCTGACTCGTCACCTGAGACCTGTCTGCCATGGGAGGCCCTACCAGGGGCACAAAGCCCCAGACAGCATAGCTCCCAGGATCATCCGAGTACTCAAACTCCCCCACCACGTTAAGGTGGCAGTCCAGGGGGGAGTGCCTCTAAGCATATACTAGAAAATTCTACCATACATTTTTTTTCCATACTTTATGGAAAAAACGTATATTTTTTACTCAAAATTCAAGACTTTTCAAGGTTTGGAAAACAGTGTTCCAAAATTCCATACTTATTAGGACGATCAACACTTGCGCAAGCACCCTGATATAATCAACCATTTAAGCACTCACTGTTCGGTGGTAAAAATGTATCCAATGACATGACGGGAAAGGCTGAGACTCGCTCCGACAAAACACGCGCAAAAAACTGTTTGAAGGAAAAAAAACAACATTATTTCATCTGTGCTTCTATGTAATTATAGTTAAATATGAATCAGTATTTCTTACATGCGCAAAAAATAGGCACTCTGCAAGACAACTTGGCTTGCTCCACATTCCCGGCCCCAAGAGCGTTTCCGACCCGTACGCTAGCAGCTACTGAGAATCCGAGAGGAAACTGACGGGGAAAACGTTACGGTATGTTGCAAAGTCAATAGTGCTTTGGAGTCATTAAAGGAGCATTAGGCAACTTTTTATGTGATTTCTTGTATATGTTTTTTAATATTTGATCTTGTAGTGACTCAGAGGCTGCAGTATGGTGCCTTCACTTTTCATCACAATGGTGCTATAGGATATGTTTGGGAAGGCTTTTCTGCTGTCGTACCCTTGCACCGGAAAATCCACAACAAAATTATCCTGGAGCACTGTAGACACAACTGTGGTCAAAAGTAAAGGCCCCATGCTGACCACTCTATTACAGCCACTGGGTCACCACAAGGCCATTTACGCAAAATTAAACTTTTTATTCACATAAAAAATTGCAAAATTCAATTAACCTGGTATGACATAATGGACTTGTAAGCCAATTAATTATACAGTTATAATGTCCACGTTTTTTGTCAGTCTGTTAGTTTGCAACATCACTAAAAAAAGAGTTTCAGGAAACAATTAGATCAGGGGTGTCCAAACTAATGCGGCCCCAGTGTCATTTAAACTGGCCCTCTGCCTTGCTAACACAAAGTCACAGTGTCATCCAGCCAACTTCAACTCCACCAGTATGTAATGCTTTACCTGTAAAGCTCAGAAGCGTTGGAAGCCAGCTGTGAACGTTATTTATATTTATACTGAATGATTTTTGGTTGTGTCACACATTTCATTATTGGCACTAATATGGCTGAGGTGAGAATCAATGAACATTATCCCTTTTTAAAGCCAAGAACCCGAATCCAGTCAAAAACAGTTTTAAAATTGTGGGTTATCAGCCCCTGCATAAGTCTGAATAACTAAAGTCACCTTCTTAATAAAACGTTTGGACACCCCTGGATTTGATTTTGGAGGTGATTCACATCATCGTCTGGCTCCAAGAGGCAGCGCTTCTCTAGTATTTACTCCTTAGGAAAAAAAAAAAAAAAGACATTACATGGTCTTATCTTTCGATCTGCTCAGAAAATCTGTTCTCAGCCCAAAAAGTTAAATAGTGACAAGTATATAGTTCTTGTTAGAGGCAGAATTTATTGTTATTATAATTATTAGATTAAAACATTTTGATTACAGACAAAATGTGCTGGTGATAAGTGGACTGGGTGCAGCTCTGACTGCCACCCCCCGACCCAGAAATGGATTAAGGGGAAGAAAATGGATGGATGGATGGATTACAGACAATTTTCTACTTCACGATCAACAAAAAAAGTTGTTTTGTATTGCCTCACCATATACGCCACGACGCAAAGCTGGTACGCAATAGATTGTGCCCCAAGTTCCGTCTCACTAATGAGGCCGGCCAGAAACCCTCCAATCTCAAAGATCCACCAGGACAAGCAGATCATGAGCATGCTGGGGATGGCCAAGCGAACAAACAGACCCCACTCCTGAAGGCAGTCCATAGACCAGCCTGGGCAGGGAGGGAGGGTCAGCAGTTCAAAGACACTACATACTAAATATATATAAGTATTTAGTGTCTTTGAATAAACCAAAACCAATACCACTACAACTTAGTTTTAAGTTATTTTTATCAAGTTCAATGTACATCAAATGTTATCACTACATAGAATCTTCACACATATCATTCCATAACAATTACATTGTTATTCTTTTCAAAATATTTGTATCACTGATTGATAACTGACCTCCCCATGTAGCTTTGTGCAGACCCCTCCATACAATATACACAAAGAGCAGCAGAGCCAGCGAATATTGTGAGATGGCATTGGCAGCAGCAGATCCACTTCAAAACATAAATATGAAAATAGATAATTATTATCACTAATGTCATGTGACTGAAACCATAGATCGTGTATAGATGAGAGTTTTATCATTTCATATGGTTGAAGATGTCGAAAGCATCTTGATTGTCCTTTTATGTCCAATGATACATGTTTAAAAGCAAATTGTTTGTACTTTTTTTTCTTTTAACAACACAAGGAAGTTATATTATGTCATAGATTCACCAAAGACCTGGAAGCAAATGAGTGGGGTTGCAAAAATATGGAACATTTCTGGTAGATTTCCAGAAAAGTCCCATGGGAAGTTAAGATTAAGAATTTAATAAACATTCCAGAGCTGGGAATTCATTGTAATGTAAATTGTTTGATATCAAAGCATAAATATGAATCACGAGGACAGAAATTCAACAGAAATGTCAACATATGTCAAAGTGTGCTCCAGTCTTCTTGAAATCTTCTGTACATGTGATAGAGGCACAGGGCCACTAGGGGGCGTGGTCTCAGTAGCAGTGTGCACGTCATTGAGGAATGCCATGGATACTCAACTGCATTTGAATGGCATCTGTTTGTTTTATTCAAGATGATAAACTTCCCAATGAAGAGCCGGCCTTTGAAAATTCCCAGTTAATTCATTTTTATCCCCATAATGTTCTGTTAATTCCCTTAAATTCCGATTAAAAGTTTCCATTTTTGAAAAGTACAGGTATTTTGCAACCTTAAAAATGAGTAACTACAGGAAGACCCTTGCACTGAATCCAGTCTCTTTCACAAATGTATGAGTTGGAATAAGTTGAGTTAAAAAGAATATGAGTATTTTCTACTTCCGGGTGGATCATCAAGACTATTGGTCCAGTATTTATCACAATGACAAGAACACTCACGCCACGCCCAGCTCCAGACGATGAAGAAATATGTAATTGATGATGACGTTGAGGATGTTTCCAACTGCCCCAGTAGCGACCTGTGGCCACATTATTCCCTAAGAGCATAGTGAGTTGTGTTACCGAGATGTTGGTGAGATGAGTACAAAATACAGATGGTTATTTTAGTTTTGAGGTTAATGTTAAGGGTTAAACAGAACATGTTATTGTATCACTAAATTATGTATGTCATGTATGAGCACAGCTGCTTCAAGTGGACCGGATCATGACCGGACGAAATGGACGACACATGGTTCTTTAGGGTTCATGTTTTATAGTTTTGATGGTGAAAAAAGCATCTTCTCAGATTCAAACTTGGGTCAAAACTGTCGACCCTCAACACTCGTTTGTAAGGCCAGAGTTAGAGTTCTGCTTATGAGGTTACAGACTTTTATTGTATTGATATTTTTCAGAAAACTTTATTATTTAATTTGGTAACAGAACCTACCAAAAATACCTACAATTACAACAATTGGTGAGCCCAAAATCACAAGGGTATATGAACTATATAGTTAATTCTTTTCACAAAATTCATAATTTTGCAGTTAACAGCTTAACTCTGCAAACCAATAACTATGAGTGAAAACAAATATCGCATCAATACATTTCAGTGTTGCATCACCAGTCACAGAACAGTAGGAATGAGGAGCGCACAACACAATGATCACAGCACAGGATAAGATTAATGAATACAGCGCTTTACTAAACTCCCTATTTAATAAAAAAAACATAAAAAGAACATCTCTAGCTTTAGCATGATAAGGAACAGTCAATACTCTGTGAAAAGAAGCAAAAATCAAGTACAAAATCTCGGACTTTAGCATGATAAAGAAGCAAGTATAATGTTCTGTGTATTCTGGTGCAATAACAGAATACATGTTAGTGTGATAATACCATGCTTGAAGTACTAGCAAGCTTGTAGATCTATTAGCTGCTAACCCGCTGCTAAAGCTAGCCATGAACTAGATCCACTCTGCACAGAAGCCCCACACCCCACCATGTTTTGCACCATCAAGAGCTAAATGTGAGTTTGATGTACTGAAGTGTAGATTTAGAGAAAACCAATAGTTTCAACAAGAAAAAGAAGGTTTATGATTACAAACATAAATAAAATAGCCACTCTAGACTCCACCCTTTGTGAGAGCTGTAGGCCCTGTCGCTGGAGCACGGGTCATTTTTGATAATATGGGAAAAAAAAAAACTTCAACCAATACATTACGGCTGCAGTACCACAGGTGGCCTCTGAGCACGTAAACAGGATAAAGTAGAATTGTATTGGAATCACAAACCTGCCTTACCATTGTTATACATGTTTTATAAATTGTCGCCGCTTCTAGACTCCCTGAGAAGGAGTTTCATCCCTGAAGCCATAAGACTTACTAAACCGGGCCTAACTCTGGCTCTGTGTAATTATTCTGTTATTGTGTGTTCTGAATACTGTACGGACCATCTGCTGAAGGCACATATCGCTGCATGTAATGTGTATGTAACAATAATAAACTAAACTAAACAGAAAAGATTTAGACCCCATTTAATAGATATGGAATGTAGATAGACGATGATATAGAATTTTTGAAAGTTTTTGTTGGATGTGGGTTTGCTCAGAACGTTCAGAAATGAGCAATAAACTATGACTAGAAGTTTAAATTGGATATTTACTTTACCCTCCACCACAATTTTAAACTTTAGGCTCTTTAGGGTGTAGTGATGTCACATGAATGCAACCCAAACCCTCCCCAGTTATTATAAAAGATCATGGGTAGTACCTGATTCTGAAGATATTTTCCTTGCAGTTGGTACATAAACGCCGCCTGTCAACACAGACACCGTTTACGTCGGTTATTGAGATGACATTGATAATTAATCGGCAATTAAGAAAAACTCAATCTTAATCGTATCGGTAAACTCACCGGTAGAGCAGGCATGAAGATCATCACATACAACTGTGAAAGACTTAAGGAGACAAGAGCAACACAAAGTGACTGACAATTTTAGAGTGAAAATGTGTTTCTAAACCATGAATATGTTTTGTTTTTAACCATTCCGTTAGAAACATGTTTAACGATAATAGTATATTGGATTTCTTAGGTGCCTTTTTCGATACTCAAGGTCGCCTTAAATCTCACGTAAAAAGTATATTTAGTTAAAATGCAGTTAAAAGTGTGGTTACGATGTTAGTGAGTAGGCTTTCTACATAGTCTATTATCATTAGTATTATTATTATAGGGACATGTTTAGGGAACTTGATGGTAGGTGAAAATCCTCCCCAGCCTCAAATCTTTTGCAGAATAATTTCTTCCAAGATTGTCCATTAGACTTAAATAAACTACAATGTATAGTTTATTTACTATATATAGTATAGTGGTATAGTGTATAGTGGTAGTAGGAGCCTTATCTAAAATACACCTCGGCAATAGGCACCTTATAGAAAAATGCACTTAAGTATCTCACAGGCACCTTATGGAAAAATACACTTTAGTATTTTATAGGCACTTAATTTATTATTATTATTATTATTTATTTATTAATTAAATATGGACATAACAATAACATTGGACGAACCAGATGCTTTGCTGTAAGTGTTATGGCACAGGTGCTAATTTTCAACACTAGTCCACAGGGGGCTTTTACACTACAGAAGATAAAAGACATTTAAAAGAATTACAATAAAGTTTACACGTGAGAACAAGTCTGTCTGGATATTAACCACTGTTTGAGCTCTCATACATAAATACAAATGACTTATGTGAATATATTGCCTTGTGTTTTGTCTGGGACTACAGCTGGAAACTATCCATGAGCTTAATACAGATTTACAGCATCTACTGTTCATGAATACACACTGTCCCATTTAAACAAATACATAAACATCATGAGTACGATTGTTGCCACTCTTGTGTAGTGTGTGATGAGTTGTGTGAACAGGGGCTGACCTGGCCACCTCAGGGCTCTGCCGGACGGAGCGCAGCAGGGGCTCTGTGTTGACCAGAACAGCCCAACAGGGGAAACAGGCCAGTAACAAGATGAGGACTCCTCTCTGAAGAATCACTCCCACGCGCTTCAAGTTACCACTGCCAAATGTCTGGGGGAAAAGGTCTAATTAATGTATTAACTAGGAATTAAATGAAAGCAGTCGTTAGGGACGGATAGTCTAGTGAGAACTCTATATAGTTTAATTCAGTGTAATTTTTTATGTATATTTTTGGACAATGAGCTTTTCATTTTTAACTCAAGATTTCAACTTGAAAACTAAGAATAATACTGACATGATCAATCAGAAATAACATATCAACAAACTTTTACACGCACACACACACCAAGAACTAATGACACAAAGCCTCATTATCATTGTATTAGATTTATTTTAGCCTTTTATGGTCACACAAAATGTTATTGACTCATATTTTCTTTATATGCATTTTCATTTTTGTAGGAGCCTAAATAGAAGTTGTTGTTTTGATTTTATTTTAATACATTTCTATTTGTTTGTATTATTATTTGATTGAAATATAGTATTTTTGTGATTAGATTAGATTTATGATTAATTGGCAGTTGGATATTTTACATCTAATTTAGTTAACTGTTTTGTTTGTCATTATTGCCAAGTTAATCATTGATTAATTTTCATTTAATATATATATATATATATATTTGTATTTTTTCTCAGTCCTGGCCCCAGGCTAGTTAACGTGCAGGTGTGCCAGGGAAAGTGTGGAGTGGAGCCACACAGTTTTTTGACCTCTCTCCCAACTCTCTCTCGATATACTCTCTCCTCTAGTTCTTTTCTTTTTGTACAGTATGTGTTTTTGTTTTGTGAATACTCAGTAAAGAGTTTTTAATTGCATTTTACTGTTCCCTGGATTTATTCACTCACTTTACACACTATACGGATTATGAGAGCGTCAACTACATGGCTTCACTGTTTGGAGCCTACAATTTGTATTTATTTTCAGAAAATTTACCTGGGATATAAGAGTGTCACAAGTAGCAGACAGACCAGTGCCAATGGAGACTCCACTGACGTTGACAACCTATTTATCGAGACAAAAAAGAAGGAACTCAGCAAAGAGGAAACATCGAGTTCACTCAAGTTCAAAACCATTTCTCTTACAGCAGCCGCCAGTGAGACTGCAGCAAGCTCAGTTTTTCCAAGATGTCCACAGAACACCATGCTGATGACGCTGATCAGGAAAACCATCATCTGTGAGATCACCTGAAAATGGATTCATGAACAACACACTTTTAAATGTTTCAACAATTCACGGCTATGACACAAGACAATGCTTCTAGATGGAAGTTTATGCTTCTTAACTTAAACCTAAATTGTGTAAAAACAATGACACACAATCTTTGATAACTAATAATTTGTTTAAGTGTGTGGATTGCACAGCTTCCATGTTGTGCTTTTATCAATAATGTATACTGCTAGCTGTACTTTTTGTAAAATTCCAACTGTTTAAAAGCTGTTTTATGAAATGCATATTGGATTGATTGAACTTGAATAGACTTACCTGCGGAACCTAACCGTTTGTATTGAAATAAATCATAAATACATGTGCTTTAGTAAACACTATTGTAACTAGGGTGGTGAATGTGATTCATTTTAAAACACGGTATAATTTCTCTCTCTGGTAATGAACTGATGTTGGCCTCTTACCACCGGTCCGGCGAGTTTGAGGAGTTGCAGCGCCTCCTGGCGGTGGCTCAGGGGGACACAGCCTCGGTGCCGCTGCTCCACGCTGTCAGCCGCTCCCTCTGTGTAGCGGACATCAGGACGGTCAGGTTTATGATCCATGCCGTGGGCCGCGCACGGACGGCCACAGAATCATTCAGCGCTCCGCAGTCCGCAGTCATGGGTCCGTGATCCCGGAGAGCTCCGCGCGGAAACTGGGCTCGAAAAGGCACGTGAGCAGAGCTGTAAGTCTGACGTAAGGACGTAGGGCACGCGAAATGAGAAATAGGATTCTTAATTCACCGATTGATAATACATCCATGTGAGTCGGTCTCTCCGCTCAAAGTTATATAGGAGGATTTCCCCAATTTTAGGAAAACAAAACTCTCTGGTCTTATGTGATGAGCACATATCACCAGAATGATTGACAATTGGAGGACCAATAGTCTTGATGATCCACCTGGAAGTAGAAAATCCTCCTATATATCTTTAATTCATGGATCTGAGTCCACACCATGGATCTATTATAATAACGGTCCACACATAATATAAAACTAATCCCACAGAGGGAAACCGCTCTGAGACAGAACTGACTATCGCTCCCCCCAGTGGACAACGACGTGTATTGTTATTATTACACACGGGTGTTCGACTATCATTTGAATAGATAAACAAATAACACATTTAAAGACTCATTATAAATCAGTGTAATTACATTTGGCCGTGTTGGTTTGCATTTATTGTAATATTATGATGAAGGGCTAATCCTTGGCATGACCTTTGGCCTGTTGGTGTTGAATCCATGCTTGATTATGTGCATTTTATACTGTACATTAGCAAATAAGACGTTTTTCCGCTGCTGATATAATAATGTGAATGTTGAGCAGATAATAAACAGACACTTGGCTGAATAGATTAAATAAAATGAGATATGTGCCGATGGCTTTAATCGTGTAACACAGGACAGACCAGGAGACACCAACATTCTGTAACAACAAAATCCCTGATAAAATAACAACAATGCATTTATGGCTAACTGAGTGCAGCATGCTTCGTGAGCCCAGAAGACGGAGACAGAACTGATACTGTATATGCGTATTTAGGATGCAGCCCTTGACAGATTCAAAACTTTCAGCGACATGAAATAAACAGGACGCACACAAATACTAACCATTAGTCGTTAAACCTGTGGTGAAAGGTGTACCCAGTGTAATTCAAAAGATAATGACTTATAGCCCTATTTTTAATCAGTATAAATAATGCACTTAGTGGCCATATACCATTTAAATGTCAAGACCAATGTTGAAGTTTAGGAATATACCATGATGAATTTTTATTTAATGATTTTCTGTTGTAATCTTGCTGAATGTAATCCCAGAAAAAAAGCAACGATACTACATAGTTTGTAAACAGTAACATTCAAAGCCCAAACAACTTGAAAGATTGTAGGGTGTAATATATTGGGTAAATCGCAGCATGAAATATCACAAAGGCCAAAAGTGTATGAGTTATGCATACAAAACATTTGAGTTTATCTGTGCTTTTGGGTTTGTAAAAGGCCAACTATTCTCACATCAATACAGCAAAACTACGCATGTAAACATATGCACATCATCGGAACATTCCCCTTTGTTAAATAGTTGAATAAATAAATACTGTATACCATAAAATACTATATATATAGTACATTCAAGTAGGCCTGTTCTTCCAGACAAGTACAAGCTCTGCCTTTGGTTTGTGGGCTACAGTACGTGCACAGCATGAAGCCACTCACCACATGCATTTAGAGTCTTCACTGTGCAAAGTGACGTCACTGTCAAAAGTCTGAGCTACAGCGCCGTGAGTGTGCGGAACAACTGTGTGAGGCAGAAGACCGAGGCGTTCAGAGCTGTACACTGTTTGGCCAACAGTTTGGTGCTGAGGTCCTGACAGCTACGTTTGCTGCTGGCTCTTTCAGCAGCGACACAAAAGTCTCTAAAAGATCGCGCCACATCCACCAGCCCGGAGACGGCCTCTGAGTTCCTCCTCTCGCACCGCTCACAGCTGGAGAACCAGAGCACGAGAGAGGATAGTCCCACCAGGATGTGAAAACACTCCACTAAAGAGCAGAACATTTCCTCTGGACTCTGCTCGATCCCTACAACCCTGTAGCACCCCGCCATCAGCCGCCGCGCCTCAATCTGCAGCACCCTCTTGTTCTCGGTGAAATGCGCTGGGCAGATGTCCCGTGGGTGCTGCCCTCTCTGACCCTCTGTCTGGGTGCTGTTGGTACTTTCCATGACAGTGAGCAGCTTGTTCACGTCGACTTTGAGCAGCTGAAAGCCAGAGGGGGGGCCCGGATACTGCTGCTTCCCCAAACGCGGCAGGGTCTCCTTCTGCGACTGAGTGTGTGAGCAGTCATCGGACAGCGGCGAGAGTAGCGGGCTGAGCTCGGACGCAGACGATGACAACACTGAGCGCGGGAATGAGGGAGGGCTCAGGAACGAGACTGGGGCAGAGGTGATGAGGGGGAGACCTATGGAATTTAACTGAGGACCACTGCTTTGCTTGCGACACGAAAACTCATACACGGTCAGCTCTTCGTCGAAAGTGTCGCCATCGTTGAAGCAGTTTGTGTAGACGGACGAGCAGCCGCACACGTCTATCGGGTCTACGACGGAATCACATCCAGAGACCACAAGACATCCTAAGTCAGACTTCACTGGGACAACATCCAGCGGTACTTCTGATTTAGGAGACTCTCCACAAACTGAAAACCCTGATTTGCAACCTCCTGAAATGTTGTCTGATTGGGAATTTAACTCCAGGGTCTCACACTCTAGGACCTTTCCACTGTCAGAGCTGTCCTGCATTCCAACAGATTCACTTTGGCTTTGTATGGTCACCACTAGAGGAGCCATAATGGACGGACTGGATTTGACTCCCGGTATGTCTTCTCCAGGCCGAGCTAAATGGTTTTGAGACACTGGTACGGTGGTTACAGGCCCCGGAGTGTCCGTGTATGAATTTTGAGTAGGTTGAAAATGGTTAACGAATGAGGTTGGAGGTTCTACGACTGGGACTGGGATACTTTGAACGAGAATAGAATTGTCTTGCTTGGATAACAATGGCTGATCCACTTCTATACTTTCCTCTTGTTTATCTTCAAGTATCTCTTCAGAAAGAACTGAATCCAAGACAGATCCAGTCACTGTTGTATCGGACTCATCTGATTCAATGGAGTCAATGGCCAAGTCCAACGTCACATTATTAACATCTGTAACACTAAATTTTATATTCTTATCATCAGTGATTTCCTTCGATAGATTTTGGGTGGGACTACCTAAACCAGCCTGGTTTATTGTCTCTGCTGAGCGCGACAGATAAAAAGGTAAACTTTGAATCTTGCTTCTAAGTGTAGATGCGGACAATCGACCCATTATTGTTGGAGACCAAGCTTGAAACATCAAGTTTGAGGGAGAACTAACAGACGAATCTGGCATTGGACCAACTAAATCTCTAGCTAATGACAATGAAAAGTCTTTAGGAATTTCAATTGCATTTTTAACATCAATTTCACTTTCAATAAGAGGAGAAATGTTGTTGGACGCTGTACCAAGTTTAGATGAGATAGAATAAAGAGCACAGCTAAAATCTGAACTAAGAGAATAGAGCCTCTTTGTTTTCGTGGTGCCAATTTGAGCTTCAACCACGTCAACGATAAAACTTTTCCTTGTCGCCACAACCCATTCCTGTTTAGTGTCATCAAGGTTCGAATTAAAAGAGACAGCTCCTTCATCGTCCTCAAAAACATTGTCAGAAGTGGTGCTGTCTGTAACTTCTTCACTCGCCGTTCTGGTCGAGCAAACAACCGCCAACGCCTCATCCTCGACCGGGGAACTACTTTGCACAACTTCCAGATTCCCGATTGCATTTGCGCTTGTTCTTTCGCTGTCTTTGTTATCGCTTTCTATTCCTACACAGTCATTTTGATCTGTGCTGAGAACATTCACAGATGGAGATGAGGGGGAAGCAGGTGGTGAGCAGAAAGAATTACATACAAGACTTTGAAGAATATATTTCTCTACGTACGAATTCTGTTGTACAGTCATCACGGTCTGTCCGATTGGACCGTTTGTAAGTTTCGGATTTTCAGTCAGTTTGTCGACAATACTTTTGGATATTTCTGGCAAAAACATATGACTGTCAAAAGGGCCGTTATTGATGATACTGGGTGTCTGTTTGTTCGTCTCCTCTTTGCTATCACATGTCCAATCAGCGCTCTCCTTTCCGTCTGGCTCTACTCTACAGCGAACCACGGTAATGTTTGGCGAAGGCGGCTTGACAAGATCCGTGACTGACTTAGATTCCATCGACTCTGGCTCCATTTCCATATCTTGCTTCCGTGTGAATTTTTGCCCATCCGAAGTCCTTTGTTTACTCAAAGACTCTTTGAAGTGTTTGGGCAGAATGGGTTTGGACTCCAGTTGCGACGGTTCTCCTTCTGAATGGGTCAGCGAGGACACGGTTGGACTTGGATTTTGGGTTTGCTCAGAAGGTTCAGGGTCTGCACTCAGCATCTGTGGGTCAAATAATCCCACGGAGAGGTTTTTACGATGTTGCTTTGGGCTTTCGTTGCGCTCGGGGAAGGACACGGTGGAGGTGAAGTCTGTCTCTAGATATGAGCGCCGTTTCCGGGAACGTTTCCGTAGTTGAGACAGTCTCTCTCCGCCCGCTCTGAAGCCAGCCTTTTTCTCTGATCCTTCAATAGGAACATAACCAGCCTCAGCCCCGCCACTGATTCTGGACGCATCTGTTAAAAAAATAAATATATAGTTATTATTAGTACCATACTTTCTGGACTACAAGGCACAGCAGTATATTAGCCACACCAACCACATAAAAACAAAATTTTGTCCACAGACCGCACTTGAATCTAAGCCGCAGGTTTTCATTTTGTAATGTAGCAGATAGACGACTGTTTTAACTGGTCACAATAGATTTAATGATGACATTTTACAGCTTCCATTCCTGTACTCATTCACCATTATCTATTATGACAATAAATGAATATCCTAGAGCTACTAAACTAGATGGAGTCAAAATAAGAAGTCCATAAACTCTGCTTTGACAACTCTACCATAATTAAAAGGCACATATTAGCCTCATTGCTATATAAGCCGCAGGGTTTAAAAGAACCAGAGAATAGTTGCGGTTTATAGTCCAAAAATTACGGTACTATATTTAAATGCTTTGTTTCTTTCTTCACCATTCCTTTTGCATGTAGACTGTTTACAGCAGGGGCCTGTAACATCTTTGAGTCATCACAGTGACACAATTTCACTGGCTTGCTTTTTCAAAATAACTTTTTTCTTAAAAGCGGCAGCATTCTGCTATAATTTATTTATTGTGGATGGCCCCTTGAGATGAATCATCTCTTTTTCGAGGGGGTCCGGTAATATGGCAGATAGCAACTGCTGCCCCCCTCCTCCTGACCAAGGACGAGTCAGGTGTGTGGAGATGCAGGGTAGAAGACATCTTTATTATGTTCTATGTATGATTTAAGTGCAGTGCTAACATACTTTTAATGACATCAGTTCTCTGTCTAAAAAGCAGCTCCTCAGATGTGTCACAATCACCTCTTTTTGCTGTTGCTATGTTTGGATCTTCAGGTGAAGCAAGCTGATCTCTCGCATCGAAGAACTCCTCATCTGAGCTACTGTCTCCAAATCCGGGGGGAGGCTGAAGGATTGGAACCTGATTCGAGGCTGAATCTCCCTCAGAACCCCTCGTGCTTCCTTTTTGGGACACGCTCCGAGCGCTGTCCGGGGTGATGTTGGAGACCAGGTTGTAATAACACCGCGCATCATTTTGGTCAAAGTTAAAAACGTATTCCGCGTTGGATGTTTGGGAGGACGTTGACCCGGGAGCTGGCTTATCCTTACAGCCGCTTTCCCTCTTTAACTTCTCCCGCCTCTTTCTCAAGTCTTCCTCTACATCCTCATCATCCTCGCTTGCCTCTGGAGGACTCGGGAGAAAATCCACCAGCCGGGACAAGTCAGCGTAACGCATCGAAGAATCCTCGCTACACCCATGGCCGTAGGTTGAGGACGGAGACATGGGCGGTGTGAGAATTTGCGGATCGGCGCCATCTCCAGATTTCCTACTGTCTTCCATCGCGTTCGGGAACAACAGCGGGTGTGAATGGGCGGGCGGTAGTGCAAGAAGGTTGGGCTCATTTTGGGCGGGGGTGTAGTGGTGCAGTTGAGGCAGGACAATCTGGGAGGAGCAAGTTAACAAGTCGTCTTCTTCCAACGCGTCCAGAGAATCGCAAGACAAGCTGGTCAAAACTTGGTAAGAGTCGGAGGCTTCTGATTGGTGCTCCGCCCCTACATCCATCTCCCGCCCCTTCTCTGTGGCTTCTCCAGGAGTTTCCGATGCTACCCTCTCTGCTTCTGCCTCCTTCGGCTCCTCCAGGGTTTTTTCCAGCTTCTCCTTTCCCTCTCTCTTCTTTCTCTTCACTCTCTCCTTTCGCCGGATCCCATAGGCGTCAAAGGAAGCACGGCTGCGTGGGGAGGTCACCGTGTTCATGAGGTCAATGTCTGTGGAGCTGTCAGAGTCGCTGCCACATCGCGACACGTAACCTGCCACAGAAAAAAAACAGCAAGCTGTCAACAATACTGTATTATCTCACAGGGAATTTACACAGTAGGCGTAAACAGCGCGTACGCGTTTACTGCGCGCTCTCTGCGCGTAACATTTTTTTGGAGTATCTACACTGACCGTGTGCGCAGGTCCTTCTGATGCTGTCCCTGTGTGTGTCTATGGAGCAGTGTAGAGGACAGTACGGGCCAGAGGACTGATGTAGAGCAACACAAATCACATGCATGTGTTTGTCTTCATGGTCTCTGTTGCTGGTTTGGCCAGACGCAAGACTTTATGAAAGAAAAAAAAAACGATGTCCAGAATCACTGTAAAACCTGCTGCTCCTCCTGCTGATGTTTAGACACAAGTGCTGTGTGTGTGTGTGTGTGTTTGTGTGTGTGTAGATGTGATCTAGAGCCAAGGACCGCTAGAAAAATCATGTTTTACATGAGATTTCAATGGGAGACGCGTTGGTGCGCGCACAAAATTAGAAATCCATCCTAAATTAGAGCGCAGCTTCGCGTCATACGTCCGTCATACGCGCGTATAACGCTAGAAGTGTAAATATCATCATAGGTTAACATGGAAAAAAGTTACGCGCGTCTGCTGCGCGTATAACGCGTACGTGCTGTAACGCGTCATGTGTAAATTAGCAGTCAGACTGCATATGTGCCCTGAATAGTGACATGAATTTGTCCTCTCACTCCTTATATCAGGGGTGTCAAACTTATTTTAGTTGAGGGCCGAATATAAAAAGAAAGGGCTGGTCAGGGGCCGAAAGAATAAGTGGGTTTCATTTCTTAATTTTTTTTGGAATATGAAGGTATCTATATAAATTACTTGTTTCACATTAGTTGGATTGGACATTCTTTTTTGATTAGAATGAGTTCAGTTAATGTGGACTGAACCAAAACTGGACCAAATATTGAAAGTATATAGGAAGATTTTCTACTTTTAGGTGGATCATAAAAACTATTGGTCCGCCCAATTGTCAATCATTCTGGTGATTCGTGCTCGTCCAAAAAGACCAGAGAGTTTTGTTCAAAAAGTGCAGAGGGCGGTTCTTTCCTAAGAAAATTGGGAAATCCTCCTTCATATCTTTAAGAAGAAATGTAATTGAAGATTCGTAAAAAAAAAAAAAAAAACATAACATAACAATACTAACTTCTAATTACATGTTGGCTTAATATTTCTCATGGAATTAAATATTATGGTTTTAAGGTTCTTGAGAAAATTAATGGATAACATGCCATTGTCGCCTATTACCATCAATGCTGCTATTTAATATAATCATTTACAATCATCTCAAGGGCCACTGGAAATGGTCTCGCGGGCCGGATCTGGCCCCTGGGCCTTGACTTTGACACTTGTGCCTTATATGATATAGACTTATTACATGCAAACTGATGTATGTCAAGCTTTGTTTGTTATAGTCTTAATTTTGATTTTAGCTTACAGTCTATTTTCTAAATATTCGACTCTCAGACGTTTTTTTTGCCGTTTTTACAAGCTGTGAGCCATAATCACCCACATTATACCAACATTATCTCTATCTATCTAAGTCTATCATAGTTGAATTACAGAGGTACGAGAATGGACTCATAAACAATATTACAATGTGTCACCTGTTAAAGTTAAATAAAAGGACGGTCATGCCACTACTTCAGTTGTAAAAACATTAAGTACCTTCTTCTGCCGATATTTTGTGCTTCTTGCTGTCCTCCGTCCAGGGAAACACATTGATGTTGGGGTCGATGAACACTCGACAATACCCCGCGACCAGGCAGGATATGTCTTTAGCCGCAGCCGTCTCCAGCAGCAGCGTGATGGGCTGTAAGCAGGACGAGACCAGATTAGATTAAGAGCTAATTGTACCGATCGGGGACATTTATGTTGATCGACGGCTGCTCTTGCCTTGATGTCCTGCACGTATATTTTGACCAGGCTGACGCGATCGGACTCGGGCACCAGTTCAACGCGCGAGATGCTGTCGAAGTCGGTGAGGGCGGTCATGATGCTGAGTTTTCTGTTGACCACTTGGCTCACGCCGTAGCGAGCTCCGACCAAAAGGTTAACAGTGGATTCCCGGTCCTGCAGCTGGAAATACATGCGTTCAAATCAAACAAGAAGATCTCACAATGGAGACATTTATTGCATTAGGATTAGGACTATTATTGATTTTATCTTTTATATCTTGTGTTTCTGTGTTTTTAATGTACCCCCACCGATGCACTGTCTGTAATTGAATTTCCTCACAGATTAATCAAGTTATTTGAATTGAATTGAAAGGAATTAGATGCAATGTTGTCAGAATATTAACCTTGCAAAAGGAGGCCGTAGTAGTTAATCCGATTCAAGATTCCATTTCCAAGCCATTTCCCTGTGCAGAATTACCATTGCAAGAACACATCATCAGTGGCGTAAAGGATAACCAACCGAACCTCTGATGAAATGTTTGAAGGAAAATAGAAACAGCTGCAAGTTTGCAATGTGAAATATCTTGTCTACTATTACAAGGGACAGACATATTTTTTTTTAAAGTGCAATTTGTTGTTGCTCTTTTCACCAGTGCTTTTTGTGGCATTAGGACATTGAGACCAAAACTCCACATACATAAACTATTCGACATCTGAGAATAATGCTTTCAACTTGTTTTGGCATTTCTTCTGACATCTGCACCTGACAGTACACATTTTTGGTGTAGGTTATTTTCTTTAAACCTTAACAATTTAAAAAAACTGAAATAAAGTCAAATTAGCCTACATATTCTTGTGTGCGCTCAAACTTGGCATTGATCTTACATTGGAAATAGCTGCATCAATAGCTTCATTAATAAAACCACATATTGTTTCACCTCACTTTTGATTCCAGATACTTCTTCAGGTATTCTTCTTTGCAGACATTTGAAGAGTATATTGAATGCTATTGAGCAGGTTTGTCAGTGTGCTTACCATCAATGTAGCGCTAAAGGCTTTCCCCCCAAATGACTTGAGGTCGCAGAGTTCTTCCAGATAATTGAACCGGGCCTGATCCACTGAGGAGGTCTTCAGTTTGGGGTCTTGTAGCGACAGGCTCTTCTTCAAGTGATAGTTGATGGCTTTCTTCAAATCTTTCTCCTTCATGTTTCGCAATAATGTAGTGGACACAAAGCTCTCTATGCCCCAGGTTTTACTGCAAAAGACAAATGCATTTTCAACAAGCTTAATGGAAATAATTGAGCTATCATAATAGTAGTCGCTCTCTCTTTTCTTGTTTATTCACTCTTGTCTAATCCTATAGTGGGATTTGAAGCTAATATAATGGGGAAGACATTGAGAGGAATGTGTTGGGCCATAGAATTACACAAATCTTTCTTGCATTAATTCTGCATCTACTGATGTTTGTTACTGAAATACTGTTGCAAACAAGTTGGCTTCTGTGGCCATTCTACAGATCTGACCTCTTTAATTGACTATTGATGTACATTGTGGGGGTATCTGTGTATAGAGTTTCCTTAACCCGGCTAAAAAGTCACTACAAGATTGACTTAAATAGGTCTAAATAATGTATATTCCAGGCATGTCAAAATTACGGCCTGAGGGCCAAATGCGGTCCACTGTGTCATTGTATCTGGCCCTCTGCCTCACTAACACAAGTAACCAATAAGGCGTTTTGACAGTGTGAACCAGCCAACTTAAGCATCACCAATGTAGTCATGCTATGTTGTAAAGCTCAGAAGAATCAAGTCGTTTATTTGTACTTACACATATCATGCCCCATTTTAAATCCTCAAACAGCCTGAATCCAGTTAAAGCAGTTTTATATTCGGGGTTGTCGGCCCTTAGACAAGTCTAGATAACTAAAGAGGCCCATCTTACTACAAAGTTTGGGCACCCCTGGTTGATTCCAAAGCCTTGTTATGCAAAAGCAAGGTATCGAAGAAACAAGATTAGAGGACTGTGGTGACAGTTTTTGGAGTAATTACATAAAACCAGCCGCAGCAAATACACGGACGTCAAAGGCCTTTTATCAATGCAGAGACGCCCTTCTGACGCCATGCTGAGCTTTGTGAGGGCCCCCTGCTGTCTGTCACACCCTTGTGTCTTTCGTATCTTGAATCTGTATGCCTGCTTATATCCATATGTCCCTGCTGCCAGGAAGGAGCCGGACCCCCCCGACACCTACAGACAATGGCTATCACTCTTGCCCCCTTTCACCTCTTGCATATGTATCGGTCTGTATGTGTGCACTCTCTACATCCTGCACCGGTGGCCCCCCTCCCATCTGTTGTGGGCGGGACTGGCTTTCGTGTGTGTCTTGGATACAGGAAGCTGGGGGCTCTGGCCCCCAGAGCTGAGCATGCTGCCTTTGTGTGCATATGCTGACTCTCCGCACTGTGCGTGAACAATAAACTTACGCTTTTGACCAGACAAAGGACCTTTGAGTTTCCTCCTTCATGGGGTATATAATTCTATAACAATTTGGCGTTGCTGACATGTCTTGGTATGGATACTTTCGGCGGGGACGAGCGGCCTTGTTTGGCCGACCTGGATCACCAGCCTCTGTTCCTTTTTGGAGACAAAGGAGGGCGCGCTCGTCCGCGCATGGAAGGAATCCTTTTGCCACACAAGACCAAAAAGAACCTAATCTGGTGAGTCTTGTCTTTTCATCTGCGTAACGAGCCCAGGGCAGCACTTAAGTCGACACGGGGATTTGTTTATTTATGTATTTTTGGGGTATTTCATTCATTGCCACAGCATAGTCTGTGTGCGGGATTTTTTGGGGGGCTTTTTGTTCTAGATTGAAACTAGCGGCTGCGCGTTAGTATCGCCCTGTAGGCGACCCTGAAAATTTCTCCAAGTGTCTTCAGCCAAACCCGCTCCATTTCAAGAACGCGCGCTCGCTGGTTGAACCAGCGAGGGGGGAATGGAGCGCCCCAAAGTGGGTAGGAGCAGGGAGAGACTAAGCGGGTTAGGCCCATTGTTCGTACGAGAAAATGGGTAAAAAACAATCTAGAAGACGCAAGCTATGGAGTGCTTGCCTATGGTGCAGGCCATTACGCATCTTGCGTGATAATTTAGAAGAAGAAGGGAAGAAAAAAATATACTTGGTTTTAAGAATATCACGGCAAAAGAGGGTAGAGAAAGAAATATGTAAAAACAATAGCTCCTCCGCCTTTCACCGAAGCGGAGAACACAGGCGGACACACACACACACATCCCCCACACCCCCACCCTACCCCTACTAACAATAAGTGTGCACCCAAACAAGGCGTTGGGTTTTTAAAAAATGAAGCAGACTACTGTTGTCTCTTTTCCCTCTCCCTTATCCAGGTCTGTCGGCGCCTTTCCTCCGCGCACTGTCCTCTGCCTCAAAGCACCAGCCCCACGCCCCAACCACAGGCGGCGCTCGCACCAGCTGAGACCCCGCGAGAAGTGGGCCCAAACCGCAGAAGAAGAAGAGGCGGAAACAGACACACGCTCAGGAAACCACAGAAGAAGAAGCGGGGAAGCAAATATGTGAGACACCGAGAACTGCTTTGGAGCACAGAGAGAAACTGCTACAAATCCCGTGACTGTTCTCCACGGAGGGGGCAGCGTGATATACCAAACGCACCCGCGAAAACCCCCCTGAAAGTTGTTCCCGCACCGCAAACAGAAGAAGCCAAAAGTACCGGCACGTTTGGGTTATTCACCAACCCTCATGGACCACATGCTAATGCTTTGGGCTACCTGGGCCTCCTGCGGACTTTGAAAAACTTCCACAGCCCGGCGGAAAGACTGTGTGCTCGACATGGGTCGAAGGACTGTTACCGGAGGAGGCGTTAAAGGCAGAGGAACGCTCAAGCTAACACGGGGCCAGAGGACGGCAGAGGCGGGCACGGAGGAAACACGAGCGACTGACCAAACCTGGGTTCACATTCGTCACCAAGTTTGAACAAGAACAAATTGCAATTGGCACTTTTTAGAGATAATTCATGCCCGTAATATACGCTAACAATCTGTGGTGTACAAGTTAAAATTCTGGATGACTCCGGGGCAACAAATTCTGTGCTAAAAGTGACAGCCTTTCTGTCTCCCCTAAAATGAGTGGCCGTTTCACATTCTCATTAGCAGCGTCGGGAGAGACGACTAAAGAGCAATTTACGTCACCGCTAACGTGTTTTGATTCTCAGGGCAACCAGCTTAAACATTCTTTTCTATATTCCCCATTGTCCCCGGTTAACCTACTAGGCCGAGACCTTATGTGCAGACTCAATTAAAAATAGATAAATAAAAGGAGGCACCGGTCCCAAAAGTTAACTACCACTGGAAATTGACACCAAACCCTGAGATTGCTAAGTTATTAGCCACAACAAGTGGATAGTGACGCCCGCACAAAATTTGGAGGTCAACCACGCGAACGACCTAAGCTGCTCTCTCCGGTCGTTCCCAGACAATAACTTGGAGTTTGAAAATTCATGCAGTGTAGGGAAGATAGGCTAACGGAGTACGTTTATTGAGATAGGCACCACTATCTGTGCTACTTAATGAGCAACAAAAACATTTTATCGTGAAACAAAGGTGAAGTATTAAAGTTTGAGACTAATTTACATTTTTAATGAATCCGACCTGGCTTTATTGAAAAAGAAAAAAAATAAGGAAAATAAACATTTTTTTTAGGTGACAAGAGCTCATTAGAGATATAGGGGACACAATCTGTGATAAGCCCGAAGTATAGACCACGTGGTAAACACTAAAGTTGGAAATGGATCCTTTTAGGAAAACTCTTTTAAAGCTCTACAGGCTCTGAAAGTTGCAACAATAAGAAATAGCTCATGAGACAATTGGAATTGGACATGGAAAAATATAACAAAGTTAAAAGTACAGGCCTTCTGTGTTGTTATATGTTTGTGTGTGTTATATGTTTTGTGCATGTTATATGTTTGTGTGTCATGTCAAAGTACACTACGCTGACCTTAACAAACTGGACCAAAATACTAACGTGGGAAATCGGCCTGTGATGTGACTGTGATGTGACTGATATGATTGATGACTGTGATTGACTGTGATATGACTGTGATATGATGTGAATGAGTGTGATGTGTGAAATGAGGAATGCTGAACGGAATCATGGAATAACAAATGTGTCTGTAATGTTTTAATGTGATCATGGAATAATTATTTTTTTGTCAACAGCATACGGTGTAAGTACTAGAGATTCAAAGATAACAAGCTTTATTGAACAGGTGTAAAAGTGAGAGTACTCTGGGATGAGTACTCTGAGAAAAGTACTCTGCTGAAAGTACTCGGAGATGAAATACCTCGCTGAAGATATTGGGAGTTCCTGCCTCTGCTGTTTGTCCTGACAGCGACACAGTCCAACCGCAGTGAGCTGTCGTTGGTTGAAGGACAACTTGGTTTGTAAACTCACATTTAGGGAAGTATAAAATTAGAAACATACATTTTGTTAAGTCTGTATTTTGCTACAGCCTCCGCCCTGATGCCAAACACCGTCTGTCAATGCAGTTATGTTTTGCCCAATTGGAAAAAGATTGACAAGCGAAAGTGGGCATTTTTTTTTGTGTTTTTTGTGTTCTAATATTTCTTTTTCAGATGAGAGATAAACTACCCCTGCTTCAGGGATGACAGTAGTATGGATCATGAGGAAATGAGCCTCTACCTTGGCACCAAAGCCCACAATATGAATTGAGGACGCTCCGGGAGAAAGCAACTGGAGATGAACGGAACAGTCGGTACTTTTGCAGTCTCACGGAGGGCCACTGAGACCCACTGCTTACTTCTCAGCAAAACTCGATCCCGTGGCAGCAGGGTTGCCTCGCTGCCTGCGGGCTGTGGCTGCCGCTGAGAAAGCGGCCCTAGCATCACGTGACCTTGTGGGATACACTGAACTAACTTTGCTTGTGCCCCATGCTGTTTCCCTGATCCTGTTAGAGCAGAGGGCCTCTCGCCTTTCTGCGGCTCGTTGGCTGGGGTACAACACGGTGCTCTTTGAACTACGGTGAAGGAATGCACACAGCTGAACTCCTCCTCGCTGCTGCCCACGCCAGAGGAAGGGGAGGAACACTGCTGTATCGCCACAATAGAACAGATATGCACTCCCAGGCCAGACCTGAAAGAGGTGCCTCTGACTAATCCTGACTTGATTTTTTTTTATACAGACGGAGCCGCGTCACGTGACAACACTGGGAAGAACCGAGTCGGCTATGCTGTGTGTTCTGATTTTGATACTATAGACTCTGGTAGTTTGCCCCACTACCACTCAGCACAAACCGCTGAACTGGTCGCGCCCACCGGGGCTGGCAGCGGGCAAAACTGTTAACATATTATGTGATACGCGCTATGGTTTCTCTGTGGTGCACGACTGGGAAGCACTGTGGAAACACCGCAATTTTATGAAATCTGATGGTAAACCAATTCTTAATTCCACACAGGTTGAACGTCTGCTGAAAGCTGTAATGTTGCCCTTAGAGATCGCTGTATGCAAATGCCAGGCCCACACTAATGCCACTGATCCCATCTCTGCAGGGAATCGGCGCGCGGACAAGGCAGCGGCATACGCACCTCTACACACACACACACACACTACCTCACTCAAGACGTTGATATTTTCTACTCCAGCAGAGACGCTGCTGTGAGAGGGGAATGGGGCTCAACGACGGCATGGTGTGTGTGGCTGGGACCAGACAGCAAACCGTGCCTATCACGGCATTTCTTCAGACAGTTTGCAATTTTAGCACATGGTCGGGACCATGCCTCAAAAGGAGGGATGATGTGTGATTTAATCACACAGAATTGGTATACAAAGGGGTTTACGGCATTGGCACAGAGATTCAGCCAAACATGCGCTATATGCCTCGCGCACAACCCAGGTAAGTCCCAAAAGTATCCAACAGGCTGCTCATCCTCCGCCCCTGCGCCCATTTCAACATGTCCAAAGGGACTTTGTTGAACTCACACCATGCCAAGGTAAGTAATACTGTCTGGTTCTGGCGGATCTCTGGTCCAAATGGACTGAAGTATTTGCAGGCATACACGCCACAAGCAACGCGGTGGTGAAAGCTCTGCTCACAAAAATTGTGCCCCGAGAAAAAATCTCTAGTGACACTGGCAGTCACTTTGTAGCAAAAGTCATTGAGGAAGTGGGTGAATTTCTGGGCATTGATATACGTAAACACTGCAGTTACGCCCCCTGGTCCGGAGGCACGTGCGAGCGAGAGAATGGCACTCAAAGCTCTGCCGCTAGCCCCACGTTGGGCGCGGGACCCCCGAACAGAGATCTGCCAAGCACCTCTTTGTGTGATGACGACATGCTGTCCTATTGTAAGGAAATTAATGCACTTTTGTCCTCTATTTCTGCCCAGGTCAGGAGCGCCCTGCCACAGGCTGCGCAGGCGACTGGGTCCTGATGAAGGAAACGAGACGAAAGCATTGGCGGTCCAAGCGCTGGCTCGGCCCATTCCTCGCCCTCCTGGTGACGGACACTGCCGTTAAGGTCGCGGAGAGGACAACTTGGATCCACGCCAACCACTGTCGTGCGGTGCTGCCACTGAGGGCCATAGACGAGGACACCGAGGGCGCGGACGGACCAGGCCCATCCGCGGCTCCCTACGATGAAGAAGTCGGCTGGCGTGCGGCCACCGTCGGTGAAGCAGGCCAACAACAACACCCAGAGAATCCCAGCGTTCCCGAGGCGACCCCCCTTTTGCCCAACTCCCCAGCCCCCGGATCCCAAGGCTTGGGAGCCATGAAGGCCCTGAGCGCTCTGCTCAGCTGCAGCAAGTATGCAGAGCTGCTGCCCATTCCAAAGATTTCTCCAGAGCTTGTTCCCTCTGGCCATAATGCAGATTTGAGCTCTGCTGGAGTGCCCCCCTGGTGTCTCGTCTCCCGTGTGTCCGGAGGAGGTGGAGATGAGGGCTGCTCTACAGTTCCTGATGAGGCACATGGTGAAGCGTGCTGTCATGAGGTCTCCCATCAAACGAGCTTTGGGCCTGGCCGATCTGGAGCGTGCTCAAGCCATGGTCGCCACACCCCAAACCCCGAGCACTCTGCCCAACCGAGTGCTGAGGCCAAGGCTTCAACGCAATTAGAGTCTTGCCGCTCCAAGACCAAACATCGCCATGACCACTAACGCTCCACACACGCTCATAGGGAGCGGTGCCACTGACTGCGAGACGGCACTGCTCGTGAGTATTCCCGCGGAAAAGACTACCGAACGTAGCCCGGCTAAGACCGGAATGGGCCCTTGGACTGTTATGCTGGCCACACTGACACTACTTTCCGTGCTGACCGTGTTTATTATGTTAATATTGTCTTCTCTTATCGCTGTCCGGATCCATTGTGTTATTATAATGTGCTCTTTCTTTTATTGACAAGCATGCTTCTTTTCTTGTCCACTTTGGACAGCAATAATTTAAGTGTTTCAAGCTTGAAGGTGGTGTGATTACGATGCCTCTGGTATTTAACTGATTAATGCAAAAATGGTTTTGAATTATCAAAAGAGGGGAGTGTGGTGACAGTTTTTGGAGTAATTACATAAAACCAGCCGCAGCAAATACACGGACGTCAAAGGCCTTTTATCAATGCAGAGACGCCCTTCTGACGCCATGCTGAGCTTTGTGAGGGCCCCCTGCTGTCTGTCACACCCTTGTGTCTTTCGTATCTTGAATCTGTATGCCTGCTTATATCCATATGTCCCTGCTGCCAGGAAGGAGCCGGACCCCCCCGACACCTACAGACAATGGCTATCACTCTTGCCCCCTTTCACCTCTTGCATATGTATCGGTCTGTATGTGTGCACTCTCTACATCCTGCACCGGTGGCCCCCCTCCCATCTGTTGTGGGCGGGACTGGCTTTCGTGTGTGTCTTGGATACAGGAAGCTGGGGGCTCTGGCCCCCAGAGCTGAGCATGCTGCCTTTGTGTGCATATGCTGACTCTCCGCACTGTGCGTGAACAATAAACTTACGCTTTTGACCAGACAAAGGACCTTTGAGTTTCCTCCTTCATGGGGTATATAATTCTATAACAGGACTAAGCCTAAACAAAGAAAACGGGTAATAGAAGGTCCTCTATCTCCAAAGATCCAAGGCCAATTTTGATGTCACCATTTCTAACTTTTTACTTGTTATGTTATGTTCTCACGTGATTGTCTTGAGGTTGGTCTTCGGGGAGTATCCGCTGCTGGCCAGACGTTCCTGAATGTGCAAAGCTGCCAGTCGTAAAGCCGTGTTACACTTCATCTCCACTGCAAAGCGCTCCTGCAGCACATCATTCACTCCCTGTGGCACAGTCCAAACGGCCAGTCAAACGCAAAGTCGTTCATCACAAACACAAGACAGATGGATATTTCTAATTATAAATAGCTGCACTCAAATATTTCCCAATAAAGACAATCCAATCATATTTACCCATTATAGATTGTCAGTTATATATATTTCCTTTTGCCAAACAGTAGCATAGACTAAATTAACATGAAAGAAAAACAACACTCTAAAAGTAGACAATAACAGGGGGTTCTAGGGTCTTCATGGATAGAAATGGACACACTTTAAAAGGTTAAAAAGTTAAAGGTTTAGAATTAAAGGTGACCCAAGTGAGCCTTATTAAAATGAACCAGAACTTATCACCCTAATCTTCGGAGTGCCCCAGGGATCGGCACTCGATCCGATCTTGTTCACACTAAATAGTCCTTATTGTCACTCTTTAGTCATAATTACCTGGATGACCCTAAACTACCTGTTTCTCAACCCTGAAAAAACAAGGGTAATAGTAATAGATTACTGCCAGCTTGTCACACTGTATAATGTCAGTGTAGCCTCTAGCTCCAATGTTAGAAACCAAGAAGTCTCTTTCAGAACACATATAAACCAAACATAACCAACCAAACCAAACTTATCCAAAATATGAATATCCCGCCTGAAAGTTATTCTGAAAACTGATCATTGCATGTGTTACCTCAAGGATTGGTATTGTACTGAACTGCATGCAGCGTACCCTAAAATGTAATCAACCCGTCTCAAATGCAGCAGCGAGGATATTAACAGGAACTAAAAAGAGGGAGCAAATAAGTCCGGTGTTGAAAGGACTTTGACTACAAGATCATGGAAATGGCTGTTCCATTTGATCTTAAAAGCCCTTTGAGATTAAGAGATACAAAAGCACATGTTTTTTCACCTTAAAAAGCATAATCTTTTCTTTACTTGCATGCCATCTAATGTATTTATTTTAACATAAAACTCCTCTGACTTATGATTACCTGCAGAAAGAGGTACTCAAAGGCAGTGGGGTCGTCTTCCAGCAGAAGCTGTGGGTCCCTGGGAACAAAACAGGCTCGAAACAAACATCGATAATCGTGCGGTTCTTTCCTCTGCACAATCTGCAAAAGAGAAGTGTATAAGTACCTTTATATACTGTATATACTTTTATAGAGTCCAACCTGCTGTATGCGCTCGTCTTCATGGAGGTGCAGCAGTTTGGTGACACCAGGCTGTTGCTCCAGCACTAAAGAGAAGTGTTCTATTCTGACCAGAGACAGTTTCTCCTTCAATGTCAGCACGATGTCCTGAAACACACAGAGGAAGAGTTCGGAGAAAGGAGAGTTAGAAGTTCTACTAGAAGTGTAGGTGGAACTCAACATTCAACAACATTTATGGACATTGGTCATATGCTCATTACATACCAGTACCAATGTGTTTTCTATTTAATTTCTTGTGTTTGGCATGTTTGATTCTCTGATGTTGGCAAATTCAAAGGTTTTGTAAAGTTCTCCAACTACCTACTAACTACTTGTGATTTAGGACTATACAATCATCAAAATCTGCAGCAGGGTCCCCAGGCCGCAACTACCACTGCTCTCAAAAGATTGCCCTATTGGCATTTGAAGGATTGGTCAAAAGCTTTCCCTACAGGGACAGAAATATATAATAATAGTAATAGTATAAGTTAACCCAACCTTAACACTAAGGGTAGTAAAGTGAATAAGTTTGGTGGGAGCTGCAGTTTTAATAGCAACATAAATGCCAATTTATTGACAATAATTTGTACGATGGAGGGTTCAACAACAGAAACATGTATTGATTTGCTTGTTCTACATTGGGCGGCACGGTGGCTGAGTGGATAGCACTCTCGCCTCTCAGCAAGAAGGTCCTGGGTTCGAATCTTGGCCGGACCAGGGCCTTTCTGAGTGGAGTTTGCATGTTCTCCCCGTGTCTGCGTAAGTTTCCTCCGGGTACTCCGGTTTCCCCTACCACTAAAAACATGCACAATAGGTCTGGCATGCGCCTCCTGTACTGGCGACCCCGCTCCCATCTCTGTGTGGAGCGAGAGGACCAATGCCCAAAAATAATAACAATTGTAAACCGCTTTGTGACTCTGGTCTGTGAAAGGCGGTATATAAATAAAGATTACTTACTTACTTACTTACATTAAGCAATTCAAATAGTATTGCATTTTTGTGTTCCACTAAGAGACAAGTCAAGTTCATGCAGCCAATATCAAAATAAAATCTTCCAGTGGAGACATTTAGTTTTGAAACCAAATTTACTTAAAGCTGCACTAACTGACTTTGGGATTTTGAAGCCGCGGACTCGCTGGCCTCTCTCTTTCTGCTCCCCTCCCCACACCCACGAAGCACACACCCACTGTTGTTGACAGAGCTAGCGTCTCCCAATATGGATAATACATGGACATGGATTTGCACGTGGATGGCGTGACCATAAAACGATAGAACCGGGAAGCGCGGAGGAACGGGACTTTCTTTTGGATGGCTGTCTCGCTGTGTAAGCAGTAACCGGTGACGAAGACGAGGAAGCTTCAGGTTAGCTCCGCCACTTGTTGTGCTAACTCAGCCGTCTGTGCTAACGGACCTGTAGATTTCTCACGAAAGTGGGGGCTAGTGGTTCGCTGTGATTGGTCACAATCTGCGACCCGAAACACATTCTCTTCCTTGTTTCATCAAAACTCGATCTAAAATACAATGTCATGTAGCACATCTGCGCTACTTTTTCTTCAAAAGGACGTATATCCCAATGCACTACATGGACATGGATAGCATTTTCGTAATGAATACGAAAATAAAGTCAGTTATTGCAGCTTAAAGCTGTACAAACTGACTTTGAGAATTTTTTTAACGTGAGAGCTGGGCTCGCTCTTTTTGCTCCCCCTCCCTCCTCAGCCTGGGCTCGCATGATAAATGTATACGGAGCTCACGTCTCACAATATGGATCGCACATTTGAACGTGGATGGCGTAACCATAGAATGATGGAACCGGGAGGCGCGGAGAGGACAAGACTTTCTTTTGGATGGCTGTTTTGCTGAGTAAGCAGTAACCGGTAACGAAGACACGGGAAGTTTCAGGTTAGCCTCCGCCGCTTGTTTACCTCAGCTGTCTGTGCTAATAAGAGACCTGTGGCTTTTCTCAAGAAAGCGGTGGCCGGTGGTCCGCTGTGATTGGTCACAATCGGGACCCGAAACAAATCCTCTTCCTTGTTTCACGAAAACTCGATCTAAAATAAAATGACACGCCAGCACAAATCTGCACTACTTTTTCTTCAAAAAAAGGACGAATATCCCGATGCATTGCATGGATATGGATTGAATTTTTGTAATTAATACAAAAATAAAGTCAGGTAATGCAGCTTTAATAACACTTCATGTTCAAAGGCCAGGAACAGTATATATTTCAAACAGTAATGGGCTGTTGACCCATACCTTCACGGTGGTGTTTGGTTCAAATTTGAAGGCCTTGGTCTGTCCATTCTCCAGATAAACCTTGAGGACGTTGGGCAGAAAGAGCAGCGAGTTGCCCTGTAAAAGCACAGGTCTATGGGTCAAGGGAGCACATCATGAAACTGCCACACAGCCATAAATGATCATATTAAACAACATGACAGGACTTCCATGTCCACAAAAGTCAGAACCAGACTTTTACGCTCAGTGAAATTCAGGAGATCTTTGTCAATAGGTGGCATGGTCAAAATGGTCAAATTTAAAACATATGCAAAATCACAAGCAATTTCAATGTTTGTAAGGATCTGGGCTACTACGGTTTCAACTATAAGACACCACAACCTCTGTAGAAGATGGGAGAAATATCAGTATATATATTAGTATTTCTGTTATTGTCCGTAGGCCCAATAAAAAACGAATAAGTTAACATGTACGTATGTAATTTGTTTTTTTTGTTTTTCAGAGAAGGGCAAAGTCATATCAGTGTGACTGTATAAACATATATATATAAAGGGGAATGTCTTGTTTTTCAGCTGAATTTTTGAACAATGTACTTTTTTTGTGTCCCTGTTATGTTGACAGCACTTTGGCCAATCACTATCAGTTATAATACGGTGGAACACGCGGGGTAGAGTAGAGCTGAGTAGAGTATAGGGCCAAGAAGGGCAGGGGTAAGCAGTCTCAGTTCACAAGATAGTGTGAATAAAGTTCAAAATAAATCTAATTGAAACTTTTATATCCGTATTGACAAGTATCAGTTATTTAGCAAGGCACACAATGCAGAATGGACACTGAAAAGCCCACATATTTGGCTGCCCTATATTAAACAGATTGCTTGATCATAAATAGCAGCGAATATTTAGTCAGCTTCTATTAGAAGAAGACGCAGAGTGAAGAAAATTAGTAGCCATTATATCAAGTTTTAAACAAGTTTATTCATATTCATGTTTTAATATACAATTAGCTACATGTCAAAAGGCGATGGCTTATGTGTTTGGCAAACTAAAGCAAGAGCGGGTATAAAAATAACTTAACATTTACCACATCATCCTCACCAATCACAATGACGTCCCCTAAGAAAAAACGAATCATATTTTTCCCTATTTGTGAAATAGCTTCTTATTTCCTGCTGTGTTTATACCACACCCTTCCTCCTTCACCAAACGTCCGTGTCGTGCAGTAAACGTGGGCATTAGGACGCAAGAGGAGCGGCGCATATTGATCCGTGTTTTCTCCATAATTAGTAATGGGCACTCTCCGATCTCTGTGGTTTTCCCCATCTTGCTAATTTCATCTGCAGGAACAGTAACAGTACAGTAACAAACTGTACATGTATTTTAAAAAAAACTGCTCAAGATTAAAATAACAAGTGGAATAAAATAGGGAGTCCATTTGAGTACAAAAATATATCTTTAAGGCCACTTTTCTTATGATTCATGGCGTAACAAGGGCATAACAGGGGCAGACGTGTTGCTAAGATGGTTGCTAAGGCCAGCTGGAGTTTCCCCCATGACGAGAGCTATCTGGTTAATCAATCCTTATATACTGTAGATTTACTAGTACAATATCAAAATATAAACCACAGATTTTTTAATTAGTGAGTCTGACACAAACGTTTACTGAGTTAACTTTTCAATGTAAGTCACTAGGAGCCAGAGAAAGTTGAAAGCAAAATGTCCTTATTGAGCTTCATTGTGCTGGGCTAGGGGGTTAGCATTGTCCATCTATATACAGTCTGTGCAGACCATTAGAATGAAAAAATATGATATTGTCAGCAAATGTCACGATTCAAAACGAATGAGAACTCATAATATGTACAACTGCAAATGAGAGAAATGTAATTAAAGCAAAACCAAAGAAAACAATTCAAAAACAGACCTAAAGTACACACAGGCCATGGAGATTGAAACAAATGGGCTGACAACAAGAGGGAAAGAGCACAGAGTATTTAACTGGGAGACACAGGGGAGACATTTTAGGGCGGGGCAGGAAGTAACTGAACAAGGAGTAAAAATGAAATTACAAAACTAAAACATGAAAAATGAAAATTATAAAAATCTGCATGACATCAGGACTTTATTATACATGACATGAAATCTAAACTAGACCGTGGACAATTAGCTTCATTATTTATTAGTGCAGTGACTTATTCCCGGTTCTAACCATAGACTGTAAATATACCTGAGACTGTCCATTGACCTCCACCTCTTCAGCGAAGTGCACTTTCACCGGGTTACACTTCAGTTTGGTCTTTCTCTCTGGAGTGATGAACGACGACTTTGGCCCCTGCAGCAAAAACATACAGTCAAACAACTATCATCTTTAAATAACAAATAACTCATATTTAGGGCTGGAGTCATTCTTGTTCTGCTAAATACATGATCAGTCGACTAAAAAGAGGTCTGCACAAAGCTCGGAAAAGTACGTATTGTGTTAAAGGCACACCGCGGACTTTGTGACCTAAAGAGTTGACACATATGAGTTATTTTATATGAATACTTGGGCCAATATACAGCGCTTGACACTTGCAATGCTCCGAGCGGGGCTGCCCTCTTGAAATACCGCCCATGTAAGTTTCGAGCAGACGGACCGTCTGCCACCAGGTCACGTGACTTGGAAGAAAGACTTGCTTTACGGCTACAGGCGCTGATATACTCATGGAGCTAAGGCTTTTGCTACTCATTTTTCACCTGCTCGACTCCTGGTCATGGCTGAGGCAAGGAAAAATTTTAAACCTTTGGAGGAGGCTAAAAAGAGGAAACGCGAAAGGGATCGTGCTGTAAGCTGCATGTCTGTATGAGCGCTGCTCTTCACCTGGTTCCTGGATGTCATCGACCGCAACGATGTCATTCCACGCAGCACGAGCTAGACGCAGAACTCCCTCATCCAGGATATAGAAGTCCATGTGTGGTAGATTACTAATGCAGCGGTCTGGAGGCTGACCACAGCAGAGTCTCTCAATATCTGTAGGCATGTCTCTACAGTTTGAACACACACACCAGTGCATGCTGTCTGAATACACACTCAAAAGACACCGGCTGACTGTTTGACTTTTGCGACAGTGCTGAGTTGCTTGTGGCCACTAGGGGCGCTAAACGTGAAAGTTGCAGGTCTAGCGCCCCTAGTGGCCAAGAGTTACACGGTGTGCCTTTAACTAAACAGTTGGCTTAAAATCACAAAGAAAGTTTTGAATAAAGTCTGAATAGAGAGATAATTCTGGCTTGAAATTCAAAGTAGATACCAACATGTTCAGCTAATTTTATCAATATCTGGCTTTTTATCAATATTTTTAATGTACTTTAAAGAATTACAACAAAACCAATTTTCGAAAATCTTTTATTAATAATCGACTAAATGATTAAAGAAAGATATTCCTACTCATATTAATAACATTTTTGCTACACCAATACCAAGATGTGCTTGAGTCACTTCCTACAAACATAAAGACTACGGTGCATATGTATATATTAGGGCTGTCAAAATTAACGCGTTAATTCACGTTAATTACCGTTTTCATTAACACGTTAAAAAATAATTAACGCATTAACTGCCATTGACGTTGCGTTACCCGCTATTTTTACGTTCCCAAATGTCTATTGTATTAAATATGTAAGGCTTGAGGCAATATTTTATCGAGCTATATATAATACACGCATATATATACACTCACAGGGGCCATTCTCTGATGTTGTGTGACACACGAAGGAGAGGAGGAGACACGCTAAAATGCAACCAAACTCACAAAACTAAAGCTGGGGTACCTACATTTTCCCTTTCATTAACAGCTCTTGTTACAGCTTCCCACCTCTGCACCTTCTCCACCGACTCCCACTGATGACTGCTGTCGTTGTGTCCTTGGGCAAGACACTTAACCCCACTTTGCCCAAAGCCCCCACTGAAAGATCAAGGCTATGCTCACAGTCAGAGAGCAGCCGTCCTCCTGTGGACTCACCACCTGCAGAGGGTCAGTGAGGGGCTGGTGCTATGAGACTTGGGTGGCATCTCTGATTGCCACCCCCCTGACCCAGAAATGGATTAAAGGGTAGAAAATGGATGGATGGATAACAGCTCTTGTTGGTTGTACCCAAAAGTAGAAGGTTGTGATCAAGTCAAACAGATGTAAGTACATTTGGTATGAATAACAATGTGTCATTACATTTGAAAATCTCATTTAACTTCAATTGGAGTGGATTTGAAATAGAATGTTAAAAATGTAATTAATCGTGAGTTAACTCACCATTACTATGCGATTAAGCAACTAAAAAAAATTAATCGTTTGACAGCCCTAGTATTGGGGAGACTGGAGACACTGGTACCATTACTTTGACCAATCAGAGACCAGATAAAATAAATATGATCCAATCAATCTGCAGACCTTTCAAGTCTGATTTGAAGCATATAGATTTTTTATAAGCCGCTAAAAAAATCTGGCTACATACAGCAAATGTTATATACAAAATACCAATTCATAATAAAACAATATATTCTGTGTCTTAGGCAAATTATTTTTTCATGTCAGCACTTTTTAGTACAATTTCCCTTTGAACGATATTGTAATTTTCTGAGTTTCACCTCGTGGCCCTATTTTAAATATACTTTACAATACAAACACACACATTTATGATCATATATTTCACTTCCACCATTGGGGAAAGATCTTTGGATTTGACACCACCACATAGTATCAAATTTCTACACATTTTCTGAAGTGCTGTTTGAAGCCAACAGATATAAATGTTGTATGTTATTTAATTTAACACAACACAGACACTCACAGACACACACAGTGACCCAGAAACTGCACAGTTACTGGTGAGGAAAGTTGTTTAATCTCAGACAATGGTTCTGTTTCACATGAAGCAGGATTCTAATTACAGTATATGTGAATGTGATGGAGGAAAGACTAGACTATATTGAACAAACACAATTTGTTTAAATATTCACCATGATAAATATTGGATTTTCAACAGTGTTTGTGTATTCCTAACAATGGATGTCTAGAGAAAAGTCCTGTTACCTTCACAAAGGGGTAAGCATTGAATTACAGGTCAAAGACGAGCCAAACCAGGACTTAATTAGGACAAAACCAGTTCTAAAACAAAGTGAACCAGGTCAAACCAGGAGCAAGGCAGCTCACGTTTAACGCAGGAAGAACTGACCAGTTCAAAGAACCGAAACAAGATCACCAAAGAATAAGGACACACGCCACAAGGACCACTTTAAGAAGCAAATATTCAGCATAGTTTATGGTAATTTGGTCATTCATTCTGATCCTGAGTGTCTTTTGTTTGGTAACTTTCAACTTGAAAAAAGCAGAAACCAAACGCTAAATTTGATCTCAGCAGCACCGACATCTACAGGTGACAGCGGGAATTACACCCCCCAATTTAAACCTTTTTAAAGCTTTAAGGCAGGGGTCTCCAACCTGTGGTTCGAGAGCTTCCAGTAGAATTATTCACTTTTGATTCTGTACATACTGCATCTATTTCAACTATACATCTGTTCATGAATGCAGGGATACTGTGGTATAATGGTATAATGCTTATGTGTTATCCATGATTTTCTATTTTATTTTATTATTTTATGATAATATTCTGTATTTTTTATTTTATTTTTAAATAAAAGGTGGAGAACCCTGCTTTAAAGACCTACAGGAGCGTGTTAGCTTCCATCTCATTCTCTCGCATTTTGACAAACTTGTGTCCATGTTTCAATCAATAACGTGACCATATTACAGACGTCAAATCCCACAGGAAACAATGTTAATGTGATGCCAGACTTGAGCAGATTTCTTGGAACTCTGATCGAATTTAAAAGGTCAATTAAATTAAATTAAATTAAATTCATTCTTGTATCGCCCTAAATCACTTTACAAAACTGATTACTGATTTATTTGGGGGATTGAAAAATATATTGTAAGTAAACAATATTGTAAGTAAACAATATCGCACAAGTGAAGTAAGTCTAACCAATAAATATAATCACTATTATGTAAGGGATAACGTATATGACGCAGGTCATTATCAGAAAATAAGTACCGACAGGGCGAAGCGGACCCCGACGCACATGAAAACGGAAACAGAAAATTCTGAAAACCTCCGTGCACTTGCGTTGATTGATTGGCATTTGCGTTTATTGAGCGTTTTTCGGGATCGCTTTTTGACGCAGAGAAATAGTATTTTTGTCATGAAGACAAGACCAGAAAATTCTGAAAATCTCCGTGCACGTGTGTGAAGAATGTATATGTATAAAGTATTCTCCAATTAACATTGAAGTGTGTTGATTGAGCGTGGCTAGCTCCAGAGTGGCCGGAACTACTTGCGGAGTTATCCACGCATTTGAAAGACAAGCAGAGAGTGCGTTGCCATGGGCAGCGGTCATTATTGTTTTGAGAGGTCCGTTATAAAAAATAATGACCGGTAGAACGTTTTGACATTACATTCAAATCAATGGAGCGTTCTACTGCTGCTGTGAGGAGCCGTATAATAATATTATATATTGTACATTTTAGTAAATTGAAATATGAAACATGGAGGAGATTGTGCTGAAAAACTCTGATATTGAAGCTAAAAAGCAACATTGACTTTCGTTCTTGACAAAGAAGCAGTGTTGTAACATGGTTAAAGTTCAACAAATGAGATTTCGCATAATAATACTAGAACGATCAAAATAATACATACTTTTTCGGTAAAATATATTGATAAAGTGCTGTACAGTCAGAGACAACAGTATATTAAGTATAATAAACAATCATTTTAATAAATAAAATATCAACCATAAAATAATAGTGAAACTTATGTCACATAAAAGTCATGTCTAAATACCTTCAAACTGTGAAAGACAATAGTAAGAATAGTGTCTGCGTAGGTTTCCTCCGGGTACTCCGGTTTCCCCTACCACTAAAAATATGTCCAATAGTTCTAGCATGCGCCTCCTGTACTGGCCCCGCTCCCATCTCTGTGTGGAGTGAGAGACAAATGCCCAAAAATTAACAATTGTAAACCGCTTTGAGACTCAGATCTGCAGTGAAAAGGCGGTATATAAATAAAGATTACTTACTACTTACTTACTAAGACCAGACGAGGGTTTTACGACGGGAGCAGCCAAAACCAGCAGTCGTTTACGGAATCTATATCTTTTCATTACGGCTGCAGCAGACACGGACATTTCCGAATAACATTTTCCGAGTCTCCACAAAGGGTTATTGGAGGAGTTGTGAGTGCTCATGAATCACCTGTTTACATCTGCCCCCGTCAGCAGCGGCGCTAATGAGAGCGGCTGATGTAGCGATCACTTCACCTGCACTCACACCATACATCACATCCACACAGGCCTCTCTCTCTCTGTCTCTCTCTGTATCTCTCTCTCTCTGTCTCTCTCTGCATCTTTCTGTATCACGCCAGGTCACACTCCTGCTGCCCCTGTGTCTTCTGTGTTTTCATCCAGCAGTTGCAGAAACAAGTAAAAATCCATTGACCCATATCTTTCACATTGTCGAATACTAAATGTGTGATCATTTGCATCCACACATAACTGAACATCTGCGTTTTCAATGACTTTCATAACATTCCAAACGTGTACGTTCTCTGACGTCCTGCGTTGGGGAAAACACAGAAGTGGGCGGAGCTTTGATGCAGATGCCGGCACTTCTGTAGCGGCACTTACAGTCATAGTAGAAACTCAGGGTGAAGACATATTATTATAGATCCCTGGTGAAGACATATGTTTACAAGCACTGACCCCCGTCCTTGGGCCTGGTTTGATCCTGGTTTAGCTCCTGTTTTGGTTGTTTTCGAGCGTGAGTCCCCTTCGCTCTCTGATGTGGAGGATGATCGCTGCGGTGAACCACTCGCAGCAGACAGTTTTAAGGCAGTAAGATCCATCTTTCTTTAGTGATAAGAGGTCGCATGCTTTGTTTGTTGTTGTTTTGGGTGCATACTGTGGCGTGCAAAAACACAAAACTCCGGTTATCTCTATCTACACGCAAATGCATAAACGGATATTTTTTTAATGTAATGCGATCTACCAATACTACCTTTGCGATCGACTGGTAGATCGCGATCGACGTATTGAGCACCCCTGCACTAGAGTCACTGGGCCTCATGTATGAAAATTGCGCAGAAAAAGGTGTACATTTTGGGTGTATATTCCATTTACGCAAGATCTGACGTGGCATTTATGAACGTGTGAGATACGCACAGATCTGAGCGTACGCACCTGCGGCTGTTGATAAATGCCGCGCTCAAAACCAGCGTATTTATGAAAGTCACGCCTAGAAATATTCAGAAACTGCCTGTTCCACGCACTGTTTTTGCGACAGGTCAGCAGGAAGTCGGCTAAGAAGCCGCAAAAAGCTCGCACTTTTGAGGTTATTCACGTTTTAAAATAATAAATATACGCTATATTATATATACACTTTTTTCCCTAGTGTCTAGACCCACTGCAGCACTCATCTCTCGTGAAATTTCGACGTAAATAAATAGATAATGACCTGAATGAATGAATGAACTATACTGCTGGAGCGCGTCGCATCCTATCTTTGCTCTGCGGAGTAAAGGGCAGTGGCTGAGACAGTTTTGAGCAAGATCAGGTGCATTTGTATGGGGCTTTATGCACAAAACTAAGGAAAACCCACATTTGCCAGAGGTGAATGAGGCAAAACATATGCGTAATTACGTGTACGGCGCAGGGTCTGCCACAGGTTGTTCATGCATATGTAAAAATAAATATACGCTTTATACGCTACGCTATTTATTCAGCTGCGTTTTGAACAAATTTGCAAAAATGTTTTGATAGAAGTGAATAAATAAAGAATGAATGAATGAATTCATATTGTACAGCGTGGCTCTCATCAATGAAGCGTCTGCAGCGTCTGGTGAATGCACTGAAGCGCTGTACACTTGTGAGTGCGTTTGCGGTCCAGATTTTACAGAGAGATTCTGGAGCCAAAACTTCTGAATGACAGCATTTGAGGAGTTATGTGGCGCGTCTCTCATGGCACCTGCTGTGGATGCACTCCCAAGAGTGCGCAGCGGGTGGACAGGGCAGTGAGACATTTGGAGAGAGCAATACCATAGTCCATCGGTCCATGCGTTAATGGGGTGTGTGTCTGTGTGAGGCTTACACAAATCTAATGAAAACATACATTGCTTTACCACATGTGAATGAGGAATACAAATAGCCGTGCGTAATTACGCAGCGCAGAGCCTGCCACAGCAATAGCTGGGTCACACATCCCTGTCGTGTAAAGTGTATTTGTATAGAGCCTTTTACTGTCCAGGATCACAAAGCGCTTCACATTTTAAAAACATACAGATCAAAATAATACACACAGAAGTCAGATTTAAAATAATTGAAACAGAGGAGGCTCCTCATCATGATCTGTGATTTATTCAAAGTTTGCGTGTTTCCAGAGTGTTAGACTTTTTCTGATGCACACATTCAAATTCCGAAACATGATGCTCAATAAAAACGCAGCTTATAATTTTGCCAGAGTGGGAACATGTTTATTGTTGTCCAAATCTTGAATTTCATGCGTGTTTTGGCGTGTTGTGACGAAGGGTGAAATGAGCGTACACATTTACACCACCTATTGACTTGGTGTAAATTCTGTGCGTACCGTACGCTCACGTCCAGATTGATAAATGCGGAAAAGTGTAAATTTTTTGCGTACGCATCATTTACACCCTGATTTGTTTCATACATGAGGCCCACTGTCACAGAGCAAAAACATTTTTTGCAATCTTTTCTAGATGTTATTAGGTGGAGAAAAGCTTCGGATGTGATTATTATAGTTCATAAGAGTCATGATAAGCTAAAAAACCTGAAAAAAGCAGCATCTAAGCACAAAAGTCCATGTTTACATGTTACAATTTGAATGGAATTTTATGGCCACAATTCTCAATTTCTGTTCCACTATAATGCTTTTTTTTATAACAGGGAGGAAATAGCCCCAAACTGTCTAATCCTTCTGAGTGAACAGCCTTCCTGTGTGGAGTTTGCATGTTCTCCCTATGTCTGTGTAAGTTTCCTCCGGGTGCTGTGGTTTTCCCTACAACTAAAAACATAATAACATACATAAGTCAGACTTAACATAAGTCTGACATGCACCTCCTGTCGGCGACCCTGCTCCCATCTCTGTGTGGAGGGAGAGGAAAAATGCAAAGCGCTTTGTGACTCTGTGAATGGCGCTATATAAATAAAGATTACTTACTTGCTTGCTCTAATCACTTCACTGTTACAGTATTGATCAGTGCAGCCATCAGTTTGAGTGGGGCAGTATTTTGTCTTTGATCATAATGTTCTGCACCAAAAATCAAGTAAACATAAACAGGTCCAGTTTGTGATTGTGACTACATTTACAGGTCGATAGTCCAAAACAGACTATTTAATCAACCAATAATATAGCGCTTTCTTAGGCTTACCGCATTCCAACTCAACCCGATCATAACTCACCGAGAGATTGATTCATTTTGACATCCCACACACGGAGCAGCCCTGACATACCCATACACGGCGGTTTGTACAGGGCCTATGCGTGGCTTTAATACATTGTCAACTACAACATTGATAGAGCGGTGGGACCTTGGTATCAGAGCACGCCTCGACCCTGACCCTCGGCCTAATTGACTTGTTGATGAATGGTTGTGTTGACCCCAGCATTTTTATGTGGTCCCCAGTTGGTAAACAGGAGGCATGTTGTCACACAGAGCAGACACAGCAGTGGTTGCGACGGACGTGGTAAACTCACCAGCATCGTCCGCAGCACCGTCATCGTCAACGTATTGTGGCACTCCCTAAAGAAAAACAAGCACAGGTTTTAACATTAGATAATTGTATATAAGCTGTGTGCGCTTATTTCATGTTCTATGTGTCTTGGACCTGTATGTGAGTGTTTGTGTGTGTTTGTTTGTATTTGTTCTGGGAAAAGAAAATTGCAAAAAATTTAGTAAGAGTGGTAAAAGACACACAAACATAACAACAGTGTACTTTAGTGTCTTCCTAGCCATGTTCAACCAATTCCATCTGGTTGCAGTTCAAATTATGTAAGTCCTCATGCTAAAGTACAACAACAGGTATATAGTTTAATTTTGCTCTACTGTAGATATACTTATAATATAATATACTATAGACCAGGTATAGTCCAACCTTTTTCACCCAGAGAGCCACTTTCCTGGGACGATAAAGGCAGAGAGCTTCCCCTTTAAGCGGCTCTGGGATAATGTTGTGATATGGGTGTGAACAAGGCTGATATTGGGTTGAGTCATTAATTATCATTGCATATTTGTTACTAGTGACAAAGTAAGTGCATTCACGATAATAATTATTGATATTGAATAATACAATCTGAAATATTAAGTACATTATTTGGTTTGTTCACTTCTATATCCCTTGGTGAGCTACCTGGAAGGGGGTGGCGAGCTACTGGTGGCTCCCGAGCTACAGGTTGGAGACCCCTGGTGTAGACAGTATGATAGAAGTAGACTGATGGTGTTTGCCCAAAGCAGAAGAAGTCAATTTGAACATAAGATAGCTGGAGGAATTTAATTTTCATCAATGTAAGTGGATAGGAGCCAGAGCGAGTTGTACCAAAACATTGTCCATGAGCACTTGCCTACGTATATTGGGCCTCATTGCGCTAGGGGGTTAGCATTGTCCATATACAGTCTATCTATGCTTTTGATCCTCTCAGATTCTTACTAAATGTTTGAGTGGAATCTATTACATCAGATTCAGATTCATTTATATGGATTCAAATGGTTGGATTAAAAATAATAGGTATCGCCCATAACTAATTACCATGCAGTGAATTTATGATCTGACTCATAAATAGAATTATGGCGGGAATATGGAGACAAATGTGTGGGTCGCAACCACTGTGCAACAAAGAGCCAATCAGGAGCTGTGTTGGTCTGTCCCAGATAACCTTATTTGCTAGCAATAACTAAAGCCTGGAATAGAAGACACTTGATTGGTCAGTTGTTAGGGGACCTGGATCTGGATTTACAAAGAAAATATCACAATAAAAACACCAGAATTACAGAGAGCACTTTCCTATTGGGTTCCACTGAACTAGCTAGTGGGTTAGCATCGTTCATCTCTCTCTCTATACAGTATATACAGTCTATGGATGACGACAGTACGATAGTATCACAAACCACATGTGTTAGCCCTGTGTTAGCAGCGTGTGCAGTGACCTGATGATTTCGGCGGCCTGCGCGGCGGTCAGATCATCGGCGCAGACGTTATTGATCTTCACCAGGCGATCTCCAGGGACGAGGCGGCCATCTGCGGGACCACCTGCACACAACACGTCCTTGTGCTGATCAGACTTATGCACATCACATCTATCTCACATCTGGACACAGCACACGCGCCCTTTCATCAGCGTGAATATTTTAACTGCTGCTGTGTCGGGGCGTTGGCGTCCTGATGCCGTTTTGTGCATTTGGATCAAAAAAGCATTCTCCCAAGGCTTCTTTGATGGGTGCAGAGGTAGCGCTTTGTCACAGGTTGTTAAAGTTTGAGGATAGAATTAAATTATGTTTTTTTTTTTCCTGGCAAATTATCTAATTGCGCTTGACATAGTGGCTGAGCAAGTGAGACATTTGCGTTTCAATATGGTTTACACTGCAGTTTAATAATGTAATCCCAACCAGCTCAACACATTTAAGGGTAAAATTCTCCATACTAGAAAAATATACTAAACTATGGTTGGCCTAGATAGCAACATTATCATATTCATAAAGGACTTATTCCAACAACTACCTGATTACCTGATCATCATTATTTGATGAACTGGAACTCTGACTCTCTGAACATAAGATCGTAGCACCATCTGCTTTAAAAAAACATATTTCAAGAACTGAACTTGTACGATCTCATATAATATTTTCTAACATACATCACGGGTTTAATTATGACCCCATTGAATTAAATTCCTAATAGCAGCAGTTGCAGTGTCCCATCCACACAATTCACCCGCTGCATGTGAAAGACGTTTTGCATTTGAGGAACAGCGTTGGTTTTGTTTACATGTGAGATCGTATCCTGTATAAATAGTCTGCTCTCTTTTTGCATTTCTTCCTCACAGTTCCTCCCCCTGCTGCTGTGTGACGTCATCTTGTGAATGTGCTAATCAAGCTTCATAGGAGGTGAGGCTGGGAACAAAGTGTAATAAAGTGTGTTTGAGCCTGAAGCACCCAAAAATGCTTTTTTTTTTACAGGACTTCAATCATAATTTGCTTTTTATCATCCTTTTTATCATCCTAGCACGACTATAGCAGTCCGGGAGATTGGTCCCTTGGGACTGCACTGACAGGTGGCCTCCGAAGGACACGCAGGACTGATTTCCCTATAGATGCCATTACGGTGTACATTAACCTTAGTTTAGATTTGCATTTCTGTCACACAACTAAACACATCCAGGAGCCATCTAACATTTGGCATAAGAATGTAACATTATATGTATCTGCTCTGATGAATACAAAATATGTAAAAAAAAAAAGCACTTTGTTTCACATTGTTTCAGAAATGCCTTGGAAATCTTTTTCTTTTTCTATGCATTGATACCTTGCAACAGGCGCCTAAAGATCTGACCTGCTGCACACACCAATGGCAAGACACAAGAAGAGACCAAGACCTAAGACATGACCAAGACAAGACCAAGACAAGACCAAGACAAGACCAAGACAAGACCAAGACAAGACCAAAACAAGACCAAGACAAGACCAAGACAAGACCAAGACAAGACCAAGACAAGACCAAGACAAGACCAAGACAAGACCAAGACAAGACCAAGACAAGACCGAGACAAGACAAGACCAAGACAAGACCAAGACAAGACCAAGACAAGACCGAGACAAGACAAGACCAAGACAAGACCAAGACAAGACCAAGACAAGACCGAGACAAGACAAGACCAAGACAAGACCAAGACAAGACCGAGACAAGACCGAGACAAGACAAGACCAAGACAAGACCAAGACAAGACCAGACCAAGACCAAGACAAGACCAAGACAAGACCAAGACAAGACCAAGACAAGACCAAGACAAGACAAGACCAAGACAAGACCAAGACAAGACCAAGACAAGACCAAGACAAGACCAAGACAAGACCAAGACAAGACCAAGACAAGACCAAGACAAGACCAAGACAAGACCAAGACCAGACCAAGACCAAGACAAGACCAAGACAAGACCAAGACAAGACCAAGACAAGACCAAGACAAGACCAAGACCAAGACAAGACCAAGACAAGACCAAGACAAGACCAAGACAAGACCAAGACAAGACCAAGACAAGACCAAGACAAGAACAAGACAAGAACAAGACAAGACTAAGACAAGACCAAGACAAGACCAAGACAAGACAAAGACAAGACAAAGACAAGACAAAGACAAGACCAAGACAAGACCAAGACAAGACCAAGACAAGAACAAGACAAGACCAAGACAAGACCAAGACAAGAACAAGACAAGACCAAGACAAGACCAAGACAAGACCAAGACAAGACCAAGACAAGACCAAAACAAAACCAATATATATCGTCGCTCTCATTCACACAGACAAGACCCCAAACCCTCTCTAACCCTCTCTCTCTCCTCCCTCACTCCGGGCTGAGGGCATCACTCTCCTTCCTCCACATATTTCTTGTTCATTTTTTTCTATTTGAGATACCAACGACAGCTGGATGACTCTAACACACTCCATTGTGAGGACTATTGCGCTTCAGTTGAAACTTATATGCTGTATTTTGTCCTTGGTATGTAATACAAAGGCACTCTGGATATCTCAAAAGTTTATGTTTGACAGGAGCAGATGGCGCAGAGCTCTTGATCCTTAGACCTCGAGGGAAAACAGGCATCCGACTTCAGAGAGCTCAGGGGCACTTATACAATTCACTATGTGTGGCCCCTAAAAGGCAGCAGATGGGGGAAGACGGACTCATTCAAAAGGAGGGGGGCTAAAACGAATTGGAGATTTTCATTATGGAATTACAGATTTGTTCAAAATGAGGGATTGGTGTTCATAATAACTTTAAGAATGTCAGAATGTGCAAAATGAAACCACAATACCCTCATGCTGCTAACATGTACATATGTATACACACAACTATATATCACTTGCACTATTTTATACGTGCTTCTTTATTGTGCCAAAAGTAGAGAGTTTTATACTACTTTATTATGCTAAAGTCTGAGATTTTGTACTTAATTCTTGCTTCTTCATTATGCTAACGTTGGAGATAATAGATTGCTTCCTTATTATGCTAAAGATAGAGATTGCATTTTAGGTTAATGTATTTAGGAGCTGGTGCACTGTGTTTGCCCCCCCCCCCCCCCCCAACCCCCCAACCCAGAAATGGACAGAGGAAGAAAATGGATGGATGGATTTTATTGAGAAGAGAGTTTAGCATAGAGTTATTAAGTATAGAGCTTAGTATAGAGTATAGAGCTGTGTTCATTGATCTTTTGCTGTGTGCTCCTCATTCTTACTGTTTTGAAACTGGTAATACAACACTGACATTTCCCCACTGTGGGACAAATGAGCAATAAAGTATTTCTTAATATGTATAGACACTAAAGACACTAAGACACTAACCCTCACGGTGGAACAAAATGGTAAAATATTCACTTACATCACTTTGAACAATACAAAATAGAATGGTGAAAAGTGAATGGAAGAAAACTCTTAAAGGTATACATCTGGACATGTATTATAATCTACATGATTTGCTCACATAAGGAAGTCTTTTTGCTGCGATTTAGTGGGTGGGAAAAAATGTGTTTTTACAGTAACGGCATCACATCCACACATGTCTTTGAAGAAGCTCAAAGACTATAGACTCAGCACAATGAGTTGATGTTTCTATTTTTGGCAATCCAACTGTGCGATTGTTCGGCTGCAGCTTTTGATGTAACAACAACACTTCTGTTTTAAAGAAGGTGGACTGCTTTTCTATTTCAGGGGCACGACTTATGTTTTAATGTAGATGTGCACGTGAAATTTGTGACATAAAATACCTGCTAATCATAAAAAATCTAATACAATAGTTCTATATACGACCCATATGTGAGTGGACCCAAGGATAAACTAGACGTTGGGTTCTGTTTTGTATATGTATACATTTTTCCATCTTTTCTCTGAGTTGTGAAATGAATTACACCAGGTATGTCCAAACTAAGGTCCGAGGGACAATTGCGGCCCGCTGTGTCATTCTATGTGGCCCTATGCCTTGCTGACCCAATATACAGTATGTTCATAATGTTATCCAGCCAACTTCCGCTTCTCCAATACAGGAATGTTATACCTAATTGTAAAGCTCAGACCCTTTTGAATCCATTTATTTGTATTTGTATGCACTGACAATTTTTTTTTTCATTATGGCATAAAAATTGTAGAGTAGTGTACTGTATATTCACACATGTGTATATCAATGCTCATGTTGTACCTCATTTAGCATCTCAATATGCCACACTCCACTAGATAAAGGTCACTATAAATAAAGCTGCACACCAGGCCAAAAAACAAGATTTTTTTCTAGTAGAAGTAATAGTTAAAAATCTTGTTTCAACAACTCAATTGATAAATCACACCTAATCGATTTATTATCCAAAAATATGCAGAGAAGAGGTTTTATGACTCTGATACATCAATACTGACAGAACGATAAGGCGACAGTAGCTCAGTTGGTAGAGCACTGGCCTTTGAGCCAGAGGGTTGTGGGTTCGAGCCTGACCCTTCACCATCGACTCCCACTGATGTCTGCTGTCGTTGTGTCCTTAGGCAAGACACTTCACCCCCATTGCCTAGAATGAGTCTGGTGTGTGTATGAATGGTTGGTGGTGGTCGAATGGCACAGACTCGTTTCCACGCTTCTGTCAGTGTGCCCCAGGGCAGCTGTGGCTACAGTAGTAGTTTATCACTGCTGTGTAAGGAGTGAATTGGTAATGAAGCTACTGTATATAAAACCGATGTATTATTATCTCCAGGGCATCACTTGAGCTTTACTTTGGTCAAATGTGCAAAATATAAATCCCATATTCATAGCTTTCTGTGCTACTACAACTACTACTATTTGGATATCATAGTGGTAGAAGTTGGAGTTGGAGATTTTAGAGATCTTTCCTTACTATGCTAAAGATATAGATGTTATACTGCTTCTTGTAATACTAGAGTTTGAGTTTATTTATTTAGAGTTATTATTCATTTATCTTGTGCAGTGTGCTCCTCATTCCAACTGTCTGTAACTTGTAATGCAACACTAATATTGCCCCACTATGGGACTGTGGTAAAGGATCTCTTAATCTTCATCTTAATCTTAAAAACCAACACATTTAGTAAGTTTAAGTTTGCCACATCATGATGAGTTGAGAAAGCTCCAGTCTGCAGTGGAGACTATTTTATCAAGCAAATGTCCCATTACTAAAGGAAATATTGATTCTGCTCAAAGCTTAGTGCAGTATAACGTTATGTAGCGTACTTTTCCGTTCATTTATAGGGACAGGGACTACAGAAGTGTTTCCTACATTGAGTCGGTATAAGTCCCCTCTTTAATCCTGATTTATTGTGGCCGTGTGCAGTGTCAGTCCCCTCAGAGGATTCTAACATTTCGTCTTGTGCCGGAGCCAGAGGTCCGCAGTCCTCTGGCGCTGTTCCAGCTCTTCATTTGCTGAATAGACGCGCAAAATAAACTCGATTCTAATAAGGAACTCAGAGGGGAGTGAATGCAGAAGAAATTAGGAGGGATTTAATACTGTGTAAACGCATAGGGTGACAAGATGTTACTGCGAAACACTGGTGCATCAAAACTCTAATAGACTAAAATATTATGGCAGATACAGGGATAGACAAGGACATAGATATTGGTTTTATTTCCTGTATGTATGTCCAATTTGAATCTACAAACTTATGATTAGTTTGACAGTGATATATATCTTTTATTTATTTCACTTATGGAAAGGACAATGTTACAGTTACATTTTTAATAATTGTACTGTCAAATGAAAATGAGCAAGACAATGATGTTGTCTGCCCCTTTTCTTCAACATTGTACAAATTAAAAGAACAACATATTTCAGAATGACATCAGCACTTCTTCCTTGTTTTATCTTTTCAAAATTATGATTCGTTTTTATTGATATTTTCCATTATCTTGTATTTTTTTCTATCACAACTAATATATACAATTGATGTTCAATCGATAACTCCAGCCTAGACATAACATATACTAAAGATAAAGACATTCTATGATTAATGTCATCTTTCCTACATCTTTCCAGTCTGTTTGCTCATTGAATTTGAATCCCTGCCAACCAAGAAACTGCTTTAAAACACACTATGAAGTGATGTATGTCTTGATCAAAAGTAACAGCTAAGCAGGCCAAAACACTGAATCACCTTGGCACAGAAAGCACCTCACCCGTAGAGACACACACACATACACAAGAGCGACAAAAAGTAAAAAAAAAAAAACAACTTCCACGAAACTGCAGCGTCAGCGTTGAAACAATACTCCAGAGAAGCACTCTATACCTGCTACTCAGGAACTGCCCACTTTAAGATATGCTGCTATAGACACAGTGTAACAGGATAATGCAGGCCTGAAAGCATAGGGCCATTTTTATAAGGCCGTATATGATGGTATGATGGGGTAGATGGGGTCTATTTGTTATCGTTGAAGGCAGCTTAACTGAACTTACCAGGGGTGATGTCCTGCACCACAATGGGGGAGTGCGAGGAGAGCGTGAGGCCGTGCGAGCAGAAGCCGGGGTCTCTCTGCAGCTGGATGCTAAAGCGGAAGGCGTAACTTCTTTGGTCCGAGGCGCTGGACTGGGACGCCTTCTCCTCCGACGTACTCCTGTCTCTGTGGGGGCAAAGATGAGGGTCAAAAAGTTATTATGCTTAATAGTTAAATTACTTCAAACCTGCAAAACACAATTTCAGAAGTGACATAAACGTTAGGGTTTCCATAATATTCTTTCTATATGAAATATGCTGACTATATACCTTTTGTCAAAATTAAACACAAAATGCTTTACATTTTATCATGGTATAAGCGAGTTTAAAAAATGACAAATGCAGTTCCAATTGAGTCTTTATCTTGATGCAGCTTTGTTCTGTGCAGTATTAGGGTGCCTTCCCACTGCAAAGAATGAATGTGCGTTCACTACATTTCAGCCGCATGAGTTTAGTCAATCTGACGTACTGTAGTGCCCTGCGCTGGGGAAAACACAGGGCGGACGGTGGGCTTTGATGCTAACGAGTTTAGACTAGCGGCTTTTTGTGTAAAGTTCTCCAAAAGCGCAGCTCTGTGTCCCAAGATCCTTCAAAGACATTGTAGAACGGCAGTATCTGCTCACGGAGCTGCGCCATGTATTATATTATTAACCAAAGCTTCTGTGTCGGTGAACACGTTAGCCCGTTTACAGTCACAGTAGTAATGTCAACTCAGGGTGAAGACAAATGTTCACAAGCGCTGCGTCTTTGTCTTCCTGTTTCACCGTGACCACTTTGCTGCTCTCTGATTGGTTGCTGCACAGGCGGACAAGAATGTTCAGTGAATCTCAGCTCCTGCGTTCGCCGCATGCATCAAGGCGCCGTACCCACCGCCTCTGCCGCAACGTACATGCGGAAAAATGTGCACTGACGTCCTTCACTATTGAATTTGCCTTCAAACTCGACACAGCACATGACCCGGTGTGAATGCCCCATCACACCTGCTAATGAAAGTGTGTGTGTTCTGTCTCTGCAGGTGAAAGTGTGTGTGTTCTCTCTCTGCAGGTGAAAGTGTGTGTGTTCTGTCTCTGCAGGTGAAAGTGTGTGTGTTCTGTCTCTGCAGGTGTGTGTTGGTCCTGTGTCTTCCTCTGCCTCTCCTTTGACCACTCAGACCCTGTGTGCAAACTGGGTCAATCCTAATGCACTTCAGCGTCATATCAATACGGCTATAAGAGTCACAGCCATTTTAGTACTATAATAATGGGCTTCGTACAACAATAGACATCTATCGTCTGATGGGATTGTGTTTTTCTTTATTTAGATTTCTCAGACACAGCGCTTTACAATTAGCTATATTTTCCATTCACTCCACACATGACAGATGCCTTCGTACATGCTATTAGTGATAGGAGAAACAGGAGCACCTGGAGGAAACCTACACAAACACATGGAGAACATGCAAACTCTACATATAAAGACCTCGTCGAAAGCGGGATCGAACCCAGGACCTTCTTACAGTGAAGCTTGAGTGCTTACTGTGAAACGCTAGTGTCTGTTTGAACTTGTTTAAAACCCTAGTGCTCTGTAAGATCCGTGCGGCACCGATAGTGAACGTAAAACTACTATAAAAGAGATGAGTCGTTGTAGTAATTGTAAAGTTCTTTTATTGACCAGAGAAGCTTAGCTCGACTAAATCAATCATATCCTGCGTGTGCTGCTTCATCAGCGAGTCCCCTCCTCAAACCTCATGTTTATGCGCAGCTCAGTCTTGTCTCAGTCACAAGATGCACTTATTCATAATGATCTGTTTTTTCCCACAAACTAATTTGAAACAGCACTGATAAATATTTATAGAACTAACTTGTGCAAATGAGATATATTTTTGATCAGTCGCATGTCTGAGTTACTTCAAAATAGGTAACCATTGCTGAAAATATGTAAGGAACCAGAGTCACAAAGCGCTTAGAATTGTGGGCATTATGTCTCTCACTGTCTCTAGTTCCTACTCTCAGGCACTTTGCATAGTGTTGATGTGAAGGGTTGTGTGTATATTGATTTTTGTGTTGCAAATCAATAAACTTATACTTGATATTGATTTGCAACCTGGCAATATTACGGCATATTTTTGTGTTGATGCCGTGCAGACGAGATGATTGTCCTGATGTTGAGAGTGTCTTGTATGTCTGTGTCCAACTGCACTGGGAGACGTAGACAAATTTCTTATAATAACTTGTATTATTTTCTACGTCAGAGGTGTACGGAAATGAAGTAGTTTGATTGACTTTGATTTGGGCATGGGACAAATCCTCAAAGTGCTAAACTCCAATAGTAGACATGTGTTTTTATCGTATGTCTTTTATTCTTGAACGTTTTTTCTTGTATAAGTAACTATGTCAATGTCAACTTCATTTGCGATCAAGACCAGCTGCTCAAAGTCATGCACAAAAGAAAAAAAAGAGAAGAAATCAGAATGAACAACTTCAACACAACATCTTTGCTCAAGAGTCAGATTCAAATTCATTTTTTTTTAGGATAAAAATCAAACTTTTTAAAATTGACTCATTCTTTGTAATATTCTAAATGTATTCTGTTCTGTATTTTTAGTATTGTGTGTGATGTTTTGAATCTATTGTAAGGCGTCCTTGGGTGTCTTGAAAGGCACCATGAAATAAAATGAATTATTATTATTATTTGCCATTTGCAGTAAAACCCCATTGGAATACATATGCAAAATCCCCACAAGTACATACATAAAACAAGGTAAAAATTACAACAAAACCAATTTCAATCCAAGTGCAAGAGTCCCATAAGCAGCAGTGGCCTTACCTGCCCGCAGAGTGAGAGCGGCTCCCGAGGTCCCTGGAGCGTCGGAGCCATCGCCCCACCACCTGCTCCACGCGACTGGTGCGGCGGGACGGGGATCGGCTCCTGTCCTGCGCGTCCATTTACCTGCGGCCACAAACACCACAGAACATCTATCGTAAATATGTGTTGAAGTGATCACAAAGAGAGTGGCACTTGGAGGTTACCCGAGACAAACATGATGTAATCTGTGGCCACATCGCTGCTAATAGGCTCTTAGCCAAAGTGACGAGCCAACGGTCTGAGTTTGGAGACCGAGTTGGACAGAAGTCGATATTAGTAGCTTATAATTAAGAAGAATGTGGTGTTGTTTTGTGTGTTTTTGGGTCTGTGGAGGCGTGGCCAGTGCCTAATGGACTGGGCACATACTGAATGATTTGCCAGTAATGATAATAATAATAATAATAAGCCCTTTTTTGGACACTCAAAGACGCTTCACATGTTATTATTCATCCACTCCATTCACGTGGTGATAAATTACTATTGTAGCCACAGCTGCCCTGGCAGAAGTGAGGCAACCAGTATGTGCCATCAGCCCCTCCAACCACCATCAACCATACACACCGGATACATTTTAAGCAATGTGGGTGAAGTGACTTGCTAAAGGTCAAAATAGGAGTTTGGTACTTTGCGGCTTTATTTTTACAGCCGCAGCCCTCTCACTTTGGCACCTGGTGTTCCCCGATGTCTCCTATCGCCATACTAACCAGACCCGTCCCTGCTTAGCTTCAAACGTCTGACAGGATCTGGCTTTCACTGGCAAGTATTTGGTAAGAACTGATGGATGGCAACATCTGTGGCTTTTCTGTTTGGATGTTTCTTCCACACTGAATAGTTTTCCTTTGAATGAAAAATTGAATTGCATTCCACAATTTTCTGGGACCATCCACAGAATGACCACAAATTTGTCAAACTCTAAAAGGAATAAAATGGTAACGTTGTATTGAAACGGCAACGAGGAGCGCGTGGAGGGAATTATGTCAGTGAGGCAGCCACAATCAAACCTTTGTGGTCAGGAAGCATAACAATATTAAAAGAAATGTAAAAATAACCACTTCCAGAGAAATATTTTTATCTGGAAGATTTTGTAAAAGTATGTCTCTCTCCTTCTCCAAACCTGAAACTCGAACTAGTCTGCACCCCATTGATGCTTACAGTTTTTCTCAGTCGCTTTGGTGCCTTTTTCAGATCAGAATTAAAGTTCTCAAAACTATTAGTTCAACCTCCACAACATTGAGTCGTTGGTGCACATCATCGTAACAGTTTCTAATTTCTTTGAAAAAATTACAAATGCTTTTGTATCAGTTACTTTCATCCAATTCTCTGCTGTTTTATAACATTAACAGTTGCTTCTGTCCTGTCAGTCAGAAGGAAACTTTTGACTGTCCCAATAGTCCTCATCTCTTGAGTCATTACATACAACATTGTTGAACTCTTTCTCAAAATCAAAACCTGTCAAGCTAATTTCATACATTCCTTTGTCTATTTTTTTTTCTGGAAAATCTCTTAATAATGAACACTTGCTCTCAGTTGAATTTCAGCTTCACTCATGACGAGGATGTGTTTTATTGTTTGCATTTGTCACAGTTCTACCATAATGATATTCTGTATGTTTGTTCTACGAAAATACTGGAAGTGACTGTGTTTTTGTCACACAATGCTGTAGAATTGCAAAGAGCCTTATGCAGTAAGATTAATTCATTCATACAGTACATTCATACAGTACATATACACATAAATACAGTGCATGTACACATACACACAGAACATATACACATACATACAGTGCATGTACACATACACACAGTACATATACACGTACATACATACAGTGCAGATACACATACATTCATATACATACGCATACACACAAACAGTACATACACACAGATACACACATACACATACTTGTCTTGTACTCAGTTACCTAAATACAGTCATGCGTAACTTTTCTGTAGTTTCTGGCTGTACAGGTCGTGTTTACATGATTGCATCTGAATACACAGCCCTCAATGAAGAACGATGAAGTATAAAGAAACATAATAAATGAATGAGACATCACACTCCACCCTTGAATGGACGCATGAATAAAAAGGATAACTGTGCAGTTCGAAAGCCTGTTGTAACATGAGAAAGGGTGATGTCAGCTCGGTCCCAAAGAGAGCAGCTGCAGGAAGGGATCTCCCACACACCGCATTAGCCCCGTCCATTATCACAGGAAACGAGCCCAGGCACGGACTCCAGCAGTGTCCCAGCACCAGACACACGGAGAACAAACAACTTTTGCATGGACTTTTTACAGTGATGGACTGATTTAGAATTGAATAGATAGACGGAGAGATTGATAGATAGATACACAGATAGATAGTGAGACAGACTGACAAACAGATAGAGATAAATATATTGACAGGCAGATATAGATAGATAGATAGATAGATAGATAGATTGTAGATAGGCAGGTAGAGCAGATAGTTGGATAGTCAGACAGACTGATAAACAGACAGACTGATTGATCAATAGATGGATGGACAGAGAGACAGACAGACAGACATATAGATGCAGCTAGATAGATGGATTGACACACAGATCGAGAGGTAGATAGATGGATAGATAGATGGATAGATAGATAGATAGATGATAGATAGATAAAACCCAGCTCTCCATCTGCGGGTGACTATCAGCGTTCCTGACAGGTTGTCACAGTGGCAATGAAAGGGTCAAATGCAAAGGACAAAGTTCCCTCTGAGGAGAATAAACCTTAACCTTGTAACTATTGTGCATCACTTTGGAGCCGTGGCATTGTATAATCTGAATAAAGTAGTTTTGATTTTCCAAATTAGGATGAATAGTAACGGTGGAAATTTGCAAAAATGTGACAATTCGAATGTATGGCAATATTTGGGCCGCAATTCATTACTATTGCAATACGTTACATATTGCGATACAGCAATTATGGCGATTTATTGAGATTCATGTCCCTGCATAACACAAAATAGGAAATGAAGACTTTGCACGTTTATTATGGTCTGCACTTTAACTGAAGTGCCAAAACCTAGAATAAACTCAGAAAACACAAATGTGAAACAGATAAATACTTTGCTCCACTGCCTCGATTTTATTGTGTGCGCAAAATATCGCGATACTGACCAGAATCCATTCCCCCCCCACTACGAATGAATAGTTCATGTAGTATAGTTTACTAATGATACGAACATTAATTGGCTGTTAGTAATGTGAGAGTCACGAGTGCGAGAGTCCCCCGGTGATGGACGTGTGACAGAGCAGAGCAGTGCGGCCTCTGGGGGAGTCTCCGCTCATAAGCACATTATCCATCCATCTGTCTGCTCCCGTCTTTCTCTCGCTTTGGTTCCTCCTATCGGCCTCCATATCATAGTCTCAGATTACACACCGAGAGTCCACAGTATTCTCTCCAGTATGACTATAGTGGTCGAGATTTAGGGTTATAGCAGCCCGTCCCGCTCTTCATGAGACAGCACCAGGAAGCAACAAGAGCCAGAGATAGTGAAGGCACATTTAGTATGCTTTGAATGCTCTGGTTAATGGATACGAGTTTGATCATCACTTATAAACAATAGAGCTATAAACTAATCAAACTCTCAAAATGGATTATTGCTTCTGGTCTCGAAACAGAGACAAGAGCTTCTGTATGGCGTCTTCTTTCCTCTCCAAAACGGCTTTACAGGATGGAAAGTCGGCTCTTGGCCCAAAGCTGCATGCGTGCCAATGCTGAGGGGAGTATATTTTTTTGACCATTCTAGTTTAGCCGCTGCGGACTTCAAGAGGCACTTGTTAAATTAATGGGGCTGGGGTCGGCTGCTGCATTCGCAAATGCGTTTTTTCAGGTTTTTCTCCAGGAGGGGCTGTCTACGTCCATTTTGAAAAATCTCCATAGAAGCCAAAATTGGTGGCACATTAGTTTCAACGACGGAGATAGGAGTGACTGTATCCGTTAATATTTACAGTCTGTGGTATATACATTTTAGGAAAGAACTGCCCTCTCCCCTTTTTGAAAAATCTCTGCAGCAGAATGAGTGACAATTCTAAATTTAATTTAATCGAATTAAATTTAACTGAACCCCTGACATTCAGGCTGTGAACCACAAATGCTAGCCTCTGCGCCACCGTGCCACATATTTTCATAATTTTGAAGCTAATACTGCTTCATATCTAGCTAGCCATTTTACTTTTTTACCATTTATTATTCATTCATCTTGTGCTGTGTGCTCCTCATTCCCACTGTTCTATAACTTGTGATGCAACAATGAATTTTCCCTACTCTGGGACGAATTAGGGATCTCTTTATCTTAATTTGGAAAAACATGTAGTTCAAAACTATAAAAGCATCACGACGAGCCCACCCACTCCAGTGCATTACAGAGATGGGATATGAGCAGTGTCATGTCGCATAGTGGGATTGGGATTGTGACTGTGTGTTAATCCGCTGTAATCTCATGAACAGCTCTTCCTGGTGTACATAAGTAAATGCCCTGCAGACCGGTGGAGGCGGTGGTCCTTTCACAGCACAAGCTCATTCTCATTCTCTCTTTTGCCGCTACAGCATCGGTATCAGCGCGCACACAGGAGACGTTGGCAGATTTTTTTTCACAACATGTAACTTTAGACAGAGCTGGGGATGTTGCTGTGGGAATAAGTTCATATTTCGCTGTGCATGCATCTCCCAGTTTGACTTGTGGCCTATTGGTTCATCATCAGAACTGATCAGTGCCCTGCCTTGGAGACACAGTCAATAATGATGTGAAATATTCACAAAAATGCTGGATTTCAGTAGTGAAAATGTTAAAACCGATGGTGATTTGAAATTTTTTTTTTTTGTTATCAGGAGTTTTTGTGCTTATTTCTTTATAATTCGACAGAAACAATACAAAGCATGTGGTCGTTGGCAGCATGTTTGTATGATTATTTGCAAGAGGAATGTCTAAATGTTAAAGCACTGTTGTAAACAAGGCAAGTCAAGTTTAAATGTATAGCACAAGTCATACTCAAGACTCTAAGTGCAGAACAAAACAAGATGGAAACAACCATATAAGGCACTAAAATAAATAATCACTGTACAATAAAAAGTGAAGATAAAATCCCTCAGTTGTATGCACAGCTAAACAGAACTGTTTTTACCCTGGATTTGAACATTGTCAGAGAAGAAGCCTGTCTCACATTTCAGGCAGACAGGTCCAGATTTTAGAAGAAGAAGATGATAATCCTTTATTTGACCCACAGTGGGAACATTTCTGATTGATGAATACACATACAGAGTCCTGCACAGAAATAAACAGCATGACACAGAGACAGTCGTTTTCTGTGTGGAATCCCAAGAAAATAGGGTTCCAAATGTAATCTTTGCATTTGTTTTTCTTCCAGGCTCAACATCCCCCTCTCTTCACATTTTGTTAGACGAAGCGGTGCCAAAGGACCAGAGCCAAATGACTGTGATAGATTGGTCTGTCACTGCATAAGGGACTGGCCACAATAAAACACAATGCAATATGTAAATGTATGTTTCCTATACAGGGACATGTATTCTCACAGAATGTATAATTCTGTGTATATAATATGCATGTAATATGTATCTTTTTATTGCAATGACAAACCACTGGTACACATATGTACAGTAGTGGAGTCACAGTACTACTATTTTTACAATAAGCAGTACATTTTAAACATTATGTGATTCTACTGTGTCTTTATGTGTGCTGCTAGTTCTGAAATAGATCAATAATTTATTTCCCATTTGCAGTAAAAACCACTTTGGAAAAACTGTGCAAGACTACCCCAGTGTGCCCTAGATCAAAAATCAAAGACCACAAATTTCTCAGAGTATCTCACATTGTAAGGTAGAAAAAAAAACTCATTTCATTTTAGTATGGACACTTCAAATGAGTAACTCAAAACTAAATCAGATTTTTGAAAACATTTTTGAAAATGTGCTGTAATGCTTGAATAAATTGCTACCGGAGAACATGACAAAATTTTTCAAAACAATGAAAACAATGTCTTATCAACCGTGCAATGCATTGTTTCAGGTAATGCCATATCCCTATACAGAAGCATTTTTCTGTTGTTTTGTGATCACCCTGCTGAATACACACACTGTAAATCAATATGGCGAAGATTAAAGAGTACAATGTTATCCACATAGTCCATTAAGTGTGGCTATTGGACCCCATATATCTGATAAAAAACTCAACAAGAGACCGCGAGCCAACAGCATAAGTTACAACCACAGAACAGAACCTAGCAAACATTTTAATTCAGCGTCTGGAGCTGGATTCAGAACAGCTTCTGTGCTGAGTGTGCAGTATGGATCCCCCACAGCTCCGGGCCTCGGGGCGACCGCTGCTCGTTCATCTCAGTCTCTTTTCCTTTGTATCGTACCGACTGCATACACAATGAATCAATTTAGTTATATTTATGGAATTTACCTATGTCCGCACACATGCTATCTGTTTGTATTGTGATTCCCATAAAGAACGTGGCCGTGTGATAGTTTATAAAGAGATTGTTTTATGGACGTTGTAAACTAGGGCTGTTTATTGAGTCTTTTATAACTTGACCATTTAAGTCATAATTTTCAAAGTCAAATTGGATGGAAGAGATAGATAGAGAGAGTTTTGTATGCATGCCTTTATAGATTTAATATTTTTACCACCCTATGTCAGAGCATAAATCCAAGTGTGAGACTTCCTGTTACTTACGATAGCAACCACAATAATTCTGATTCTGTGAGAGAGAGGACTTTCAATGTCATTCAGTGGAACATTTCAGGCTGTGATTGAGCTTTGTGCCTGAAGTGAGACGTTTTTTATAGACATAAAACTATTCTACCAGCTATTGTGATAATCGAGAGTGTGTAGTTGGGTGTAGTAATATATACTAACTCAAAAGTAGTAGTTTTTACTAGGGCTGTCAAAATTATCGCGTTAATTCACGTTAATTACCGTTTTCATTAACGCGTTAAAAAATAATTAACGCATTAACTGCCATTGACGTGTTAACACGTCAATTGCGTTTCCCGCTATTTTCACGTTCCCAGATGTCTATTGTATCAAATATGTAAGGCTTGAGGCAATATTTTATCAAGCCAGCAGATGGCAGCATTGCTCTATGAATGGTTTGGAAACATGTGCCTCTTTTCTCTCAGCTTTCTGGTGATTTCAATAAAATTTACCTCTACTCGACTGGGGATTACAGGGGAACGAAACAAGCTAGAAACAAAATTATTTTTGCTGATGAACGTAGACAGTCCATTCTTTCAGAATATGGTTTTGGATTTCAGATAGTCATAGTACACAATATTCTGTGGGTCTTGAAAATTCAGTAAAAATCATCAGAAACGGCTGGCAATATGGGAGTACCTGTTCTGAAATAGGCTGGCAGTCAATCACATGTCCGAATGACCCGCCCATTTATAATAAGATCACTCCGAATGCCACGGACACGTGCGTGTGTGATGGTGACAGCAGTAACGTGGTCATATAATACACGCATATATATACACGCACAGGGGCCATTCCCTGATGGTGTGTGACACACGGACACGGAGGAGAGGAGGAGACACGCTGAAATGCAACCAAACTCGCAAAATTAAAGCTGGGGTACCTACATTTTCCCTTTCATTAACAGCTCTTGTTGGTTGTACCCAAAAGTAGAAGGTTGTGAGCAAGTCAAACAGATTTAAGTACATTTGGTCTGAATAACAATGTGTCATTACATTTGAAAATCTCATTTAACTTCAATTGGAGTGGATTTGAAATAGAATGTTAAAAATGTGATTAATCGTGAGTTAACTCACCATTACTATGCGATTAATCAACTAAAAGAAATTAATCGTTTGACAGCCCTAGTTTTTACCTATAATATCAACTTTCAGCAAAAACTAGTTAAAAACATAAATATTTTTATTTATTTTTTATTTTACCTTTATTTTTGTTTATTTGTTTTTATTTGTTTATTTGTTTATTGGGGATCCCCATTAGCTTCCACCAAAGTGGTTGCTAATCTTCCTGGGGTCCCAGTTAAGACGACTGTATTACAAAAAATAAAATAAAATAAAAAAACAAAAAAATCAATGCATTCATTAATACAGTACATTATTCAATACAATACATGAATTCACTACCATAATGTTAAAATTATTAAATAAATTTAACCAGGAAAAATCCCATTGAGATTAAGAATCTCTTTTTCAAGGGAGTCCTGGCCAAGAGGCAGCAAAGTATATTCAGGTAATTAAGTAATTGAGTGGAAAGAGTACATCTTACTAGAGATTTGCTCGTACCATTTACATGATTTATTGTCATAGCACCAACACCTGAAAAAATCAAGTAACTTTTAACTATTGGGTGAAGTAGTCACGCTACCCAGAATGCAATGCAGAGAAAAACATAAACTTCTGAAACATTCTACATTTGAGCATTAATTTTGAGGGTGAATACCAAGAAAGTCCTAAAGCAAAATACGTAAGCAACATTTTGAATAAACTAATTTGACCAAATGAAAATATTTAAATATATTTTTACCAACCATGATCGACATGGCCAAGTCAAATACCGCTATACTTCCTGGGTTTGTCACTTACATTTAATGTGTATTGGATGTGTGTCACAGAGTCTGCACAATGTACACACAAAGACTTCCTAATGTTAAAATTAAAGCGTAACAACCCAAAAAGCATGTAGATAATAATAATAATTTAAATTAAGAAAAATTAAGTAATATCTACTTATTCACTTCATAACAGAAAATGTTATAAACAAGTAAGATTTTACTATTATTTTGATATCTGATATTCCTGTATGAAAATAATTACATAACATTTACAAACTGTAATATCATCACAAAGTTTCAGGTAGTAGTAAGTACATTGTACTTGATACTGGTAAGTAAGTTATACTTGATATTACAGCATTACATTTTACTTAGACATTTTGAGTGCAAATGCTTACAATGATTTTATTAAGTAAATTCTACAAGTCATTTGTTTGAGTGTACAGTTTGCAATAAGTGTTCCAGTGAGATTCCAAGAGGGGGGACAACTACAAAATCCTTTAACACAACGAATCTCATTGGACATTTGAGAAGCAAGCATGTGGCGGTGTACAGCGACTGCATTCAAGCTGAAGAAAAATGGAAAATCGGTGCATCCATACTTATAGGCCAGTCAAGAAAACACATTTTAATCAACGATATATTTTTCAGAAATACAATGCGATGAACGATCATATAGAAACAACTTTCATGCCACTAACATTTACAATATGGCAGCAAAATCCCAAAACGTAATTCTTTGATATTTCCATATTATTAAAAGGCCTGCGATTAAAAAATATAATTTAGGTTATATTTAGTCATTTAAAAAAACTCATTCAATCCTCAACAACAGAAAAATATACAGACAATAAATATTGAACCCTAAAATAGTATAGTATGTTATATTCAAGTGAATCTTGTAATTATTGTGACATTGTAAAGCCTCAGCCATCACACTGCTGCTCCTGGTTTTCAGAGGTCTCCCATCACAGTCTCCATGTTTTATATTATAGTACAGTAGTATATTAATATAGCATTGCACATTATTACTATTAGTGAATGCCATATGAACTGAGACCCCAGTGTTACTCAAAGATATCCTTATAAAGCCGGTTTTTACACTTCCTACATTTGCTCTCTGATTATGCAAATGGCACATTCTAAAAGTGTTGGTCTGTGTCTGTAGCTGGAAACTGAGACTCAAGTAAATGGGATTAAGGCGCGTGTTTGGACGGGGTGAGGGGCTCGTGCGTCACTGAGCTGGATTAGGCCTCAGCTCTCGGTCTGAGGGCAGCAGACACACACACACACGCACACACACACGTCTGCCAGTGGCTTTCAATTGCTAACTTTCAATTACTTCAATTACTTCCCAAAATAGATACATTCCAGGAGCAGAAACAGATCCATCCATACAAACACTAATAACAGAAGTATATATAATTATAAAAGTGACCAAAAGTGACTAATAAACAATCTATAAACCCTAACTCTGTCTGATGTTAAGATAATCAGCCCTTTTTTTTTTTCTTTTTTTCTTATTAGTACTATTTTTATTATAATTTTGTCTGTTATGTCCGTATTTATGTTCAATTTTTGAATAAAAATGTAAACTAAGAATGCATTTAAAAAAAGATAATCAGCACATGAAGCAGTAATAACATATTGGTTGGTTGAGCAACCTCTGATGAATCAAAAAAACTGCTAAGAAAGTGTCAATTGTCAAAGCATTCAATAAAAAATAGAAAACTTTGTCAAAGATGGTCTTTCCGTGACCACGCACCAAAGTACTTAAGTGCCATGTTAGTCCTATATGAACCAAATCAGACTCGCAGGAGCACAGGGACTGGCCTCCTGCTGGATCCAAGAGTCAGGACTAAACATGGGGAGGCTGCATTTCAGATTCATGCAGTCTTCCTGAAAATGTGAGACAGGCTTCTTCTCTAACAGTATTCAAATCCAGGATAAAAACAGTTCTGTTTATCTGTGAATACAACTGAAGGATTGTGTCTTCACTCTTTTTAATGGACTTGATTATTTATGATTTGAATTACTTGTGTGACTGTCTCTATCTTGTTTTGTTCAGCACTTTGAGTTGCCTTGTGTATGAATTGCGCTATACAAATAAACTTGCCTTGCCTAATTTATCAAACGCATGCTGCCTTAATTTCAATTCCTTTTTTCTTTGGTGGCCAAGAATCCTGTAGACGTACTTAACATGTATTTTGTATCTATTGTAATCCACTTCCTGCTGATTGGGGTCAAAATAGTTTCATGAGCTTTGAACAGTGGATTTTGTCAAACGTGTTCCTCATAGATTATAATAATCTACTGTAGTCCACACACACACACACACACACACACACACGCAAAGACACACACACACTCACCTGCCGTAGGCCCCACGTGTCAGGGTCCCATGTAGACCAGGCTAATGTCCCACTCCCCTCTGCCTTCGTCCATCGTCCCACTGAAGGCGACCAAACGGGACAATCTTCATCTGGAAATGCATAAGATTGAGTTTGGTGTAAGTCTACAGGGGAAAGGGAAGCTCCTAATCCTGCACCCAAATCAATAATATAATAATAGCACTGATGCCTTCCCCACAAAGTCGTCTGAACAGTCTGCTCCACTAGAACTGTAGAAATAGAACTTTAGAAATAAATACCCCAATTATTAGAATAAGAATCATTTTTATTGGCACGTAAGTAACAAAAGTCACCACTAGGAATTTTTTTTGGCAGAGAGCATGCCACGGCGCCATTTGCGGCATTATCAATCAATCAAGATATATTTTTGGGTAAAATAGGTAAAACCATGAAAAGAAATAGGGCTGGGAGCAGAAGTATCCAGCTGCCATCCAAGGAGCCATCTGCACCAGGAGCAGAGAGCCACCTGCAGCCACAGGGGACGATACAGGACCCAGAGTAGAGAGGAGGCCCCGGACCCCATGCACTAGATCCAAACCCCTCAATTATTGTGTAATATGAGACGGGCTTCTCTGACAGTGTTCAAATCCAGGTTAAAGACGGTTCTGGTTGCCTGTGCACACAACTGAAGGATTTTATCTCTATTCTTTTTAATACACTGTGGTAATTTATTATTTTAATGTTTTTACCCCTTTAATGTTCACTCCTTGAAGAAAGCAATGTATTAAAGCCATAGGAAAAGTGCTCTACATATAAAGATTGATTTTTTGATATTCTTGATTCCCAACACAGTGCAACACATGTTATGCAGATCTAATCACATCATTTAACATAAGAAAACATTATTTAAGGAAATGTTTGTATACGTTAACAATGCTTCTAACTTCCCGCCAACTTCAGCCCTGACCTCTCTGGTTCCTTGGACTTCAGGATGTTGTTTAGTGACCAATACATTACAGGAAGGTGGAAATCAGTCATCAGTCATCATGAAACGCTTATATACGGAGAGAAGGAGAATGTATACTTTCACAAGCTTCACTTTTCAGTTTTTATTGGAGCATTTCTATATAATTATAAAATCTTTGCTTTCACTTCCCAGTCGCCAGTTACTTTGTTTGTAAGGGAAAAATGCTAGTGGTCGTAAAGTTGACAAAATATGTAAACGTTAACGTTGCATTGGCCCTTTTGACCAACTGTAGTTTGACGGACAGTTATGGGTGACTTCTAGTAAGCTGAAGCGAGGGAGGAGAGAGGGGGGGGGACGGTCCGAGGGGCAGAGGTGCTGTTTGCAGACGCCCACTTACCCCGGCTCTTCTCCAAACAGCATTCATTATTCACGAGGTCCGAAAGCCCCGCGAAAAAAGAGATGCGGCCCACTGTGCTCCTCTTTCCTGACACACGCCTTCTCGCCTCCCAACATTTCCTGTTCCTGTTTCAATAATAAATACGGTAACACATATATTTGCCCTGGCTGCTTCTCAGACTTTGCTCTCAGAGGTGGATACGACTCTTCCATAGAAGCGATCGTAGCATGAAGAACACATGCTCTTTGTGTTCTGATGTTCTATTTCTTGAGAAGCTGATGTGGAGGATGGAGTGGGATAATGCGCTGTGGCAGAACGACGCTGCATTTGTTCCGCAGAATAGTCATAAATGGATTGTACGTTTTCCTGTGAACGATCTGTCAGTTGTTGGTTGAGGATTATCATGGCAAGAATGTTCAATATGCTGGAATAAGTAATCTTTTATTAATTCAACATCAGGGATTTTGTGAATTGCTTTTATGAAGATGAAAACTAGGCGTTAGATTGATTTTTTAAAATAGTTTTCCTTAGATGGGATAGTGCATGTGGATGAACACACCTCGTTGTTTTTCCACAGTCACAAACACACATTATTTCACCCTGAAGTATTTTTAGAGGTAGGGGAAACCTGAGCATCTGGAGGAAACCAACACAGACACTGGGAGAACATGCAAACTCATGCAAAGTTCTTAAGCTGCTTTATTAAACTTTATTGCCCTCCAAGATCCGTCGTCTGCATTTGACACATCCCATGCATGTTTTAGGGTGGTGGGGGAAACCGGAGCACCTGGAGGAAACTTTGATTTGATTTGCAACCAATATTTACAACCTTTAATATTTTCGATAGCTGTATAGTATATAGAGAGGCATTACTCCTTCAGCACAACAGAGGGGGTGGTTTGTAACTGAGGGGGTGTGACAACTGACAACTGAAATTGTGACTTCGGAACTTATTTGTTTTAAAATAATGATAATAATATTCATGATTTATTTATTTATTACAGTTACTCCTGTAGTAACAGCTGCCCAGGAGCAGCCCCACAGAACCGATCATTCAAACACACACCAGACTCATAGGGAATGTGGGCCAAGTGTCTTGCCTAAGGACACAATAACAGTCTGGCACTTTACAGCCGGAGCCGCCCTGGAGTGTTTCTGGTGTTCCCAGAGGTCTCCCATCACAGCACTAACCAGCTCTTATTTCTCTTCCCTTCATGCCGTAAAATCAAATGTTTCATCATTACAACATATAGTCCCACCTGACAGTGTTCCACCAACTGCCACTTTCTATCAAAAGAAAAGAAGACAAAACACAGTAATTACAGTATATTTATGGCATCCCTCGAACAAGGCCCATGCTCATGTTTTCACTGTGAGCAAAGGAGAGCAGGCCTTGTGTCTGTGGGAGAAGTGGGTAAAGTGCTGGGAGCATTAATAATGCATCTCCATAATGTAAAGCTGTCAATCTGCTGCTGATGAAGCCGCGTCGACAAGAAGAAGAGGAGAGCGGCAACACACGAGCTCGCACAGAGATGAAAGACGAGAAAGACAAAGAATGTGATACCAGTGGAGAGATTTAGACTAATGTGTGTGTGTACGTGCGGGTGTAGGGGTGTGTGAGTGTGTGTTTATCGAGGTAACGTGCCAACATGCTCAACAGTGCCTGTCCATCTGGTACTTCTGGTAATAAAAACCCTGTTCATTTTCAATACGATTACAGCAAATAATAATATGGTGGTGAAAGATGACCACAAGAGCTACACTTTAATTTTCTTTGTCAATACCCTCCCAATATTTTGTTAAATTCTCAGTGTAAAATGTATGTATTTAATATAGAACTATATTATAATTTGAGATTCTACTTTTCACTTTTTATGACACTTAAAGAGGTATCATAAGCCCCTCTGAACACCATCAACCATTCACACACACACCAGACTCATTCTAGGCAATGTGGCTGAGGTGTTTAGCCTAATAGCGCAACAACCGTTTGTCACTTTAAAGCTGCGGTCGCCTGCACTGTGGCACCTGGTGTTTCCCATCACAGTTCAGATTCAGATTCATTCTATTTACCATTTGCAGTAAAACCACACTGAAACACATTTGCAAAATGGCTTTTAGGTTCTTCTAATAAGACAATTAAAGCAAAACAAAGCTAGTACTGCTTAAATACCTGACATGTTTCGGCGGTACACTTCCGCCTTCATCAGGTATTTAAGCAGTACTAGCTTTGTTTTGCTTTAATTGTCTTATTAGAAGAACCTAAAAGCCATAAACATAAGAAGACAGAATGAATTTTCTACATTTAATACGCGAAAGATTTGGAGCACGGTGTCTCAAAGCTTTCCGTCATCTGGAGAAGATCAAGAAAGCCCAAGGGTCACCTCTGATGAAGGCGGAAGTGTACCGCCGGAACATGTCAGGTATTTAAGCAGTACTAGCTTTGTTTTGCTTTAATTGTCTTATTAGAAGAACCTTAAAGCCATAAACATAAGAAGACAGAATGAATTTTCTACATTTACATTTGCAAAAGTCCCCGCAATGTGCACCAGACAAGAACATAAATACATGTTTTTGTTTTAAGTACAGAACCAGGCCCTGCCCTTTTTAGCTCCTCAGGTATGACAGGATCCAATCTTTAGCAATTCTTGAATAGAATAATAATAAACTGGTGTGTTTGGCGCTTTACAGCCGCAGCCGCCCCACTTTCGCAAATTCAGTGTTGCATCAGAAGTTACAGAGCAGTGAAATGACTAAAATCTATTCTAATCAGTAATAATGCTTCTCTCAAGGCTAATTCATAGTTTGATATTTCAAGATTGAGACCAAGCTTCAGGATTTCTATATCACAACAAAATCACTGCTTTTTAGGGAATGATGAAACAGAAACACAATTTTTACTTGTGTTTTAAGCTTTGCTCATTATAATCATATTACACATAGAGATACATATTATAGAGAAATGCTTTTGTTTGCATTGATTCTCGTGTAAGTCTGAATCTGGTTTCCAAAAGGGAAGGGACAAGAGCTCTGCCTGCAATATTCCACATGACGCACCAAAGTATCACATGCAGCTTAATGAAAAGCCTTCCTCTAATATTGTTTAGAAGCCTATGTAACTATATGTGATATGATTACAATGAGAAAAGCATAGAACGAAAGTAAAAACTCTCCCCCCCTGACGTCCGTAACACCGACTCACTCACACAGTCCAAATCTCACTCACATCATAATTTTAACATGTGTTTTAACTTGTATTTTATGTATATGTACTTTTTAATTGTGATTTAAGGCGACTTTGAGTATCTAGAAAGGTGCCTGAAAAAAAAGTGTTACTATTATTATTTTTGAGCTCATTTAGAGCCAAAAAGAACTTACAAATAGTCATTAAAATATTGGGTTAAATCTTTCCTCCATGTCTTGTCTCATTAGTATTGAACTGTATCGCTCATTGTGTTTTGTTTTTTGTCTCCTATCGTTTGTTGTGTTGCCTGATGACTTAATGTTAACCTAAAACCCAATATTATTATAGCACAAAACGAGAGAATGGAGTTTGATCGATGCCTTATACGATGAAATCCACTAACTATTCTCTTGCGTTGGGGCGGTGAGGGTGACTTTGGCCTCCAGTCAGAAAATGCGTTTAACTTTGAGCGCCGGTCCGTCAATAAACTAAATGTGGTTTTATGGAAAATATGAAAATAGCCGATGAGGTGACGGCTTCTGCAGGGCTGTGAGGTCAAGTGATGGGGTTTTGGAAAAGATGTGGCAGCATTGGAACAGATTCTTTGGTCAATACAATAATCCATGTATCAACACCTGGCTATTGGTCAACTGCCACTTATGAACCAATAACAATGTGTTCTCTGATTCTCTGATAAGTGTAAAGTCCTCCGAGATAACAACTGTTGTAATTTAGGGCTTTATGGAGGCGTCCAGGATGCCCGAGCCACCTCAACTGCATTCTCTCGACGTGGAGAAGCAGCGGCTCTAGTCCAAGCTCCTTGTACCAGAATACATTGAATTGGATTGAATCCTATGTAATAACACCAAACTGTTTTGTTTCATAAGTAATAGTGTTAGTAACATTTTGGAGAATTAAGTAATTATTTGTTTGTATGGATGGATGTGTTTCTGCTGCTGGACATCGGAATTTCTATTATGGGCGGTCAATAAAGTATCTATCTATCTATCTATCTATCTAATTCCTTTACTTTCACAAAACATTTCAACTTACTAACTTGTTGGAAAGAGCCCTCCAAGTCAATATCTGACTTGGAGAAAGTCAATATCTGACTTTCTAGGGGCTGAAAGCTGATTGGCTTAAATGGGTATTTATCTGTACTTTACTTTTACAAATGACATACCACACCTTAAAGCTGTGACAGAGGCCAAAACGTGCCATGGGAAAATGTGTTCAAATGTGTTGCTATGTGTGGTCAGATACCCCAGACTTAAACATTTTCTAATCAGCAATAAAGCAACAGCTGCAGAATACATATTTCTTCTGCCAAAAAAATAATAATAATCCAATCACCAACTTAGACTCTGAGGAGCACAGGGACTGGCCTCCTGAATATGGGGAGGCTGCATTTCAGATTTATGCAGGTAAAATCTGGGACAGTCTTCCTGAAAAATGTGAGACAGGCCTCTTCTCTGACAAATTTCAAATCCAAGTTAAAAACAGTTGTGTTTAGTTGTGCATTCAACTGAGGGATTTTATATCTTCACTCTTTTCAATGTACTATACTTATTTATGATTGTTATCTGTCTCTACCTTGTTTTGTTCAGAACTTTTCATGTTGCTTTGTGTATGAACTGTGCCATACAAAAAAACTTGTCTCGTTCTCGTATCTCACGGAGCTATAGTGAAGACCTGTCCTCTGACCCATGGTCTCGCTCTCATTTCCGTCCCGGTCTCCTCTTTCGTGTCAGCGATGGACGTGACCTGTTCCGAATAACCTCCAGTTTGTGGCACGTTGTATCTGAGCTTCTATCTTTCATCTCCAGTTGGACGCCGCGGGTGTCGTGGTCCCAGGGGGATTCAGATTCCATCTCAGGTTCATCAAATCATCAAATACACAAACAGCATTATACATAGATTATACATAATTTGCATAATTATCTCTGTTTAGATGTCTTCAGATTGTATAGCACAGTTCATACAAAAGGCAACTCAAAGTACTGAACCAAACGAGATAGACCTTTAAATCATAAATAATCACAGTATTTTAAAAAAGAGGGAAGATGCAATCCCTCATTTGTATGCACAGCTAAACAGAACTGTTTTTTAACCTGGTTTTGAACATTGTCCCAGAAGGAGCCTGTCTTACATTTTCAGAATGACTGTTCCACATTTTTTTCAACACATGATTCTGAAATTCTGAAAGTCAGAAACTATATCTGGCAATGTTTTCTAAGGAAATGGCACTCTTCAAGCCTTAATGTGACCTGTCTGTCTGTTTTGGGTGGTCTTAGTTTGTCCTGAGTCTGGATCTAGTCCTGATATAGTCCTGTTATAGTCCTGATCTTGTCCTTATTTAGTCCTGATCTATAGCCCTGATCTAGTCTTGATCTAGTCCTGATATAGTCCTGGACTAGCCCTGATCTAGTCCTGATCTAGTCCTGAACTAGCCCTAACCCGACCCATGATCTAGTCCCGATCTATAGTCCTGATCCAGCCCTGATCTAGTCCTGATTTAGCCCTGATCCTGATCTATAGCCCTGATCCTGATCTATAGCCCTGATCTAGTCCTGATCTAGCCCTGATCCAGTCCTGATCTAGCCCTGATCTAGTCCTGATCCAGCCCTGATCTAGTCCTGATTTAGCCCTGATCCTGATCTATAGCCCTGATCTAGTCCCGATCTATAGTCCCGATCTATAGTCCTGATCTATAGTCCTGATCTAGCCCTGATCTAGCCCTGATCTAGTCCTGATCTAGTCCTGATCTAGCCCTGATCTAGTCCTGATCTAGCCCTGATTTAGTCCTTATCTAGTCCTGATCTATAGTCCTGATCTATAGTCCTGATCTAGCCCTGATCAGCTCCAGAATGATGTCGTTTCTCCATTGCATCAATCAAAACTATTGCACTTATCTTTCACTTCAATCTGCGACTCACTGCGAGTGTGAAATTCTCTGGCAGAATCTGTTTTATTGCCCCCATTCCATGCCCTAGTTTTGCCGAGATGTTGCTCCTTTGAAATTCATGAGCCCGAACATGCACGCTAAGTTTTGAACGCACAAAAAAAATGAAAAAAAACACTTGAGACAGAAATAAACATCAGAACTACAGTCTAAAAATAACACCAACAGAAAATGAGCAAAGCCTGAAGCCGGAGGGGACTCAGGTAACCTCGTATTCCGTGTCTCCTCCCTAAAATGTACCCGGCGTCTTTCGGCACGTTCACAATTCAGAATGATGATGTATCATGTTCACGGTTGAATACGCTCCGTCTTTATTACCGCCATGAGAGGAAGCAGCGTGATGCAGCAAAACAACCTCCTGAGCCTCTCCTGTAAAGTGCCGTATAGTACAACTGTGTGTACTGTACTCGGTGTTATTCACGATAGCAGCGAGCTACACACCCTCCAGTCGAGTTTTTTCTCAATACCATAAAGGATAACACGGCGATTACTCCACCGGACTCACACATAAACACAGCACTTTTGTTTACTCCCATTTATCATGGTTTTGTGTTTTTAGTTTTAGCCTATAAAACTGGGGGCAAATAGAAAAAACAAAGAAGGCTGTGTCTAGATATTTTCCAGTGTACTTTTAGTCAAACACTGGAGGATACTATTCAGCCTAACTCTGGATAAGGCAGTTCTAAATAATGATTTATTCTCTATCTCCAGGCTATAAGAGAGAGAATTTCAGATGTGTTCTATATGTTAACTTCTAAACTGTTGATTCTCTCTGATTTTGAGCTATACAATAATAAAGTTAATTGAGTTGAATTTAATTATCCATTAAAGTGGTCATGTCCTTTTGAAATATTCTTAGATTTCAACTATATTACTATATTGCTATTATTACACTATAGGCAATCACATGCTACTTGTACATTTATGGACATTTATCTACACATTTATGGACATATGGGTCATCTGCCCCTTATGAACCAAAAGCTCTATGCGTTTTTTTTATCATAGCGTTTCTTGCGTTCTCTGACTAGTGTTTTGTTAAGTCCTCCAAGATCACTACTGTTGTGATTTAGGGCTATACAAGAATAAATTGAATTTATTTGTATAAAAGTGTTGTCTTAATACTTCAAAGATCTACATCAGAATTGTACATTGCACACAAAAAAATATTCTAAAAGTTACCTGATATAGTTCTATGTAGTCTTTTTAGCGAATAGGTAAAACTTATCCTGGACAATTCAAACAGCATCCAACAATATTAGGATAAATGTGGCATAATAAAGGAAATTGTAGCCTCATATTTTACTATAGTATAATACAAATCCAATGCTTATGAGTTGGCATTCTCTGTATGGACTATAGATCCACATTAGGCTGTATATGTAAGTGTTAACAGAGAGAGCTTATCCTGCCCTATATCTATCAGCTTTCATAATTACATTGCATAAGAAAGCTTGAACAATAGGTAAACCCCGACTTTATGTCCCACAATTCACAGTATTTTCTATTATCAAAATGTTACGTATTCAGAAACACATATGTACAACTGTGTGACCCCATTTACAACAAGCCAATTCAAAAGGATTTGTGTTTGTCTCTGCTTGTTTTTTCAGTGCATATAATCCCACTAAGGTAAACATTATAGAGAAAACAGTGCTGTACCTTTCAATACGCAATAATCCCTCCCTTGAGGAACGCAGGGGCCACGTCCAGGAACCCACCAACTTCTCTTCCCGCACCTTCTTCCAAAACAGACACGTGAAAGAAAAAAAAAGAAAAGTCCCGCTCACAAGAGTCGATTCACCTGCTCTAAATCGAACACCGTTACGAGTAATCGGTTTTCCCGTATGGCCGCGTCAGGTCACAGACAGAGCAGGTGTAAAGGACTTTAGAGAAGCCGGGTAATCCTCTCCTCCCTGACTCTCAGTCCGCCTCTTTCTCTCTCTCTTTCTCGCTCTCTCTTTCTGTGGGATACGCGTCCGTACTACAAGTAATGGCGTGGTCCACTGCTGGAGGAACCATAATACACGTGCACGTTTACGCACCTGCTCTCACGGACGCGCACAGACACCGCCAAGTTCTTTGCGCGCTGGGACTTTGTTGTGTGATCGGGAGGAGACAGAGGGATAAAGTCCGACAGAGGAGTCTCCGCGGGGGAGGAGTAGAGGGAGGAGGGGGAGGAGGAGAGGGAGACATGGTGAGGAGGTAAAGGTCCAGGCATGTGGCATTAGCGCCTGCTCTGTCGCCCTCTGGTGGTACGATTCTGTCACTGCATTTACTGTATTTACTTTTGTGTAGCCATGAATCACCACTGTAGTTATCACAGTTAGTAGAATAATTTATGAAGTTGTCAATTTGCCAACACAGGTCAGAGAATCAAACGTGTACTCTGGTTTGAGACGAGGAGTTGGTAATATAGTCTCATACCAATGTCAATAGCCAGATGTAAAATGTTCTGTTCTATACCCCAATATATTAGAAAATGTGTACAAAGAGAGGCACTATATGATTCCAATATCAACAGTTTTTAATAATGTATACAAAACAATATATATATTTTTTTAGTTTTGAGTTTTTACACAACTGTATATAAAATTTAACTCAATGTATTTTTGTATAGCCCCAAATCACAACAGTGGTCGAGACGGAGGACTTTACAAATCAGATCAGAGAAACAAACACAGGAAATGTATTAATAACAAACACATACAGTATAGGAGCCATAGAGGGCGGATGAATGTTGATAAATTTCAATAAATCTTCTGGATCATCACCACTGTCTTCAGACGCTTCTGTTTCGGCAAAGAACGACTCAAAAACTAGTGGGAAAAAGTGAGAAACTTCGAGAAGGTCCACTTTCGCTCCCACAGATAGACGGGCTTTAGATCCAGGACTCAGGCTGTAGAACGAGGACCGAGGCCAGATGCAGTGAGAGTTTCTTCTGCTGTTTGGAAAACTGCGGGCAAAAAAAGTTATGCCCACAGTGTTCCCAAGCTAACTAACTATCTAAACTTTATTTATATAGCGCATTTCACAAAGCACCTACAAAGTACTTCACATTTATACGAGAAAACAAAAAAATTGTTTTGCAAAAGGAAATATTTCACCTCTTTTATTGACTCTGAAATTGCATCGGTATACTACATTATCATTCGATTATGGCCGTGATTTCCCGCCGCCACAGTTGCCGCGGGGCAGACTGATGCTCTCTTACAAGGTGTGCATCGCGGGAAATAAATTAACCGTTTTAATAACGCCATCCTCTTTTATTACAGACGTCAGAGTAAGAAACCAGATAAAACACACATATAATATATCACAACAGATCCAAAAGTTTCAAAAAAGAAGATATCAGGATTAATGAAGCTGAAGCGAATGTTCAGACTGAAAGAGAGAGTGCAAATTCCCCATCTGAAGCCTGCCAATCTCACAGCACTGCCAGCTTCGAGCCTCAGCCAATCACAACGCTCTGCCAGCCTCGAGCCTCAGCCAATCACACTGCCCGGCCAGCCTCCTGCCACCCTCTGTCACAAAGCGGGCAGTTTAAAAGGCAGCCACTTCCTGACAAACAGCGCTTCCTGAAAGCTCTAAACACCCACCACCTCCCCAGCACCTCCTCTGGCTCCCGCTCTAGGCTCCTGCTCTAGACTCCCGCTCTGGCTCCCGCTCTAGGCTCCCGCTCTAGGCTCCCGCTCTGGCTCCCGCTCTAGGCTCACGCTCTGGCTCCCGCTCTAGGCTCACGCTCTGGCTCCGCGGTCTAGGCTCCCGCTCTAGGCTCCTGCTCTGGCTCCTGCTCCTGCTCTGGCTCCATACGCCCCATTCACACCATACTCTAGCCACCACCAGTGCTTGACCCCGGGGGATCTGAGATCATCTTCAGCTGCAATCGATCTAATCGCTGCAAGTGTCACTGCCGGGGTCAATGCGCCAAATAAATAAATAATTTGAATGTACTAATTGTGTCTTTGGTCTCTTCAGATTAAACTGATGCAACAACACACCATCGGTGATCAAACAAACCTGTCGAATGGCGATTGTCTGGCAAAACGTTTGAGAAAATTCAAAACCTATAATGTTATAACTGTCATAATTATAATGTTATTTTAGATTATTTCTATCCAAAAACAATCACAGACATTCATTTATGATAATTCTTCATTCACATGTTGTCTAATTCCAAAAAAACATAGACAACCTCTGTTTGTGTAATGTGTATAAAATGTTAATAAAATACAATATAATAAAATAAAAATAAAATAAAAATAAGATGTCTTCCAAAACCGTTTGTCTCATTTTTACACCAACACAATCAAATAAAACGAATCACGGCTTTAATACTTGTAAAGAATGTTTTCATAAGTGACCCTTCCTCTCTTTAAAAACATCCTTTTCATCTTCTTCAAACTGGAGCATTTTGATTTAAAAAAAAAAAAACCAAAGGCAAAATCATAATTAATAACAGCAGTCTGAGAATCCAGACTTCAAAAACACTCTTTTAAGTATTCTTGCACACAAAGAAAGTCTCCATGTGTTTTGTGCATGCAACAGAATATATCATCAAGGCCCCTCCGTCATGAATAATACATCACACGAGCAAAGTTTTTAAAATAAGAAATATATATATTTACAGCAGATACAGAGAAAGTGGATTATTGTTTTAGTTGTATTTTAACCAATATCATTTTTTATATATACTGTATCACACACACACACACTGAGAAGACAGCACTCTGGCGTCTCAGCAAGAAGGTCCCAGGTTCGAATCCCGGTCGGAACAGGGTCTTTTTATGTGGAGTTTGCATGTTATCGCTGTGTCTGTGTATTTTCCTCCAGGTGCTCCGGTTTCCACTACCCATAAAAACATGCTCAATAGGTGTGAATGTGATGAGTGAGTGAATGGATGGTGTTTGGTCAGAGGCTTTGATGGGCCAGTGTGTTCTGCGTCTCTCTCGTGTGTGGAGAGAATGGAATAATATCTGAACTCTGAACATTGTAAAATACTTTGGGGACCTTGGTCTGTAAAAAATGTGCTATATAGATAAAGATTACTCACTAACTTACTTACAAAGGCTGAAATGTATGAATGAATGTGAGATATTGCATGCACGGTAACCTTCATTCTACTGCAGTTTTATTGGTACCAAACTTAAATTCATGTGTATTTACTTGGCTATTCAACAATTTGACAAAGACTTTGTTTAAATAATGAAACCATGTACTTTATATCAGGATATACAGTAGCTGGGGTATCTTAATTTTTTTCTTTTCATAAACATTTACAAAATAAATAAATATATTTGTTTATCCTATGAGAGTTTCCTAAAAGTAGATTTTATGGACAAAATCAGACAATTAAATGCTACTTTTATCTTCATTAGAAACATGTCATCTTTGTTATAAAAAAATAAATATTTATAATTTCTTTGCATACAAGCAATGTTTACAGACATCAATATACTATGAAATATACTGTATATAGTTTTCAAAAGTCACTATTTCAATCAGATTCAATGTATTCTGTATCGGCCTAAATCTGAACAGCAGTCGTCTTGGTGTCGATTCGCCAACAACAAATCAAAGAATCCAACCATTTGAACACAGAAAATGCAATTATAACAAACACATAGGAGCCATTGGTCCATAGGATGTGGGATGACCAATTTCCCCAAAGAAATCTTAAAGGTCCCGGATCATCACTGTCCTTAGACCTTCCTGCATCGATTTAGGGCTATATGAGAATACATTTGAATCATACAAATGAATTGTATTGAAACATTAAATTAACCATAGCTACACAATGATGTTGTTCGTATCGATATTACTGGGCACTGCTAACAATAACAATATGCTAGCAATGATTTTATATATCACTTTCTCATATCAATAATCTTTCACTCCATACATCGTGCTGATGAACTATTGTTGCCCTGGGGCACACTGACAGAAGCAAGGCAACCAGTATGTGCCATCTAACCCTAACCCCTCCAACCACTGCCAAACATGCACACACACAAAACTAATTCCGAGCAATGTGGGTAAAGTGTCTTGCCTAAGGACACAACAGCAGTTTGGCACTTTACCTGCTGTTCATCTGGTGTTCCCGGAGGCCTCCCATCACGGTACAAACCAGGCCCTCCCCTGCTTAACTTCAAGGGACTGACAGGATCTGGTATTCACATGCAAGTACAGCCTCCATTCCCACGCTTGTATGCATTGAATCATCAGTCTGTGTCAATCCCCCTTTCTTCCACGAGATGTCAGTGTTGTCCATTGTTTTTCGCTCTCTGTGACTAAACTCTTCTGCTTTGATGCTGTCAATGCTGATAATACCACAACTATGCGTCTGTTTCCAGTCATTTATCCTTTCTGGGAAGCGACCCTCTCCATGCACGTCCGCTTAATTTAACGCAGATTAGAAAAGGAAGGAAGCCTGTTTTGTTGCTCTTGTTGGGACCTTAAAGCCTGTGTGGTTGGTTTGATTTGGTCGTTGGTCTTTTTGTGGCTGTGAAGGGGATTTTAAGACTACTTTACTTTACGGCACTATGAGGGCTTACTGAAGTGGGCAAAGAGGCTAAAATTAAATAAACAACCTTGTGTTGCTTATACATGGCTCAACCCCGATTGTTCTGCTAGTTGTTTGCCATTTGACTTTGCTGTTACAAACCTCTCATAATTAAGATTTTTTTTGTGTATGTTTTTTGTCTGTTATCTCTGTATTTATGTTCACTTTTTGATAAAGTGAATCTATTTTTTAAGCTCCGCATTGTAATCCTATAAAATACATTGTCTTGGCTTCCACAATCATGAGTGTAGTGTGTTTTCATTCTCTAATTTGATTTTTTTGAATGAAGATTTGTAAATAAAGTGGATTTGAATGCACTACAGCAGGATTCAATACAATTTATCTCAACGTGTTTTTGTGTATAGCCCTAAGTTTGACTCGAAGGACTTTAGAAAGTTGTCCATTCGCAAGAACAGATCAGAGAATCAAGCAATTCAATCACAGCAAATGTAATAATAACAAACACATAGGAGCTTTTGGTCCATATGTGCAAAAACGTCCCAAGAGTGTTTTTGTGGTGACTTAAATGGGCAGTGTGCAACATATTCAGAAGGGTACTCCATCTGTGTGTTGTTCCACAGTATGACATTGAACTTAGTAGGTTTGGAGCATTAAAGGGCAGATCTGGGGAAAGACGACATTACTCATGAGAAGTTATT